AAAAGAATGATGATTAAGGATTATAGTAATTTTTCTCTGGTCAAAAGTACTTGTTAACCGAGGGTTTTCTTTTTTTTTTTTTTTAGCCGCTATTGTTTGGAGATATGACTACCATCGGAGTGAATGGAAAGGGGAAAAGACGTTGGCATATGTTGGAGATTTACTTGAGTTGGAGGAAGGCAAAGAGGGAGCACAGAGAAATGCGTATATGGTTGAATTTGTTGATCAAGAAGATCCTTTGGCAGGGTAAGGTACTTCTTTCAGCATGTCTCGGTGAACTTGCGGTCGAATTTCAAACTGAATGAAACTTTTATTGTTTTTATTGTTGTTATTATCATTATTGTTATTATCAATACCATTTTCTTTAAGTTTATCACGATCTTTTTTATCCCAGTTGGAGGATGGAAATATTTTTCTAGTAACTTTTTTCCTCGAAGTTTGCAGCGACTATTTTTCTCAAGTTGCATCTTGTTACAGAGTCTGTTTGAGCTCAGACAGAGGCTTTGATTTTTTATTAATGAAAAACTGGACCATTGCTAGAAGTTTTGTTGGAAGTTACACACCTATTATTAAATTAATACTGTGGATAAACTGGCTTCTCGAGGGCATCTTAAAGAACGATCACTACTTAAGTTCATTCAAGCAGTGTGAGCTAATCATGAATTTCAAGTTATGATTTTTTTTGCCATTAACTAAACATATTGTCTGAGATTTGGTCGATGATTTGTATGAGGCTGGATTGATTGGAATGTTATGGTATTGGCAACAACAAGAAAACTACCGGTTAGGGGTGCTTTATTGATTGACCAAATTTATAAGATGCTATTTGACGGAGTAATATTGGTGAGTTGTTTGAACAATATACTGGTAATCTTATTTCAGGTATGTGGCGAAGTGTTATAAGAAGCCCAGAGATATCAAACAGTATCAACAGGATGTTATTTGTCAGATGACAGCTCGTCATTACGTCACACTGTTCAACCAACAGCTATATCTTGCAGGTGTGATACAGATACTCAATAATACTCTTGTGCGCAAATTTGAGTTTAATCAAATCTATAATGTATTCTCTTTTATGCGTTTTATACTTTCAACCCTGCGACACATTGCGCGATTTGCACTGCTGTTTAAGGAGGATGTCGCCATTTATGGGCTTACCAAACAAAAATTTTTTTGGTCCCCTATTGGAAATATGTCTATCATTATAACAGTCACATGGTCATAAAATTACTTTTGGGTTCCGATTCGTTGACTTTTTGGCGATTCATAGGGTTAGCGTGCAGAAAAATGGGAATTGGTGTTGTATGCAGTTTCGGCGAAATTAACCGCGGAAATCTATTATTTGTATTACAAGAGACAAAAGATTTTATTTGGCGTGAAGATATGGTCGGTGCTTGAAAATGATGTACCCATCACGTTTAAAGCAAAACCCATTGTGCACAATGGCTAATTTCAGGTCCATTGTCGAGTAGGACATGGCGGATCATGGATCTAATGATCCGCTGTCAAATTACTCAGGTCAGTGGAAGGACCGTAAGATTCTCGGGAAATAGAATTAACTGTTTTCTTCGAGACATGCTGATAGCTTTTGTTATTATAGAGTTTAGATGTTGTTAATAGCTGTTAATAATAACCCGTCAAATGTTTTGACCCTTGTGCGATTGGTCGTAACGTGTCACATGACTGAATATGCCTTGGAAAATTTGGGGAATATCCGGGACAACTACTATATTCCCCAATTTTAATACCTCACTTCCTTTCAGAAGAATGTAACTTCGAAGGACTTAGGTGTTTCGTTCAGCTGGGGTTCATTGCGGCGCAAGACTAAGAAATGGAACTAATGTAAAACACAGTTTGTCTTTCACGTAATAATTTCTTATTAAACATAAACGCTGTATGAACATTTGCCGTGGGTATAACTTTTAACTGAGTCGACCGTACATTTACAAAGTAAGCTTATCCTCGTGTTTAGAAACCAAAACCATTAATTAACGTTTATATTCCTATCATTCCTAGCTTTGAATGTGGGCGATATTCAGTTCCTTCCTGTAGTGTTACTTCAACTTGTTGACGTGTGTGGCTCCGTCAGTGGTGCCGTATATAACGTGGAACCCTACATGGCAGGGGAATTCGTCAAACTCACCAACAACTTTGGCTTTGTAAGAAGAGAAGACGACATGTCCGACGTAGTGTTGGCATTCAGTCACTTCACATACGAAGAATCAAACCAGCAGCTGGTGATCGTCGACATTCAAGGTTGGACTCCAGATACTACTGACAAAGCAAAGTGCACATTTCTCACCGACCCTCAGATTCACTCGGTGCGATACCAGTGTTTTGGAACAGGGAATTTAAGTCAGCGTGGCATTGACAGTTTTTGGAAGGAGATGCATCCGCATTGTAACGACATTTGTATCAAGTTAGGACTATCCAGGCCGAATTTCACATCAAAATGAAAAATGATAGAAGTGATGTGAACTGTGAGCTGTTTAAAAGTCTGTATTTGTCATCATCATCATCAAAAAAGTAACCTTCCCGTCAATCCACTATTACGCCATTTTACTATGCTATGGCGATGAAACGCGAAAAAAAATGCATTATTTATAAGCTGTAGAAGAGGCAAAAGTACGGAAAAAAGGCCCATTGCTCGCAATGCTTAACCATCGAAGATGTGTGTGATTAAGTTCTCGTTATGGACTTATTTCTTTAATTACTCGTGAAAGGTTTTGCTTTTTCTCCTTGTTTTAACATTTTACGCTAGACCCTTCACTTGATCGTAATGGAGACAGCTTCATTCTAATGCTTTTTGGTTTATTCAACTTAATAGAAGTAGTATAGAAATACTTATCCAAAACAAGTAAGACCTATTCGCGCCAATTTCCTGAGCAAATGGCCGTTGACCGCACTCGAATAGGGAAGAATTAGGTTACTCAGTGATATTACAATAGATCGTAATTTCACACGTTATCACGTTAAGATTCGATTTAGCGCCTGGGCCGCTTATTTACTTTGGTACCTCAAGGTAGGGCGCTTATTCGAAACAGGGCGCTTATTAGAGACAGGGCGCCACACTCTTATTTCTTTTTTAGAAATGGCAGAATGTGCGAAAAAAAGCTTTGATCTTTACTTACTAAAGGTACAATACCAGAAACTTTAAAATTCACAAATGTACAGCGATTATTGGCAAAATAATGGTAGGGAATGTACTCTTGAAACAGAATAGAGGTGCTCACTGAAGTGAGGGTCCTTATGCAACAGGGGCGCATTTTAAAATAGGGGCGCTTATTGACAAAATCAAATTCGAGGAGGGCGCTCTAATGAAACGAGGAGGCTCCTAATGAAACGAGGGCACTAAATCGAATCCTCATGGTGGTCCAGTTAAAAATACTGAAAACGAGTGATTGTTTAGTTGTAAGACTTAGTCAAAGTATTGTTATTCAGTTACTGTAAAGTGGGATCGTATGATCTCAAGTAAAATTGCGGAAAACTAATAACTCCTAAAGTTATCTTAAACTGTAGACGTGGCGGGAAATCTTATTTGCATTTCTAAACCGAACTTCGAGTATTTTCTTCAGTTGTACCTTGCAATAAGACAATTAAGACACGTGATCACATACTTTACAAGTTATTTTTAGTTATTCGAACGCTTGGGTAACATTTAGTATTTCGCTTAGCTTATGAAATGATTTCAGAACTGTTTGTATAAAAATAGTGCCTTGAAACTGTTATTACGATTTACATGGGATTAACGTTGAAGACGCAAAAAAAGCAAGTGAAAGTGGAGTTCTAAGTCTCTTTTGGGTTCGAAATCCGCCAAGCGGATGTTCAGAGATAGTCTCCCCCAATTTGGTCAGTTTAGGCGAGAAGTATGATATATTCCGTTTCCCTTCCATCCCTGTACACCCCAAACCTTTCGTCTCAATAGCAGATTGAAGGCAAAATTGCAGCGAACGCATCGCATTCGTTTCTTAACCTCCCTTTACTAGGTACTAGCTATAAGCTATCTGGCAGGCTAATCCCAATCACACCTGTGTGTTCCTTTTGCTTTGAAATCGAATTTTGCCTCCAAATACTTGACCACATGTTCGTCTAGAATGGTTATTCAACGTTTCGGTTGAGTTGTCAATTCTCACGCGCCTTTTTGCTCAGATACAACACATGCCACTTTAACAGGTAGGTTCAGATGGTGGCTGATCGCTAATTCGAGTGCAAAACCTCCTTGGAATCGGCTCATTTATTGAAAATAGAGGAAATTCAATGCCACACTTTTGTTGACAAATGACATGCAAAACCGGAGGACACCTACGCGAAATGCCGTGAATGTTTAGTGTAAATAGCCCTTATGAAAAACGCACTTTTAATTAATGAAAGGCGATCAATTATGGAAAGGCCGAAGGAGTGTGAAGTAAGTAGATCCTCTACAAATGAAGCAATGATTAAGGAAATGCCTATCATGTAGAGTGTAGAAATCCGCAACCCTTTTCTCGTCTGAAAAAAGGAGGAGTTTACCAAAAAGCAAAAGAATTGATCTCTCTCATCCTACCAAGTAAAGTCGAACTTCCCAATGCAAAAAAATCTCGAAAACGAACATACCGAAATATTTCAACCTTAACGTGAGTGTCTCCCTCCATAAACGGCAATCTGGGTAGAGAGCATGAGAGGGGTTTTACGTCCAGTGCCTTGAACACAACAAGGTGGGCGAAGTCTAGTATCCACCTTACCAAACGCATGATAATGCAAGGTTGTTTAAAAATGACGCATGCGAAAGTTATAGCCAGCAGCTGTTCAATACTGGTAAAACTGGGTAATCTCACTTTAAATTAGTTAATACTCTGTACGTGTAAATAAACTTTCGCTTTCGAAATAACTTAAATTTTCTACAAAATTATCCGAGATTTAGGGTCCACGTTAAATTCGCGGTTCTACTCTTTGAGTATTAGCTAAACTGAGATAATACGGAGAAAAACAGCTACTCCTACAGCTACACAGCTAAACAGCTACACAAGCCTGCGCATATGTGGCCTGTCCAATCCTTCGATTTTAACGCCTCTCTCAGTGTAAAGCATGATCAGATTATTCGTCATCTTCAGCCCACGCCTCCTCAGCCAGTGCAAAGTACTTATTCGCTAGTTTTCCCTTCATGGCAGCAAGTGCTAAATCTCCAGCTGCCGAATAGAGTTCGCCGGCCATCTGAGGGTGCTTTTCAAGCCCGTGACCTCCGTGTTGGTACAAGTACGCTTGCTTGGCATACAGCACGTAGTTAGGGTCTGTGAATAGCGTGTTCTGTGGATCGTCGTTTTCGTACACGACGTCAATGGCATTTTGATACCATTTGGCTGCCTCCACCCACGTGCATTCCCTAAACATAGAGTGATTCAATTTAAACACCTTGTTTATGACCTTTAATATTGAAGAAGGGTGTCAACATGGCTAGCAATATGGTTCTGATTTCAACAGCTCGCTACTTATTATATATAGGTCCTGACAAAACAGTGTCAAAAATATTTTCCTCAAGGCCAAAGATTGTATCTTGGATTGCTGAATATTTATTCAAATACTAAATTTTGATTAAAAATTTATCCACCGATAAACAGTATACCTATGATGAGACTTGAGAGGCAAAAATGTACCTGAACGAGCCTAGGCCTGAGCCAGTTTCGTAAGCCTTAGCCATGTACACCATGGCTTGCCTGTCTCCCAAATGAGCTGCCTCCAACATGTAATACACCCCCCGGTTCATGGCATCTTCAGATTCCTGTAAGAGAACAAAGAATACAAAGAAGTAAAACAGTATTTTAAACAGTAGCACAGGGTGTTTGCTATGAATTTCAATTACTGTAATGATACTTCCGACTGATAAACTACAGCTTTTCCAATAAATATCCAATTCAACACATCGAAGCTACCTGGACAGTCACTGAAGGCAATATGTCGTGTGGCAGCTGTAAATTGATTTCAGCCATTGCAATTAAAGCCGGTAAAACAGCACAAGCTGCAGCTTGCTCTAGATGAAACATGGCACATTCCATTTGGGGCTCATTGTTAGTGAAACGACCGATCTCGTTACATTTAGCCAATTCGAGATGAACCTATAGAAAAAAAAAAAGAAAACATAATGAAAGAATTGCCACTGAAACACACAGTTTGGGAATTCACTTGTTGGATACCGTATTGTACACTAACCACTCAGCCAAGCTGCTACGTTCAGTTTCGTCTTAGCAACAAGTCATTTGTAATTGACCAGGAGAATGGAATGAGGATGCAGGGGCTCAGCCACATCGTAGACTGCTATCTGGATTTTTGTCACTCATGTTTTAATCCTTTATTAACACTTTTCACCTTTATCAAAACTGGTCACCTCCAATTCATCTATAGATCACAGACGAAGTCAAACTGTGGTAAGAACAGTCGGCTGCAACTCGCAGCCACTTTTTGCCCTTTTCACATTTTGATGTCGTATGTGACCTATGTCAACAATAGCCTCCATTTAGTGCGAAAATATGCTCGGACATTATCTGTTCCGAGAAATGAACAGTTTTCCGAGAGGAAAGCACAAGGAAAACTGTAAGCTACGAGGAAAATGATGTAAAAGAACCAATACAAGAACATATTCTCGCGCCAAATGGAGACTACTGTGGTTACTTTCCTTCAAATATTTTCGCAACACGCGGGAAAATGTCAACGAACAGCTTATAGTTTGCTGCGTGGGATATTTACTTTTCATTGTTCCCTTGTACGATTTTGTGAACGAACAAATATCTTCCTTCTTCTGAAACAATAGCTCTACGCTGTCTCCTCTTAAATAAAACTTTAAACAAAGACTTTAGTCGTAGTGGACGCACGGTTTGAAAATTGGCCAATATCCCTCTGGGAATATTACTTGGAGCATATCCTCGGATATTTCCAAGTTTTAGCTGGGGAATATTCGATTAGATATTCTGCCAGTTCAGTTCCTGACTAAATATGTGAGGTGAAAGTTTGGTTATTTACTTGTAATAGTAATTTGTCAAGTTTTGTTCACTTTGGATGTACGTTCCTAACAAATACGTTGACGAAATTTAATCGATGACAGATACAGAAATCAACCAAAATTATTTATCTGAAACTTTGATCTTGTCTGATGGACCGCATTAGATTTGTCTTTCTCTCCCGAAACCCCACGTATGGGATTCAGGCGCACAAACAGAGTTAAAAAGAATGATCAAAGCCCAGACTAGGATGTATAGGCATTGAAACGATGGTAGGTGGGCTGTCACTGTGGCTGATAACAAACTGATAAAGTACAGCAAAAAAACATAAGTACGACGTCAATACTGACCTGTCCGAGAACAGAGTCACCCTTGTGTGACCTTCTCTGATGCTTCAGACGAACATCACCAAGCAGTTTAACCTCGGCAAATACACTTGATGCCTTATGTTCCAGACTATCAGCAAATGATTTGCGGAAATTCTCATCCTGCAAGCAAGTTTGAAATGTTGTACAAAAAAAGAACAAAGAACTGAGAGTTACTTCCTAATTCCACCCAACAAATACTGCCATAATTTTTATTGACTGATAATTTGAAACCAGAGAATGGACACCGGAATAATACAAACTCTCCTTCGCAAATGAAGAGCAAAGAGCAAAAAGAGAAATGTTGAAAAATTTCGCCAGATTTTGTTAACAGTAAGAAAGGTAAAAACATACGAGTATATGTATATGTAGTTACCTCGTTCTCAGTGAACACATCACTTTGATCACTTTCAGTCTCAGATGATGACGATTCTGGGTCAGATATCTGTCGAGAATATCTTGATAATTCATTACATGATGACAGTGAACACCTGGGGGAATCTGGCTCCGAACCAGCAGGAGACAGAGGAGGAGACTGGGCTAGATATTCCGTCATGTCAAATATGGCTGAGGAAATTTTGCGGTAACAAGGAGATGTGCAATCGTCAATACTTTTAACAATTGTGCTGGAGTCTTGGATGTTTTCCAGGGTTTTGTCAATCCGAACCAATTCTTTTTTACTGAGGTCAAACTGGGAAAGTCCAAGGCTATGACAGATTCTATGAAAATGTGAACAGAAATTAAGTTACTGCCATATAGAATGCCTGGAGTGTCTACACAGTTGTGCAGAGCTTGGGGTGTAATAAGAAATAAGAAATTGAAAATGTGCAGCAGCTACCTATAAACAACAAGGCGTACGCATTTTTGTCAAGACGGAGACTATTTAAGCTTACCAACACACCTACAACGGCCGAAGGATACTGCTCACCCGGCTAACATACATGGTCTTTAGAATTCCTTGTCATTGTAGTGAAATAAGATTATACATCAGTGAGACTAGAAGAGATATGCCAGACAATGTCTAAGAGCATGACCGAGACTTCCTATTCGCTAGAACGCAAACCTCTGCCATTCATGATCAGAGCACGCACACAACACTGGCACAACAACGCCCGCTTTAATCGTCACTACGACACACAGTGGGTCCAAGAGGTGTCTCCACCCCAACAACATGAACGTTAAAACAGAGATAGCGGGAGAGTAGCCTCCGAATCTTGAATGCTTCATAAGATGACGTATGACCAGTTTACCTAGTCACCTGAAGTTCACCAGCATGCAATGCAAGTGACTAAAGCACAGTAGCAGTGATAATATTATTGAATACAGACTTGAGCTTACTTGTTACATCTATGAGAACTGAAGAACAGTGCCATCCCCCTTGGGCCCAAGTTGGCTTCGCCGTAATCCTCTCCATCTGATGTATGAATCTGAGGGTCCGTGTACAGATCGCCAACTCCTAAAGTGATAGCGGTGAGCAAAAAATTTAAAAATGATAGAGCGAACAACCACGTTTTTAAAGATACACTGTATGATTACTACAACGTGATAAGTAAAACGTCATAAAGGACGCGAAAGCTTGCACAGGATAAAAGACCGCCGCCTGGTTAGCTCAATCGCCGCCTGGTTAGCTCAACCGCCGCCTGGTTAGCTCAGTTGGTAGAGCGCCAGTCTGTTGTGCGGGAGGTCGAGGGTTCGAGCCCCAGACCGGACCAACACTCAGGGTCTTAAAATAACTGAGGAGAATGTGCTGCCTTTGTAATTGTACCAGCAAATGGTTAGACATTCAAGTCTTCTCGGATAAGGACTATAAATCGTAGGCCCCGTCTCCTGCATCTTCAGTGTTACATGGTCAGCAGGGGACGTTAAAGAACCCACACACTTGTCGAAAAGAGTAGGGGGCGTAGTTCCCGGTGTGGTGGTCTATCTGTTGTTTCATTGTACATTTCATGTATGGGCTGGGTGGGTGAGTGAGATCAAATATGGACTGATAGCGGCAGCCAGAGGCGCCTTTACAAGCTGACGTTCAATCTCACTCAATTAGAATTGTAAACCGCCTTGAGACAGTATGTGATATGTGCGGTATATAAATACACATTCATTCATTCATAAAAAAAAACCCTTGCTGTTTAAACTTAAAATTAACACAAGCGGAAATTGAGACAGAAAAAAAAAAACCTTCGCTGTTTTCCACTATCACCTCTCCTTCTCCGCTGGTTACACTTGCTAGCCAGTAACCATCACATGAATTTTTTAACATGTTAAGTTTTTTTTTCTTTTTTTTTCGCTATGTGAGAGAAGAATGAAAGAGAAGAAAGAGAAAGAGAAGAAAAAGAGAAGAAAGAGAAAGACAGGAGTCGAGATTACTGTGTGTAGGATGAAAAGAGATCGAAACAGGACTTCGATGATGACAGTCAATGTATTTTGGTCAATCGATGAGAATCCATTATCGAACGGATGTAATTGACAATCGATGACAATTGATACTCGTTAAAACTGCGCGATTGATTGCCTATCAATCACCAATATCAATCAATTAGCTGACATCTACTACCATCAGTCGCTTCAATTGTTCAGATCCTGGCTACAAACATGAATCTCACCTTGAATGTCAACTACAATCAGTTGATGGCCAGACCTCTCAAATGTAAAATGGCTAAATGCCTGTGAATTGAAAACTTTATGTCAGTTGTATCGCTTAGGAACCTTAGAACCTTAGAACCTAAGTTAGGGACCTTCTGTATGACAAGATTCCTCAGAAGAAAAACTTGAATGCATTTTTGTCTACTAAACACAGTTCGATCGTCCATGCTGGAAAGTGCAATTGTAAAAGTATATTACATCCATTTTGAAATCACTGATGATTTATGAATTGCAACTTTTTTGCTCTCAAAGTCGCATCTTTTTCCCCAGCAAATGAGAGGCTAGACCAAAACACAACAACCAATCAAATTTCAAGGCTTGTTTAAAGTAGCAAATCAAATTAAAGGAATATGAAACACAAATCACTACCACTACAATTACAAACCACTACAGTACTTGATCAATAAAATATCTGCACAGATTAAAAAATCATGTATTTGAGCCACTGAGTTTTGCAATTTCCGAATGGACGTATTACTGTGGTAATTAAAATTTCATGTCGTGCAATTTTGGTCTGAAATCATAATATTGATTTCAAATGAAACTTGCGCAAACAAACGTATAATTTCACACCACATTGCACTCCACTAAGTTCAATTACCATTATAGATAAAATTATCATATTTATCTATATATATTGTATGGAAGAATATCAATATTGGCATATAAAAGTACCATTTGGTTTGGCTGAGATGAAATGGCAGACTAGAAAAAGGTTCCATTAGCCTTAATTACTCGGATCGAAACATTTTGAACAGCCCAAAACATGACACCACGATAGTCATGTCTCATAAACATCATGTGAGTTTGAGGGGAAAACAAATTGCACATCTATGCAGAATTCTTGACTAGTTTTATGACTGTTTACTCTCCAAGTGCAAACTATCCATCCATCTACCATCCATTATTCTTTCCTTCACACCTTCCTTTCCTGAACCTACCCATCTCTCCCTTCCCTTTCTTTTAAGTTCTTCCCATCATTTCTTCCTTCCTTCCTTCATTCCCTCCCAAGTTTTGGTTGTTGTTCATAAACAGAAGTTTATTGATATTTACTGAAAGAGCAACTGGGACATCTTAGGCCTGTGCTCACCTGGGGAGTGCAACGGAGAGTTTCATCTTGCAGCACGTAACCTGAGTTTGAGTTGTACTTTATATACTTTCCTTCAATAAAGTGCTCTAAGTGAAATAAAGGTGATCCTTCTCTGTCTTTCAGTTCAATTACACAAACCTGGAAAATATCCACCTGTTGGTAAAACAATAAAATTAGTGTTCTAGATTGATAAAAAAAGCAACAGTTTAAGGTAACTATTATTGGGCAAAGAAGGAAAAAGGACAGTGCATTAACTGGCTAGTCCTTCAGCTGTAATTGTTGGGGTAAAATGGATTGAAACAGGGTGTTGACAATATAAAATACAAAAGATTGCAAATTTTAAGCTTAGTTGTGGAATAATGAAATATGTTATTTGTTTTGCCATGGGCATGACACAAAAACAGAACTGAGTCCTCCTGAGTAATCAAACCTTGGACCTAAATAGGCACTATGGAAGCGTTAATTCGAGCTTCCTTGGGGATTTGTTGTGGAATGAGTAGGCAATTTTACATGCGAGGTCCTAATAACTAGTGTGCCTAGCTGGCAGTTTTGTTGGGGGGTGCCTGCTGCAAGGGGAATGAAAAACAACCAAAACAAACAACATCTGCGACACAGGTTATACATATGCAACACCATGTGCAGCTCAGACCAATATTTACAACCGCTTGTACAGATATAGGCACCCACTGTGGTACATGAGTCTACGGTGCTCTGAGTTTACACTGGGTCTTAAATGTCCTCTTACAAGGTTCATTCCTCTATAAGTGGACTTTCTTAAGTGCCGCTCTTAGTTAAAAAGGTCCCCTTAAATACAAAGTTAACTAATGGAGGGTTCATTTAGCAGAGCTAAAGGCAATGTAGCTGGAAGCAATGAGGTGATGTGACTTATGAAAGCATTGGTGCAGCCATGACTTGTTACCAATTCGTCAAAAAACTGCTACCCCAACAAGGCACAGCACAAAGTAAATAGGTCATTGAATGCTGTGATAAAGGATAAAGGATAAAGGTAACAATTGTGCAATTAAAATCAAAATTACCACTTCCTTGATGAAATTGAGGTTGAATCCTAAAAAATTGCCCGCATACAAACAAAGCGAAGAAACATGAAAGTTAAAGTGGCTGTGAGCCACTGAACTCAGAAAATGAATTATGAAGGGGTTTTGAAACTATTGATCCACTCAGGGAAAGGACATCATCTCTCTCAAATTACATTTGCTTACATGGCGCAATGATTTGTGCTTCTTCCTGCAAGCGAAAGGTCAAGGGATCTACCCCAGGCAAGAGCAAGTTCTAGTTTTCCTTTCCTTTCATTTCCCTATTTTTTAACTTATTCTTCAAAAGCATATGTTTCTTCTCTTTTCATCCAGAACGTCACCTATCTCTGAGCAGAAATACACATTTGAGAAGCCAGTTATCAAAGTATAGAGTCTGTCTTTCATTTTGTGTATTTGAAAAAAGGGGAGGTTTCAATCATTCCAGAATACAGTTCATTGATATGGTGTTTTTTTCGCAAATGAATGTTCAAATTGCAGATCAAAAAGGTTTAAAAACAAGGCTTAAAACACTGAAATATAGGACCGTTTGTTGCCCTTGAAAGTAGATTTATCTGAGTGCCTCATAAGCTTTATTACTGAGCTACAGAGAAGTTGAATAGTGAGCTGAGCCATTACAAGGTTTATATACTGTGTTACAAGCATACTACACATTGGAAGTACAAGGAGACTATACCATAATCTGTAAACACCTCACTAACCAACAACGTTTTGAGTCCCAAGAAATTAAAGCTTTCCCATGTCTTTTCAAGGTTAATCATCCACCCATCCCATATCCAGAAATGACTTAACATTCCATGTTGGGTGATAGTTATAGGGGATGATTTTAAATGAGTGCAAAGTAAATTCATAATGCAAATGAGAAGCTTTAGCACACAGTAAATTCAGTTTCCACATGACAGTGTCCCATTCACTGATACAGTATTCGACAGTGAGTTTGAGGTCCGTACAATAAACAAAAGGTAAAAAATAGAAATTGAAAGTGTAATTCTAACTATTCACCAAACCTTTTTTGGTGGGTTGTATCTGTTAAACTCTTCACCCCAAAGCTTGGCATCCATTTGCAGTCTAACATCATCAAAATACACTTTTCTGCTCACTTCGTCAATATACCTTTTACAAACATAATTAGCTGCATGCTTCCAATTCATGTGCTTTGAGAAATTGGAGAGCTTCTTCCTGTTAGAGGAGGAAATAGTTAAAACATAATAGGACTTCAAAATATTTCAGCTAATTGACTGATTACATACTCTTTATAGAAGTGGATAGAAATGAAACTAGTCTTGATTTTTAAAACACATAAAAATACTGCAAGGCAGTAAAATAGACAAAATTATGTATTAGGGTTATACTTTGTAAAATGGGAAGAAGTGTAAAATATTAAACATCCAAAAAAAATTTTTGTACTCCATCACATAATACAATGTACTTCTATGCAGGAAAACATTTGTAGATTAGGCATGAACTGTTCCCCTTTCAAACCAATTTAAAGCTGCCCTAATTTAGCCAATTTGAAACAGATTTATTCAGTTTTAAGTCCTTCGCCCTTCTTTTTTTTCTACCAATAAAGCCACTGCAAAGCTATTTGCGGTTTTCATGGTCCTAACAAAATTGTTCTGGTAAATACTAAAGAAAAAGAAGACATTTGTGATCAATTCTATATGTGGCATTTTGCTGGTTTGTTTTTAGAAAAATTGTTCTCTTGCAGTTATGCATGTATATTAGTATCTAGCATTCTATCACAAATGCCACAATCTACTATTTGTCATCTGTTCTATGATAGTGAGTTAAGGGATTAACCAAACATTGCATGGTGGTAAAAAAAATAGAATAAAATACGAGCCTGTCTCTTCGTTAAATTTTGAACCTCTTTTTATAGTATTTATGTCATTCAGCAATTTTGGTGACATCCTATTGGGAAAAATACCAGATATCATTTGATTTTTTTGCAGGAGTTCTAACTGCAGCCAAATTTCCAATGTACAGATATCTTAAAAATCATGCTTATCTTCTATTAGAAGAGTATGTCTGTGATACCTTTTAAACATAAAGATCAGAAATCAGTCTGCAATGCAAAGTTTTATTGACAATTATCAAACAGTACTTACAATCTAAAGCACTCCCTCATGGCTCCTTGATCAAATGGCTACAGGAAGAGAGTAAATACATCACTTCAAAAAGAACATGTCAGCTTAAAAATCAAGAGGTTATTCCGTGTCAAATATTCTGGGGGGTTCAAAGGTCTCAGTATTCAATATGTCTGTTGCCTGGTAATTCAGGTATGATTCACTTCTCTTACTTAATGTAATTAGTTGAAACAATCAGCAGAATATTTAATTGCAACTTCCAAAGTGATATATTTTTTGCATCGTAGTTCAATTACTCTTGAGCAGTTGAGTTGTTGTTTGAGTCTACAAGTGCTTTGAGTCATAGTTTTGTTGGGTTTCATTGGACTACTCAGTGTTAGAGTTACAACTAAATGTACAATGCAAGCTTCCGATTTCTTGCCCATTAGCTGTAAATATAACAATTTGGAGATAACTGAGAACTAAACAACATAAACAATAATTCATTTAAATTCAACAAGACTCACCAATAATTCCATTTTGACTCTCACTTCATCCTGTACCCAGTTTTTTTTCAGTGCATTGTATCGATGTCTCATGGCAACTTCTGTAGGGCATGAGTCATCAATATGAAATTTTTCCCAAGGATCAGGTAAACTTTTAGCCTTTTTAAGAGCAATCTTCCAGCTTAAATGGTGCTGCTGTTTGTGATGAGGAGCAGTTTGATCTTGAAGATCATCAGCACTGGCCTCTTTACTGTTTAGATGAATTTCTCTGTTAGATAGCATTTCATCATCCTTCAGTAATCCAACTTCACCATTCCAATCATCTGTTGTTTCTTGTTCTACATTTCCACATCTTCCAGACTCAGGGTCAGTTGTTCTTCCATTATCATTGCTTAAACTTTCCAGGCTCTCCATAGCAGACTACCCTCCTTCACTTTACATAACCATCTTTGAAGAAATCGCCATGCTTGACTTCTGGCACTATCAGCATTATATTTTCTGAGAAATTGCAAAACAGAAAGTGCTTGGATTGATCTTGTTCTTAGATTTCATGAAGTCAGTAATTCATTGTGTTAGATAATGAGAAACCCTCAGATGGTTTCAAATGGGTTCGATTTGGCTGGATAAACTTACACACACAACAACTGCAATTCAACATGGCAAACCCCAACAAGAACTCCAGCACCTCACTTTAATGCACACTCATTAAACCACTGATAATACATGACATTTCCTCCCCCTTTAAAATATGTGTCACAAATGCTGAGTTACACCAAAAATACATGGTAACAACAAACTTAACCTTTCTACTATCAACAAAACATCTACTGAGAGTAGAAAGTGCTCTTAGCCTTAAAATGTTCTTTAAGTCACAAGTTAAGCCTATCGGGGGCTTTTCTCTCTCTGGCTGGGTATCTGTGCTCAGCTCTTATGGGACTGGACTCACTTGGGTGCTGCACCGGAGATGGTAGTTCAAGCTCTGGAACTGCAACAGGAATCTGCTCTGGAGACATAGAAACTGGCTCTTGAGCTGCTAGAGAGTCTCGAGTTGAGGACTGAAGAATTGGTTCAGCTGTAGGTTTCTGAGTCTCAGTGGGTTGGTCTTGAGTTGTCATTGAAACACCAACACTTGGTGGTGGTGGTGTACTCGAGCCTGACACTGTTGGTGGTGTACTCAATCCTGACAATGGAACTGATGACAGGAACCAGGAACCAGGAACCACTTCCTCAAAAGCCTCTCCACAATTTACACGCTCTGTCTGCAGGAGGTGATTAATGTGGACATAACATAGTTGGTGACCAACTCTCACCAGGTAGGTCAATGGTCCCAACCTTCTTATCACTGTGCCTAAAACCCACATCTCCATCTCACCCTGGGTATTTTGCACATTCACCAAGTCGGCCTTCCCTGTCTACATGGTAACCTAGGAACTCTATACTTGGTACCATGAACTCACACGTAGACTTCTTAGCTAACATGCCATGCCTCTCCAGCTGGGTCAACATCTCATCTAATACTTGCAAGTGTTCATGGGGATCAGTTCTGATTATGATGTCATCAATACAACAACACACATTGTCCATTCCCTGTAATATCTGATCCACAGTTGACTGAAAGAGTGCAGGGGCAGAGGCAATACCATAGGTTAGATGTTGATGGGCATATAATCCTTTGTGAGCTTTCACAGTTTGGTATTGTTGGCTTTTCATGTTCAGTTCCATTTGCTGATAGGTGTTTGACAAATCAATCTTGCTGAACACAGTTCCACTTCCTAATGTGGCAAATATATCTTTCATGTCCAGCAGTGGGTAAGGGTTGTCTAGAAGGACCTGGTTCACCAACACCTTGAAATCACCACAGATGCGTAGACTTCCATCTTTCTTGGGTACGCAGACAATGGGAGAAGCCCAGTCACTCTGTTCCACCTTCTTTATGACTCCTAACTTCTCCAAATTGTCTAATTCTTCTTCCACCTTTTTGCGTAGTGCATAGGGAACTGGACCAGCTTTGCAGAATATCGGTTCGCACCATCTTGCAACTTTATATCTGCCATAAAATCTTTGATGGTTCCCAGTCCCTTGTTGAATAACATTTTGTGCCGACTTAGAACATCAGACAGTGTCAGCCTTGCTCACATGACAGGTATTGTGCCAATTTAACTTCAGTTGCTCCAACCAGTTTCTGCCTAGCAGTGGAGGGCCCTCTCCATCCACAACAATCAAAGGTAGCACCAGTTCCTGTTGTTCATAGACCACAGGCAAATGAACCTCCCCATAGACAGGAATTCAGACACCATTGTAAGCCTTCAACTTCATCTTGGTACCATGTAAGGGCCATTGGTTAAACTGCTGATCATACAGGACCTTAGGTAAGATAGACACTGTGGCTCCGGTATCCAATTGCATTTTACAACTCTTATGATCCAACATCACTGACATGAAAATCAGAATGTGTTCATCTTTTCCAGAATCTTTCACTGCAAAAATGCCCAGAACTTCGTCATCCTCTGTTTCCTCCTTGACCACTTCCAGGTATTTTGTTTTTCCAGGCCCTCTCTTTCTACCAACTGACTTGTTTGCGGTTGTTGAATCATTGCTGGGTTTTGTCTGGCATACACTTGCATAATGACCCACTTTCTTACACTTCATGCATACACTTAAACGGGCTGGGCAAATTTTATCCTTGCTAAAATGTCCCTCTTGACCACACCAGTAGCATCAGCCTAGCCTTTTCTTCTCTTTTTGCTGTTTAGGGGGCCTTGAATCAGGGAATGAGACAACTTCATTCACTCCCAAGGATTCCTGTGTTGAAGATAGAGAATCCTGTGCTCCCATTTTCGTAGCCTGAAGGTCAACTGCTTCCATCGACCGAGCTACCTCTTGCACTTTCTGAATAGTAAGATGCTCCTTTGCCAACAATTTTTTTCTTAATTCTGCTGATCAACATTTATCAATAACTTGATCCCTGATGTCAAAATCTGAATTTACATAATTACACTTTTGTGCTTGCTTCCTAAGCCTAGCTATGCTAGGCTGACTGTCTCTCTCCTGTTGAGCCATGCTCCTGAATACATGTCGCTCATATGGTTCACTATGCTTGGCGACAAAATACGCATTCAGAGTATGTACCACTTTCTCAAAATTGGTAGCCGTACCCTCTTCAAATTCTTTCATCAGGCCTGGATCATTGAGCATTTCGTGCAACTCCTGAACCTCTATTCCTGTGGTGTGAAGTAACAAAGTCTTCTTGGGCATCGTTCACCACTCCTTTGGCCACAAGAAAGTATTGAAATGATTGAAGCCATTTCTTCCAACATAGTCCCAATGCAGATGAATTATCTTTGCAATCAAAAGGAGCTACACCTTGAATTTCAATATTAACTGCCGCCATTCTTCATTAGTTAGTCCATCCCATCCTTGTCACCAGTGTTAGATACTGAGAAACCCTCCGATGGTTTCAAAATGGGTTAAATTTGGCTGGATAATCTTACACACACAACAACTGCAATACAATATGGCAAACCCCAACAAGAACTCCCCCACCTCACTTTAATGCGCATGCATTAAACCACTGACAATACATGACTCATTGAGTTGGTGAATTGTATGTTTAACAGTAACTGATTAACATGGTAATGCTGATGATGACAGTTTCAAGGAAATAATCTATAACTGCTGCTAAATATTTAGGGATAATATTACAGGTATAAATAAAACCCCAAGACAACATTAATTCCCCAAAACCCCTTACTTATTAAAATCCCAGAAAAAATTAAATTTCCATCTCAGAAGGTTTGAGTAGAGTATTTAATTTGAGCATTTTAGATTATGAGCATAAAAAATATCATCTTACAGTCAAAACCTATGTTAAGGTAATTCCTCAGTATTTCTCTGTATAAATTAAATTTGCGTGATTTTCCCACAAATTGTATATCAAATTGTTCAATACCCACAAGACTTTCCAGCTCTCAATTTTTTTCAAGTGTTACTCTAAAGACCCTTACTTCCAGCTACAGCAAAATGTACCATGAACCAGTGAAATGACACACGTGATTATGCCAGGTACTAGGCATAAATAGGGTAAGTTTGGCCCATAACATCTCCTAAAGAAGCATGGTGACCCATCTTTTTTATTGTATTTTTCAGAACAGACATTGTAAGGAACATTTAAGGAGAGTTCAATAGTCCAATTGTTTTTTTCCTAAAGAATCACCTGCAGCAACACCGTATTAAGCAGTCACCCTGTATCAAGCAGTCACCATGTATCAAGCAGTCACCCTGTATCAAGCAGTCACCCTGTATCAAGCAGTCACCCTGTGTCAAGCAGCTGGCGGTGAAAGTCCCAAATATGTTTCCCTTTAATCACTGTCAGTTTCATCTTTATAAAGTGGTCACGGGTGACCACTCAATACAGGCTAAACTGTGCTGATGATTGCCTATCCATCATGATGTTAAAAATTCGAAGTAAGCTCAACCCAGGCTATATCTTGCGAACAAGCCCAAAAGATTACCTTGTAGCTCTCCATGGCTACGTATACCTTGGTTTAATATTATTTGCTCTTTTTCTTATTGGTCCAACTCAGTATGGGGTCCTAGACTTTTCTCTGGGCCTGGCAATATCGTTAAGAAGGTTTGCTATCTTCAAAAAAGTTCCATGAAACGTAGAAGGCTCAAAAGGTACATGTTCAGTTATTTACACGTAGCTCAGACGAACAATTACCGACGGAGCAAGTTCGGCTGACGGTTCAAAATCGCGAGGATAAGAGTATGAAGGACTCGTCAAAACTGATCAACAAAAGAAGGAAAACGGTGGTTCGAACCAATTAAATTAAAAGCTTGAATTATTTGCTTTTTTTACACACAAAAAAACAATATTTCGAAAGGAATCACCAAAATTTACACGTTTCGGCAAGATTTCTGCATGACCACACACTTCATTATGCATTCTGCTTAAATGCATGGATAAAAGAAAACAATGGCAAAAAAATTGGTGGTCTTTAGGACTGGTAAGGCTTCGCTTTAGAGTGGTATGGGGTCATACGGAAATATTTCCCACGTTTCTCTCACCTTTTGACTCTTTTAGACCTTTCCTTCACAACATGTCATGGTGTTGAAAAGATTTTAAGACTTGTAATTCATACGGATCAATTGAAAGAATGGTCGCTTCGTTGCTGGTCGAACCAAACAGAGTTGTAAGTAAAATAAATCATTTAGGAAAAGAGGCTGGAATCAACTCAACACTGCTTTCCAGACCTCACTCTGGCTCGAATTCTGTCAACATCCCAATGCGACAAGCTAACGTGTCACGAGAAATACCGCACGAGTATGGCTGGTTGTAATATGTGCCTTAAAGGACTAGTTTATGTTGTACTGGTTTTGCTGGCAAATAGAGTGGAAACTAAATCTTTCAGTGGAAATGCAGTTGTGGACGCAAGCAAAGTTATTGGTCCATTGGAACACTTCTGGGAGAGCACGGGCTTCTGTCCACCAGACCCTCATCAAGACTTTCACAAGTTCATATTCGCAAATGACGAGCTCCAAAACCTGGCTTATGTGGGTTCTGTACCGAACAATGGTATAAAGCAAGTGCGAATTCACTGGCTGCTGGACCTAGTTTCCATGAAATTGGAAAATGATAAACTTGTCTATAATTTCACATTTCTTGACAAAGCAATGAAGCTGCTTATTGAGAATGATTTAAGGCCTGGGTTTGAACTGATGGGAAATCCATCAAATTTCTTTTCAGATTTCGATGATACTGCTCAAATCTATTCTTGGAGAAACCTAGTGGAAAGTTTGGGTAAACATCTCATCGGTAAATACTCAGAATTTAAGAGTGCGTTTAGAATGAAGAATGTAGCATAATCCCATGCTTCCAAGGCCTACAAACCCAGACCGTACTCATGACAATTCCGTTCATCGAATTATCCACTTCAAAGAAAACGAAGAATTACATTTTGGTATTTTGAACATATTTTCTGCCATATCTTGCATATTCAAACAAAAATGCAGAATTATAATGCAAAATATGTAATACTAAGCATTGTCGAAGTTAAAATACTCTGCAGAACGTTCAGTGTAGGAATATACTTGTATTGCCCCCCCCCCCTCCACCACCGCTCCCCATCATAATAGCCTTGCAAAGTGCGACATGGGAACACAGAGAGAAAAGACCCAGATAATGTTAAATCAGGATGTTGGGCACATAAAGCATGACGTGATATGTGAGATGAGAAGATAAGATGATAGAAGAGAGTCAAACCACAAGGGTCACACAATAGACTGTCAATACTCACAGAAAGGTTAACTGTGTTGTAAAATACAATTTCTTCTGCCCAATGCCATTTCACTTTTCTGTTTGTCACTGTTGTACTTTTGTGTGAGCATCTCATTGTTACTCATCACTTAAGCTCCCTCATGTTGTCGTTTTTAATAGGGTTTTACACCTTCACTGGTAAAATCTATTTTGTTTATATTGATCTCCCAATCTAGAGATTAACAGCTCTGTATGGGAATCAGATTTCCCTCAGCTGTATTTCTCCCAAGTACTTATTTAATGTTAGACATCAGAAGAAACATCACCTTATGAATGTTTCTGATGTGGTACCACATGTTATATGAGGGAAGTTTTCATCTTAGGAAGCAACATCATGTAAAAATAAACTTGCAATTTTTGTTGAATTTTTAAAATGTATAAGTCATAAAGATGGTTTTTAGGATGCATTTCAGAACTAGGAAGTCTAACCATTGAGAATTTCTTCCTGGTACACCATGGTGGCAGAGTCAATTCTGGTTGATTGCTGGTTAAACAAAAATTATTATTACATATTTTGTGACTCATGACAAAGCTTACTCTGCTCAGCCAATAAAGATAATTTTTTTGCATATTAAGTAGTTTATGGTTCATCTCTTGTTCTTTTATGGCAGAGGTCTTTGGGTTAGAGGAAATTTGTCAGTGGAACTTTGAATCATGGAATGAACCAGAGAATAAACAGCATTTTGATGGTCTCCATGTCTCCACTAAAGGATATCTCATGTATTATGATGCTTGTTCTGAAGGACTTAAGATGGCCCATCCATCTCTACGACTAGGAGGGCCTGCCACAGGGTACCCAGACAAACATCCTATATTTTGGGTAAGAAACTTGTTCAGAGGATATCATTTTGTAAGTAACTATTACAAATAGAGGTTTGAGTGGTTTTATTTCTACATCTGCCCTGGTTTTAACTTTTTGTGAGGTTAACACTATCTTTAGATTAAATTTGTTGTTTAGCATACTGCCTAATCATAGTCTTAAGATTTGGCTTCAAAATGTGGAAAGGATAACTACTAACTTTTAATGTTTGAGTGTACTGGATGGTTTGCATTTGGAGATAAGCAATTGTATGGTATATTATGATAATGCACAATTATGATATATGGCCTGCATTTGATAGATAGAGTGCAAATAATTGACTTGTTTATTTAATTTGGTCTCCTTTGGTCTTTGTTTTACAGTCTCTACTGCAACACTGCAACAATGGTACTAACTTTTTTACTGGGCAGAGAGGAGTTAGACTAGATTTTATTTCTTTTCACATCAAAGGTCAAGGACACTCTTTAACGATTTTACATAATGAAACAGTGGTTATTGGGGAAATTGCTAAACTGATTCCAAAATACATAACTACACCAATATATAATGATGAAGGAGACCCTTTGGTAGGTTGGAATTTAGCTGAAGAATGGAGAGCAGATGCAACATATGCTGCTATTGTTGTCAAGGTGAGAGAAAAAGATCATTGCCTCCTTTGTAATGCAATGCCACTTTTTTGTTCTAATACAACATTTGAGATATATTACAGAGTAAGTTCATAGCAACATGGAATCTATTTGTTAAGCTGTGCATGCTAATTTCTAGTTTTATAGCCACCTATCAAATGTCTTTTCATTTACTCCTTATCTCTGTTTTGAGGTTCAGGTTTTAAAGTTTTAGTGTATGAATAATGGTTTTATTTGTCCCCAGTTAATTCCATTTTATGTTTGAAAATGACACTTTCTTTTTGAAAATAAGGTTACTTGGCACTCCTAGTTATGAATAAACCTTAGTTATTTAATTCTGCTTGGCATTTTTTTCTTTTTGAAGGAAAGATAATGTAAGATCGTGTGATGTAAGCCAATCCTTCGGCTTGGGTGGTAACTTAGTTGTAGACCGTATTTAGTAATTAGGTTAATCAGTACATAAACTTTAATTGAAGAGATTCTATCAATCTCACTGTGGTGTGGCAGAGTAAATCCAAGTTCTAAGCCAATGCAGATGAACTCATTTTTACAATATTTGTAGATTCTGGTTCAACATCAGGACTGGTTCTTAAAGAGTAATTTCAGCATCAGGTTTGTGATTAGTGATAGTGAAAATCATTCTATCCTCAAGTTTTTTTTTTTGATTCAGTAGTCCCTCCAGTGTTATGCCTGACCAGATTTAAGTGTAAAAGAACAACCTTTTCTTTTATGATTTCTGTTTCATTTCTCATTAGATATAACCTCCTAAGCAATGATAATGGATTTATCAGTTATCCTCCAGTCCACTTCCGTCAACGCACATTACTGGCAAGATTTCAAATGAACCATTCTCATCCACGGAAGGTAGAATTTGTTAAGAAACCAATTTTTAATGTTATGGGGTTGCTAGCACTGCTAGGAAATCAGCAAATTAAGGTTTCTTCTTTTGGAGAAAATGAAGACTGTGGAATTGTGGCGAGTATTTTGAAGCCTCAAAGACACTGTGATACCAATGACTGGGAACTGGCAGCTGTGCTCTACAACAGCAATGATACATCTGGCAGAACTTCTGTCTCAGAAATAAACTTAACTGTTTTGAACTTGCCATTGAGACAAGATGTAGCATTTGTTGTATATAAACTGGATAATGAACATGGAAATCCATTTCAAATGTGGAAGGAGATGGGTTCTCCGATGTTTCCTTCTGATGAACAATTTCATATGCTCCGCCTTCATCAGGTAACCTAGCCAGTGATGAAAATTGATGTGTGATATCAAATATTCCTAAGGGAAGAGCAATCTAATGGGATAGTCCCTCAACAAAACCAACTATATAGACACAAGTCTATTGAGTAAAAGAGGAGGTGTTATTTGAATGGTGAAGGTCATCTTTTAAGGCAGAAATTTGGATAGATACTATAGGTTTCAATTATCTTTGAATACAAGAGACTCTAACAAAAACAAATATCCAAGATTCCAAAGTTTTGCCCACCCAGTTAGTGGTGAATTTTTTTTAAAAGACATTGAGACAAATTTCAAGAGTAAACAATTTTGATTTTCTTCCTTCTTTCAAAAGCATTTCAGGAAGAGGGCAACTAATGGCCACATCATTTGAGATAATTACTCAAAGTTGCATGTCATTGACACTTCTTCTTCATCATCTTATCCTTAGAAAGCAAGGAGCTTGTTGTGAGAGATGAATTGAAATTGAGTTTGAAACCAGCTTGATTGCTGGACAAAAAAAATTAAGTTTCAGTTACAAAGAAAAGAATGAAATAAAACCATAGAAAAGCTGAACACTGCTCAGTGCGAGAGAGTCTTAGGATTCAAGATATGGTTGGAATGACAAATTGAATGCTAATCCTAAGTGGTTGAAATTACAAGGCTATGAATATGTCTACTAAATCTCCAAGATTTATTTTTCCTAGTCAGCCTGGCTGATGATATTGGAGGGGGTTAATGTTAAGGCCAGCCCTAGATGTAGTGCAGGGACCAGTCCATTAGAAGTTGAATGTGACTAAAGCCCAGGTGTGGGAAGGATATGGTTTGGACTCCTCAGCCTATTATAGTTTCCTGCTGTTGGTGGAAAGGGCTTTTAAGCCTATTATGACACTATGCTGATTTGCCTGACTAGCAGTCAGGCTTATGCCTCGTCACTGCTTAGCTAGTGGGCTGAAATGGAATTTATGGAGGGTGGTTTAATGTCAAAAGCATCATATTTGGGAGGGGGGTTCTTCCAAATGCCTGTCTCCAAATTTTTTTTCGCTTAAATGTTGGCAATATCCACCTTCAAGCCAGCCTGGCCAATGAAATGCAGGGAAATTGCGTAAGCACTAAAACATGGAACGACCTAAAACCACCTAAAACCACCTACAACCACCTACAACCTACAAATCTTGTTAAAAATTTCTTTAAATCTTTTGCTATTGAGGGAATATAAATATAATTAGCATGCTCTTCCATTTCATTTTGTGAGATGGTTGATTATACATGGAACCAGGGAGAGTAAGATTTCAGGGGGAGGGGGAGGTTTTGTTCAATTCTCATATTTCATGTGTGTGATGTGTTGTTGTCTTGCCTTATTTAAGACATTAACACCTTGTTTTAAATGGTTTTAGATAGTTTGCGAGTGGCTGTAGATGTTTTGGGGTGGTTGTAGGTGGTTGTCAAAATTTTTGAGGTGGTTGTAGGTGGTTTTAGGTGGTTTTAGGTCATTCCATGTTTTAGTGCTTATAGGGAAATTGAAGTCAAATCTGGTGTCCATGGCCAGACAATGGACATCTTTTGGTTTTTGTTAGCTTGAAGGCAGGCTCAGCTCTGGCCTAAAACAGGAAGGAGCTTAAAATCAAGTATACCACCTGAAAGGAACTCATTAAGGTGTACTTAAGGGTGGGTTGCTAACAGCTGTGTGTTTAAAGCTTGAGGGTGGGGAGGGTAGGTTTTGGACCTATTGGCCAATGGGGTTTACTTTGTGGATAAAAGTTATTGTTTTTTTTATGGGAGAGTTCTTCTCAGCCTATTGTTTTCTTGGATGACGATGGTAACTGCCCCCTGCTATTATAATAGTGATCTTGCCAGTGGGCTAGATCACTGTAGTAGGGGGATTGTTATTTTCCCAAGCTGGGGCTTTGGGAAGGGACTTTGAGTTAGTTCTGCCATTGGGTATGGGTTAGGGTTACCGGTAGGTTGAATCCACTAAATTGCACTCACTACATATTACAGTCCATTTATGTCAAGATGTTACCAACTAAATATTTCTTGGCATAGGCCTTAAAAGTCATTGCTCTGAAATCAAACTTGCAATGAGGTTACCACAGAACTATTAAAAAAGAAGGACACACACACACCAGGTCAGTTCCATAATTAAACAGTTGAGCACCTTATTTGAACACACATCTTGTGATGTGCCAATCTGTTTGTTGAATGCAGTACTAATTAATTTTTATGTACAGGAACCCATTAGAAGTCTTGGTCCAAGCATAGTCTCTTCCAGTACATTGAACCTCCATCTAACCCTTCCTCTTCCAGGAGTAAGTTTGTTACATGTTTGTGCAAAGACAGTCTCAGCCCCTCCAAAGGTGAGATATACCACTGGGAATAATATCAAAGTACTTCCAGTTTAATTGGAGCTGATTAAACGAAACCAAGCAATGAGAAAGATTGATGATCTAGCCAATCTAAGCCATACAAAACATGACTTTTAAGATCGAAATCTTTGAAATGTTCTTAAAATATAACCTTTAAAGGGGTACTGGTGGTGTTTATTCAAAAATTTTTTTTCCTAAATAACTTCTTTTATTATGGTCAAATTTCCTTGCCTTCTGTGACACTCCACATTCTAACTTACCATAAAACTGTTGTAGAATGGAAAATATGTGGTGGAGCCTACTAATATTACATTTTATTAACTAAAAAAAATGCTTCTTATGTGTTGAGTCATTAATTAGTAATCTATTTAATCAGATAAATAACAGATTTCAGAGTTTTTCAAAGGCAAGGTCACAATTCATAACAAAGAGGGGGTCAATGATACACATATGTATGCACAACTGAGCTAAATGGTCAGAATATTCTTCAAGCCAAATTTTTGTCAACAGGCTGAAGCTATTAACACTTTTGCTTCAAAGTCTGGCCAGTTCTTATTAAGGTTCAGTTTGCATTCTTGTCTCATTATAGTTTTTAGGCAAGTTTTCATACTGTATATTAATGAAAGCAGACCAAACTAAGAAGCAAAAATGTTAATTAAAGCTGCACCCTTTCAATGGATATGATAATATGACATAATTGTCTTCAGTATACTTCAGGGTTTGACCTTACTATCAAATTATAATAATAATTTGAGTGTTTTCAGCTTGATTGTTTGAGAGGCCGGGGTTTAGGTACGTGTAGGGGGTATCTGGACCACTTTCTATTTGTATTATATCCAAAAATTTTTGAGGATGAGTTTTTTTGACATTTAAGTTGCAAATAACACCTTGTGTCATGCATGTGGGAATGTACCCTGTCCATCCTATTAAGGGCATTGTCCCTGCATTATTGAGTGGAGGCAGAGCGACAACTTCTAAAGATGCATGTGTGGTGTGTAAACACCAAGGGTGCTTGCTCTTAGGACTACACAGCCTGAAGCAATTGCACTAGCCTTCAAAGTGGTAAATACTCCTGACCATTAAACTATGCATCCATGAAGTCCTCATTTCCACAACCATGTTTGCAAATCAGGTTCTTATTGGACCTGACCTACACAGAACTCTGTCTTGTTTGTTCAGCTTCATAGATTCAGCTTGACATTCCATCACTTAATGATGTGTGATTAGTTCATTATCTACAATCAGCAGTTGTATATAAATAATAGCTTCTATTTGGGGATAAAATATGCATGGATATTTGTCCATGGACATTATCTGCTCTAAGATGTGAACAGTTTCCTGAGAATGAAACCCAAGGAAAACTGTGGACTTCGGGGAGCAGATAATCCAGTGATGATTAAATGAGCATATTTTTGCACAAAGTAGAGGCTATTCTGTTTATTATCCTTCAAATTTTTTGCAACGTGCAAAAAAAAAGTTTATGAACAGCTTACTGTTTGCTGGTAGGGTGTTTTCTTTAGCCTATTCTCTAGTGCGACTTTGTGAACAAAATTATATTTCCCTTCTGTAACAACCATAAAATGCTCTCTCTTCTAGAATTAAATTTCAAACAAAGACTTATGGTAGCAGACATAAGGTTTGAAATTGGGGGATATCACTTGGGTGATATCGTTGAATATCTCCCAGTTTTAGCTAGGGGATATTCTGTCACATGATGCATTTAGACCAATTGTGCAGGAGCAAGAATATTTAATGGATCATAATTAACCATAGTTAGTGGGACTCTGTTAGCATATTGTGCTTTTCTTTGTTTTTCACGACAGGTTGAAGGAGTGAGACTCATTTCTGTTTCTCCATATGAGGTTCTTGTGGTCTGGAAGGATGTACCATCAAGGTGAATAACAATCCTTGCTGTGCTACAATCTGTGACAAAATAGTTCACACAAATTCTGCAATAGTATGACATTTTTGTTCCTGATACCCTTAATTTTATCCCTCTCTTCTTTTGTCCAGTGTTGCACTATGTTTTCTGTGGTTTTTCAAAAATGGGGGAAATAGATATTGATACAATTGAAAGCTCATTTGAAATATTCCCATCTTTATACTTCTATTAAAGTGGCCAATTCTTATATAGATTGTTTCTGTTATGTGTATCAAAGTTCTTTTCCAAGTGAAATTTAGTTTTGTCAGGCACTAATTGAAGACAAAATTTTTCAAGTACATAGAAGTAAGGCTTCACTTGTCCATTTGTGATCTCTGACAGTGGTTAAAATGGACCATAGTCACTCATCCTAATTATTTACTGCATCCTAAATGGTTGTAGATGCATCACTACCTTTGAAGTCCTGTACTCAGAAAAAAGTCCTGGTGGACCTTTTAAACGAGTTAATGAAATTGATGTTATCTTCACAAGCTTTCATCATATGATGTCTCAAGGTAATAAGACCTAGATATAAATTATGCCTACATTTTAGTAGTTATTTTAAACTAGCATTGAAAGGAACGTTTGATCATGTGAATCTGCATAGCAAGTCTCTCTGAATTTGGTCATAAATCATCTGCACTATGCTGTTACACAGAGTAAAAACTAAAGTTATAATCAAGGAGTACTACGAATACAGGACATTTCGCATAAAAGACTTTTCGCACAAGTCTTTCAGCACAAGTTTTGGAACGTTCGCACAATTCTTAGTGGTCATTTTGCACAACAATTATAAGTGAGAAACATCAATATAAAAGGTATAGTAATTGATACTGATAAGACATCTCACCATCACATGTCACTTTCAATAAGATCCAACGGCGAGAACGTAGACATTGAAGAAAGGAACAAATCTTTCTCTCTATGAAAATGTAAAGAACTCCCTATTCGAAAGATTACTTCTTTTGCTTTTCCTTTGTTAAACGAAAAACCTTTTAGTTTTGACAGTACATCATCCACTACAAACAAACGAACATGACGACCTAACGCTAAGGACGCCATGTTGATTTCGAAAGTAATAGTCACCAATCCTCCCTCCTCTGAAGTCAAAGTAAAAACCTGCAAACTGTTTTTTTTAGATGCGAGGATCTCTCAATTTCATCTTTCCACCGCAGTGCAAATATGTGAATTTTCATATATCTAAAATCTTCATTCACTTGGATGTTTATTTTGACCCAATTCGTTGATCAGCTCCCAGTTGGCTTGTTAGCTCAATTGGTAGAGCGCTGCATCGGTATCGCAGAGGTCATGGGTTCAAATCCCGTACGAGCCTGAAAATTTTTTTCAGGTCCTATTAACAACTACTCGTTTCAGTAGTGTTTCTTAGCTGCGAGGATCTCTCAATTTCATGTTTCACTTTTATTTAAAAGGAGAAAAGACCTATTTGCAAAATTTCTGTGTAAATATATAAAATTCAAGTTCACGGCCATGTTACCCGACGAATCGGATGTCGGTCGTTTCGCATACAAGTCGATTCGCACACATCGAGGTCGTTTCGCCGACACGATCTTGGTCGATTCGCATACATCGAAGTCGTTTCGCATACAGTTCGAATCAACGACATTAAAGTCGATTCGCATACACAATTTGAGTCGATTCGCATACAAAAAGGTCGATTCGCCTACCCAATCTAAGTTCGAAGTTATTTTGTGTAGCGAACATTACTCAAGGTGGCTTACTACGCGCGCCAGGACTTTCTTTCTGAATATTGCTCGCATTGATAAAAAATGAACTCTTAAAAAACTCTTAAAAAGCGAAAACAAGTTTCAGCAAGCCTAATCCACTTTAAACTAATTTCAGAACACCAAAGAAAACTTCCAAATACCTTCTGGTCATACGAGTTGGTCTGGCCGAAAATAATATTGAAACTGCTAGTGCCCAGTCTCCGCTTGTTTATTTTTATTTTGGCATTCATGCACTGTATAGCAAACAGTAATTAGAGAAATAGAAAACATTTTTGAGCATGTAACTAAAACTTTAGAAATTGGAGCTACGTCATAGTTCGTATATCTTGAAAAAATTAGCTTAACTTTTCAAAATCGTCATTTCTTCATCCTCAGTCATCTTTGTTCCTTTTTGTTTTAGAATCACCCTAGTGGTGTTATCTTCTTTAACCAACCATTATTATTTCCCAACACTTAAACCATAATTAAGGTCATCCAAGAAATATCGTGAAGTAGCTCCTTTAAGGTTAAAAGGGAAATCACGCAACAACAGTTTTATAGTATAAACAAAAGTATATAATTCCTTCCAAATTAGCGAGATACAAAGCAGGACATGTGCGTGACTCTGGTAGTCACGCGTCCTATAAATAGTTGTATTGAAAATAATGTGTGTCTCAGATTAAGGAATATAAGGGAGAAAGTCTGTATGTCAATATTGTGTGTGCATGACAGTGTGTATGTTAGGGAACTATTTACAACTTGCAAAGTTTACCTAGCTATCGAGAAATTACATGTTAATTTAGCGCTGAGTGTATTGTCTGGACGGTCCATTAAGACGGGCGCATTCCCTTAAAAGCTGCTGTGCGTTTTTTCTTTGGTGACTAAAATCGTCCCAGAGAGCGAAAACTTTGGCTTGGAGAGAACGATACTTTGCCCTTTGGATCCTTTTAAGTTTTTTCTCGGAAACTAGACGAATGCGTAATGCTGTAAGGCGGGCCTCTTGATGGAGGAGGTCAAGCAGCATGTAGAATAGCATATACCACTTTCCTGAGGCACGGCGGTGAAGCCCATGATGCCACCCTTCTATGTCATTGTTACTTCTGATGGCCATCATGTAGACGCTCCATGAAGACAGGGGCCAGGTTTGGTTGTGGATCCACGTTTGGGACACGTACTCTACAAATTGCCTTAGTCGGTCTGTTGCTGCCTGAGCTTTCAGATGTTCGAACATCGGCTCGATTTCATCCTCGGGAAGGAATGCCAGCGCCATGATTTGTCTATGGTATTGGTACGTGCCACGGTCGTTATTATATTGCTTCTGGAGTCCGAGCTCTCGAATCTGGAAAAAGGAGAAAGTTATTAGTATATACACTATTTTTTTATAAGAATATACTTTATAAGAATATCGAGGCTGAAATTGGCGATAAGTCTTAGATGGGATTGAAATTTCAATAAGAATTATATATTTATCCCTTTAAATGTATATGTATAACATATATAAAAAGTTGAAATTATGGAACGTACACGACACCAGAACACGACACCAGAATATATAAACGCGATCTAGTATAACCTAATGAAATATCGTAGACGTTGGAGTAATGCTTCGTTAATTTCAAAATTGCGGGCAACTAAAATGAAGTAACTTAGATATTTGAATTCTGTCAATAAGTTCCGCATTTATTTTAGATTGTTTACTTAAATTTACGGTTTGAATCCTCCCTTCAGGTTTAGCTGCAATCAAAAAACAGTTATTCAACGGTTTCAACTACCTTCCTCTGTACTCTTGCGCGTGCCACTAATAAACTTATATTGTTAAGGATTACAAGTCAACTGCTTATTGCAAAGAATTGAACGGCGTCTTGACGTGTGTTAACGAATTTTCCGTACGCGGTGCAAAGAGTTGTCCTTTCCCTTAAAAATGCAAGCTTTTGGATTATTTATACATGTAACTTCCAATGTTGTTTGTTTTTTTCCTTTGTTTGCATGATTTTAGTTATTGTTTGTAAAGACAAAGAAAAAAAATCACTTACCTTGCGCGGGCCACTTATGAACATCTATTGCTAAGGATGGTTAAAAGTTTAAAAGCTTTTAAGCTGAAATTCATCAATGTCGCGGATTTCTTAAAAAAAAATACCCAAACAATTTCTCGTACTCAGTTCGTGTCGCTCGGAATGCAAAATCACCTGCGTCTTGTGCTCGGTTTTGAATCTCAGATTAAAGAAATTATACTCTTTTTTTAATAAGAACCTTTCTTATAAGAAGGTCAAGGTTGAGGTTAACCAAAATTTTAAGAACGAAGTAAGAACAATCAGTCGATTAAATAGTTTTTATTTTGTTCAATTCTTACTTATAAGAGTTACAAATAACTTCAACACTCGACAACACCATCGAAGTCATCTCAAGTCTGATGTATCATCAAGGCAGCTGACCAGTTATGGCAAGGAAAATTTATTAACACCTGAAAGAACGTTTGCAGTAACAAACCGCAAAAAGCATATAAACAACATGACAAAATTCTTCTAGATATGGTGCATTACAAATTAAACTTGAACTTAGTCTACGCGCTGTCAACGCGTTCGCTGTGCCAAACAAAAATAACGCAGGACGCAATAACAACACGTGCATATCGCAGGGTTGAGGTTAAGTTTTTAGCTATCCTGTTAGATGTGGGATATTGATCAAATGAAGCCTTTAAGTGCTACTGTGGTTCTTTCTTTATTCACTCGGAGCTTTCGCCGTTCTACGGCATCATCAGGGATGATGTTAGAGTTTTCTTTTTTTTTTTTTTTCAATGTATGCGAAACGACTTCGATGTATGCGAATCGACCAAGATCGTGTCGGCGAAACGACCTCGATGTATGCGAATCGACTTGTATGCGAAACGACCGGCTTCCGACGAATCATGCAAATTTTAACTCGCTACTCGGTCAAGACTCACAGAAATTTAGCCCTTTCCTGCATTCATTTAAGCTATAGTACTTCTAAATTTCTTTATTTGTTTTGATCTTAAGCTTGTATGATTACTTATCGAACGGCTAGCGTATAATCTTTGAATTATTTTGAATTCTTGAAACTTTCGTGAAATCATTTGTTTACATCACGGTCGCTATGACGCTTATCGATCGATACTGAACTCTCCATCGCTTAGGTAATTGTTATTAGAATAATTTGAAAGGTTACAACTTGATAGATGTATTAAACTTCTCGATCTTTAAAATGATTACAGATCGAACTTGTCTTTCTACAAGATCACTATTTACTACCTACACTTACACGTTCAAGTTGTCAAATCACAACACTTGCACGTGCCGACATTCGATGTGAATCACTCTCTGAATATCGAGTTATCAACGTTGAACTGTTTTTGCTGTACGTATTACCAGTATGCCTAATTTTCATTGTACAACGAAGATATGATAAGCAAGTTTTCAATAGCTTTATTTGAAACTCTTACAGATCGATAAAACATACTATTTGAAGGCGATCGAACAAAGAGGGAAGACTGGTGACAATTACTTTCGAAATCAACACGGTGTCCTTAGCGTGGGTCTTCATGTTTGCATGTTAACTTTATAGTGGATGATACTGTCAAAACTAAAAGGTTTTTCGTTCGACAAAGAAAACGTTATAGAAGTAGTCGTTCGAATAGGGAGTTCTTTCCATTTTCATGGAAAGAGAGACTTGTACCTTTCCTTCCTTCAAGAAAGAATAGTAATCGTGTTCACGAGCATTTTGATCTAGTTGAAGTTATTACGTAAATAAATGTCTACGTTCTTGCCGTTGGATCATGTGAAGGTGAAATGACTTATCAGTATCAATCAGTATACCTTTTATATTGATGTTTCTCACTTATGATTATTGTGCGAAATGACCACTAAGAATTGTGCGAACGGTCCAAAACTTGTGCTAAAAGACTTGTGCGAAAAGTCTTTTGTGCGAAATGACCGGTTACCAGTACTACTTGTAGCTGTAATATAGTTTGAGTTCTCATGTTAATTTTTGTTTTGACCAACTGTTATGATTGTGCCTGTTCTGCCTTTCTGATACTGAACTTTGAAACTGATTTTGAAAAAGCACCATCAACAAGTGGAAAATTACAGAAGGCATGACAGTAGTGATTCTTAATTGATTTCTGTATCTAAAGGATAATCATTTCTGATCAACACTGCCTTATCGTACATGATTGGAGACTGTTTAAGTTATCCACTATCAGATTAAAAAAACTTGTTCCACACAATTATCACAAGGCAGCTATTACTGTGGACTACAGCATTGTGTGAGATGTTGAATAACATCGAATAAATTTGAATAAATTGTTGGTTTTGCAGGAGACAGAAATAATGTAGAAGGCTGGTATTGCATCGTGGCTGTGGATTACTGGGGAAGATACAGCCCTGGTTCAGTGCCAATCAAACATAACAAGACAAAATAATGATGTCATATTAACCATTTGAAAGTAAATGAATTTTGTGACTCAAAAAAATTGAAATCTTTTTTTTCAAATATCTACCTTAATATCTGGCACAGTGAAACTTTGTATTATCTTGTACATTAGTTTCATGTTTAGTGTATGACTTAATTTGTACAAGCTCAACACTCATAATTTAAACAGAATCATTAAAATGGTATTTTTCTTGATAATGTATTCCCAGTACTTATACAAAAGGTAACAAAATTGACATGCAATCTTATGGTGTTGAAATATGCATGTAACTACAAAGATCAAATTTAGCTCCCCAACTGTATTTTTCACATCAAAGACCTTTTCCAGTTTCTCCCTTATGTAGAGTTTAAGTAAAAACAAATGTAAGTTGTGCACAAAAGGTCGTTTATAATGGTGAGATAACAAATGTCACCATTTCTTGCAAAGTCTCTCAATCTTGTTCAATTTCCAGTGGTTTCTCATGTCTTCCTATATAGTGAAAATGTTCCCCACATCACAGAGTGACAGCTTTTTCTAAGGGGCCATGTCACCACTCACACGTGCGTCCTACAAATTGAGAAATTCTTGATACCAATATGCCACTGTTTTCAAAAAGTAGGCCAATCCATTCAAATGAAAGATTTGGTGACAACCAAGTCAAAGATTTACCATCATTCAAGGATATTTATTGGGTGTTGTCCTGGTGTGAACATTTTGCCAATAAATTGTTTCTCCAATTTTATGTCTCCAACCCTGAAATTAATAGGGTGACCCTGAAAGGATTAAAATATTTTTAGTTACTTCCTTGGTTAATCCGGTTTTGTCTGGGTCTACCAAAAGTCAGAAGAACATGCTTTTGACTCAAGACCTTTAAATGCACAAATTTTTAATCTTGTTTGACAACAAGCAGTAAGGCTCAGTAGAACCAGTTATAAGGAAGATCTAATTTTATGCTTGTTAAATGGCCTTGAGGGAAGTTTTGCAAGCTTGTTACTCTTACAACAGTCAAGTTGGCTCCTTAATACATCCACAAGTTGCAAAGTGATTAACAATGAGCACAATTTACATACAAGCACAACATTTTAACTCTTTTAAACCCTACCATTCTGCTAAATGTTTCAATTCTTCAAAACTATCACCTCACTTTCTTTTTTATTTAATTATAACTTATCCTAAAATAACAAAGACTAGGGAATTAAATCATTTTGTCTTGGTAAGATCACTAACAAGATCTGCATGCACAAAATAAGAAGACTTAAAGATAACATAAATTTACATTTTTAAACTCTGACTTACACTGATTAGGCAACAGCCACTAGGTCATGGTTATTATATAATTTTTTAGCAGTTAACAAATGTAAAAAAAACTACAGTGTATTTGTAACAGTACATGTAGTCACATAATTGATCAACTAAATAGCAGCTCACTCTGAATTGCATATTTGACAAAAATCACTTTGTCTTGTTTTTTTAGAAGCTAAAATTTATATCTTGTTGTCAGAAAGGATCAACTGTTCTCCTGTTCTCAACCAAAAATGGAAATCAAAACTAAATAGCTCAGGTGTCTTAGTCTGATTGAACATAAAGAAATAGAATGAATAACCAATTACAGTACCACCACAGGCAAGCAATTAATCAGTAATAAGTCAAACTTAAAAATTTCCCACCTGTAAACAAGGTTGCTCTAAAAATGAAGTGCATAATCAGGGTTGTTGGAAACACATTTTTTAAACAGATTTCACAGCTCTTAACCCTTTAACTCCCAAGATCTGATTGTTAATTCTCCCTTTAACTGTTACAAACTCCTTTTTAAGAATTTGGTGCTAGATCAAGAGAACCTCTTCCTGATAAGTGTGTATTCTCATTACCTGTTTGCTAGAAAATGAATAGATATTATAGGGAGAAGTACCATGTTAATCACCTCTGGGAGTTAAAGGGTTAAAACCCCCTTACTCCAAAGATCTCAGTAGAAATTCTCCTTACTGTCTCCCATACAATTCTTATGATGTTAGTTGAGAGAGTTCATTTTTGGAAAACTTATATTCCCCTAACAGTTTTTTCCTTCATTCTTACAACTTGTCTTCTAGATATTGTATTGATATTGTAAGGAGAAATTCCTTCTTGGTTACTCATGGGAGTTAAGGGGTTAATTAAAATGTTATTCGGGGAAAATCTTTATCATACAACATGGTATATCAAGAAGAGTCTACTGCACTCAGTATGGTGGGGGAGAAAACTTGTTGGCAGCATCTTCACCATTTAAACTATCAGCTGGTGGTTCAGAGAATGGTTTTGCCTGATAAGGATCTCCTTGGTCTTGAGCAGTTGGAAATGATGCATATGGTGATGAATAGGAATCTCCGGAAAGATTATCCCTGGAGTATTCAAACTCTGTCAAGAGCTGACGATACTTCCTGAATGCTGTAACACTTAGACCAGCCTGAAAATGGATGATAAAATTTACCGAAGTTTTATTCTCAGAAAAGTGATATCATGTGAGCTTATCACAAAGAAATTTAATTACAGGTGAACAAACAACACTATAAAAAAGGTAGGTGAAAAATCATCAGTCATACAACCTGTAGTGTACAATTCAATTTGGGATCAAAGTAAGTAAACTTTTCATTTTGAAGGGTTTCTTCCATGAAACCAGCAATGGTCGCAAATAGCATTTTGTAAATATGATCTATGAAAGACATACTTAAGAAGGTGGTGTAATGTAATCAAAAACCAAATTCTAAATTTCTCTTTATGTTGGAAAAAATAAATATTGTCATAAAGATTAAACACCCAAAGATTCAGGCAAACAAGTTTTCCATTAGAAAAATAATCTATGGAGTGGGCTTACACTGGTTTAAATTTTCAAGCAATAAACCACAGGTACACTGTATTTTAAGTGCAGTGGGAATTTTTTTATCCATGAAATAGGGGCTGTACAGTACTTTTTGTGAATGTCATGGGATAGCATCATAATTTTTTTTGCCATAATTGTCCTTATTTTTTCCTTGTTTCTTGGTTTTTTTTTTTGTTTTCAACCCTAAACTAAGAAAATTAATTTTAAAATATGAAAGTCACTTAAATCTGAGCAAAAAAACCAATGATTATTAAGGAAAATACAAATACATTGATGTCCTTTCCTCATTTGATCCACTTACCCATGTGATGATAGAGAAAAATGAGAATGTTATAGCAGCCTGACAATTGTTAATCTGAGAAGTATCTAAAGGATCTGTGTCTGCCTTCCTCCACATGTCCGCAAGATAACAAAATCCAATAAACCACAGGAAGCACCAAAGTGCAGAGAAAACTAGGTCACCCAAAACAATGTACTTCTTTGTATCAGGGTTTTCAATGGCTTCAAACTGTACATCTAAGGCAAGGAATGCAATGCAGCCCAGGAATGCAATGATACCAATTCCGACACCATAGTGGCATGCACCAGCTTCTCCATTAAAAAGGCAAAAGCCATTATCATCATAACCACCCGCAGAAATACAACCAAACACAACAATGGAAAACAACTGAAAGAAAAATTTGTGATTAAATTATAATAATGATGATGATAATAATAATAATAATAATAATCATAATAATAATCATAATAATAATCATAATTGTGCAATCCCCAAAGAGGCTTTTCAGGACTAGTAAAAACAATTAGGAAACAAACCCTGTAAACAAAGAGTATTTAAAAATCCCAACTGGTAGGAGACAGACCAGTTGGCTGTGTAAAACCAGAATACAAGTCCAGCACCCAAACCACCTGGCCACACTGCCTCCTTAATTTAAGCATAACATCACCATGGGAACATTAACCTTCAGGAAGGCTCAGGGACATTCAAAGAACACTTACAATTATTAACAATCCCTAATAAGCACACTGCCTGTTACATGTTAAGCATACATAACAATGAAAAAGAGCTAGACTAAACGTAATTGACAGTTCACTTGATGTATACCATTCACATGCTCTACAAAGCAACCAATAGCTATGGTATCGGCCAGAGATATAGAACCACACCCACATAAAGCAACTAAAAACAGACTCCCAAAACTTTACATATTTTAAGGGACATTGGAGAAAACTTTATGGCCATATGCCCAGCAGCCAAGCAAGGTCTTATAAAATGGACTGAATATCTACCACTTTGAAATTTTCCCAGAATTTCCATTGACACATTCTTTCCAAATTTTCAACTCAAAACAGTCTTCCTATCACATGAGGCTTAAGACATCCACCAAGATTTCCACATCCATCATACAATACCCAATCAGATTTCTGCTGCCACTTTCTTTCCTATGTTTCTTGGCAACCTTAAGAGGTATATGACCAGTCCTACTCATGAAGTATAACATTTCTTTAAAAACCACAGAAGAAAGCTACACATTGCTTGAAGGAGAGCACAGAGCACATGTTTGTTGATCAAAGGTAAGAATTTTAGATCTTTAGTCAAATCCTTAGTATGAATAGGAAAGACCTCCACTGACAAACACCATAAGACCGTGCAAACCATTTACACTAGAGAGGGGTTCTTGGGGCAAAATGGTTCATTCAAGACTGTACACATTTGATGTTGATGGCTGTGCTATGGCCAAAAATTGGAGATATGATTAACAAATAGATTCCAAGTTGCCATGCGTCTGTTCAGTAGTAGATCACAGATGATGTCAAAATGTGGTAAGAACAAAAAAGTGGTACACAAGGCGCAGCCCAGCGTGTCACTGATGTTCTTACCACATTTTGATGTCCTCTGTGATCTATTACTGAACAGACGTACAGATAATATAATAAAGAATTAAAAAAAGTTTTTATGATGACGTCATCTATACGTCTGTCCTCCATTATATAATCCATTATATAATGATTGGTTCTCATGATTATTGGAGGCGTGTAGATGCATTATTAAAATTTTTTTAAATTCTTTACTTAGTTCCAGAAAATATCTACGGAGGGGAGGAAACAGAGGGGTGGGGGGTAGATGACCCCAAAATGGAAAATCTGAAGGGGTTGGGGGGTCCTATATGAAATTCCCTCCGTGGTGGGGGTATGGATATTTTCTGGAACTACACATTATATAAAACAAATAGATTCCAAGTTGCAGTGCGTCTGTTCAGAAATAGATCACAGAGGACGTCAAATGTGGTAAGAACATCAGTGACACACTCGGCTGCGCCTCATCTCTGAGCTATTATTGAACAGACGCATGGCAACTTGGAATCTATTTGTTAAATAGATCATAAGTGAGAACCAATCAGAATGCATGCATAACTGAGCTTATTAAATAATTTATCATTGATAACTTTCTAATGCATACGACCTTTTACGATTAACATCCCCCTTGCACAATACAAAGAATGATTTAAGAGTTTGCCTATTTCATTTTAAAAAAGACCACCATGGTAACCAAAAGTGCAATTCTTAGGATATAAGACCACCTTATTAAATAGTCGAAAAGAGGAGAACATGACTGTTCATTTCGCTGATACACTTTTTAAATACCACCACTATCGGTGGAAACCAGATGTAAAACAAACACTGTCCGTTCTCTCTTGCCCAGCACTAGTACTTCTACGAAAGTGATGAATTCAATGTGAAGCAGTGACCACGACTGCAGAGGTTAGCAAGATAAACTTCTACAAATAGAAATCAGTAGGAGACTAATCACCAAGAGAAAATGATGAACACTGGAGAATTCAAATCTGGGACTGTAGTGCCCCAACCTCCTGCAAAGCGTGCCTCCGAGACACATAATAACCAGATTCAAGGGATGTAAGCTTGCTTTTTGAGCAGGAGAACTATACCGAATCGATTTAAGTGACGAGGCTTACCCCACCAAAACTTATAAGGAATTAAAACCCCTTCCGAAACATTGTTAGAGTCCACATCAGCTTCCGCGGTTTCGTGAAAATTAAATTGCAGACAAAGGAAAAGTTGCAAAATGTTCAACAACCCTTTCACCCAGAGAATAAAGGATGTAGCGATAAACATTAAAAAACTGAGATTGAGCCAATTCAAAACTCACAATAGAAATAAGCCTAAGAATTGTCTGTGGTTGCTTGAGAAATGCAGTAATTCTCTCCACGCCGTCGCCCTCCATCTTGGTTCACTTCTTGCGAGAAAGGACGGTTACTAAGCTGGGCTGATGAAATTACTATTTATGGAATAATGACAGAGAGATTCGAAGTAGCAGAAACCGAAAGTTACACGCACACTTTTCATACAACGTTCACCTCGACCATGGCCATAGCGAAGGAGTAACTTGTAAGGTAAGACTGCCGTTGATGATTGAACACAAAATGAGAAATTAACTTGTCAAAAGCGGAACAATGAAAAATACGTCATTATATCATGGTGCGACTAGTAAATCCACTGTGTAAAATTTGTTCACTTTTTTCGTTTACTATCACATTATTCACTCCCGCGTGCTCTTTCCGAATCTTTCACCGAGACGGTTGTGTCCGGTTTCATCTGTAGCGACCTGGGAATACCATGTTGGTAAAATCTATCCGTACAGTCACAGTCACTGCTGGATTGAAATTCGTATGGGTTCACGTTGTTACAATAGTAACAAGAAGATCAATAATTAGAACTACAGTCGAACCTCGATTATCCGGACCTCGATGATTATCCGGACTTTTTCTCTGGTCCCAATTTTATCACGAACATTTATTAGTCATGATCAAGATCCGTAGCCATTTTCTATTTAAAACTATAGCATTGAATAGTGAGGTAAAGGCGAGTTTGTTTCGCTTTCAAAAATGAAAAGCAGTGCTCGTATGCGTGGAGTATCTGTGGCCTATGATCAGTGGTAGTGCATCAGAGCGCGGAATCCGAAGGTCTGAGGTTTGATTCCTCCTGGGGACTCAGAATTTTTTCGTGCCCGTGACAAGACAAAAAACATCTTTCTCTATTTCTTTACCAAGCTCAAAACTTACCATCTCTATAATTCTATTCACGAACTTGACACTATCGACATTGCTGATTCTAGCAGTATGCAGGACTCGTTTGACATGAACTTTGTAATAGGACTCGCTCACCCTGGAGTCTCTGTGGTTCAGTGGTAGAGCATCAGAGGTCTGAGGTTCATGTCCTCATGGGGACTCAGAATTTTTTCTTTGTCCCACACCTGTGACAAGACGAAAAAACATCTTTCTCTATTTCTTTACTGAGGTCAAAACTTATCATCTCTCTTCTATTATTTACAAACATGATGCCATCAACATTGTGGGTCTTAGTAGCATGCAGGATGCGTTTCATATGAACATTGTAATAGACATTGCATACCTTGGAGTCTCTGTGGTTCAGTGGTAGGGCATTGGAGGTCCTCATGGGAACTCAGAATTTTTCTTTGTCCCATGCTCATGATAAGACAAAAAGCATCTTTAACAGCAATAATTAGTAAGATACTGAAACCATGAGTCTGTCACAAGAAAAATATATTCACCTTGAAAAAGATCAAATTATAAGTGCATGTACTCACACATCACCAAACATTACAAGTAATGTGAACCACCCAACCAGACACACATAGGATTGGTGTGACTAAGGGGGCTTTTCCCAATAACCTTCAAAATCGTGCTAAACAAGAAAAGAATTTAAATAAAAAAAGACATACAGACTGTAATAAAACCCAAAACAACAAATTGAAACCATTGAGATGAGGGAAACCAGTGAAGCAACTGAAATAGAAAAATTACAGAAGCTAGAAAAATGACCCAACCTAGGCCACCCAGTGGGTGTGAAAGATAGAATACATCAAGGAAAATGGAGATTTCACCTTAGACATCTCTCTTATTTAATATCTTGCTAATCCCCAATTTGACTAAAGCAGATAGAAAAAGAAGAGAGAGAAATCTAGCTAGAAAACAGTATTCTTGCAGCCAAAGCTTATCTACCCTCAGAACTGATGCTCCAAATTACCCTCTTTTCAAAACAACAGTAACACCAACCAACACAAACATGATCATGGCTTTCACATAACAAACACACTTGTTAAAAAACTGGGTGGGGTGGGTATTCCGCTTTTCATGTACTTTCTTTCATGCTGAAACACAACAAAATTAGAAATGGATGCCACGTTTATTCAACACATCCCAAGGCATGCTAGGTCAAGCTATTATGAATGCATCATGTAGTCCTGATACTGAAGACAGTTGTCTGCACTAGACTGCTTGGACTCTTAATACTTTGTTTGTGATTTTACCATTTAGCTACAAGAAGTGATTAACATGTAACTTCTTCCTTTAAAATCCAAACATCTAACACGAAGGTAATAAGAATGCCTTGACTTATTCAAATTTCATGGCTAATTTACAAGGAAATGTGCAACAGTTAGAGGGGAGAATTAACAATTAGACCCTAGGAGTTAAAAGGTTAAAAAGCATGACCAAAATATCTGTTGTTTACCCATGTAAATACATATATACAATACATAAATTTTTTTAAAAAGCTTACAAATCAAAGTATCTGTGATTAAGAAAAGAAATGTAACTTCTCACAATATACAAGCTTTCCTTTTGTTCTCACACATGGGATTATAACTTCATAAAACCTTGGGACATGTAGTCTACTGTTTAATTATTTCATTTACTGCTCTACATGAGTGCTAGATTCATTTAACAGTCATTTCCTCTGCTATAAAATTTTTAATCTGTTTTAAAATTGTTTAATATCAGTTTTAGATTAGATCTGAGACTAATCAAATCAAATTTAAATTGGTTTGAAAATTTTTAAGTTGGATACAACCCCAATATATATCTGTTTTGATGAACTCAGGATCACTCTTCTTAAGTAACTCATTTTAGAGACAAGTTGCTTCAGTTTTGACATATGAACTTAATTGTTTCAAAAACATTACTGCATTTGGACTTCTGAGCTTTTCCTTGAGAAAGAGAGATCCATGTTAGAATGGTTAAGGTACTTCAAACAAATAATTGAGATTGAGCCTTGAAATTTACACAAGTTTTACATTCAAATTTCTAGTCAGCAGAAAGTCCGAAAATGTCTGAGGTTGATAGAGATGCTGCCACAAAGGAAGATGGGGATTTTACCAACAGCACAGTGGACAGAGAGGGTATCACAGTGGATGCTGAATTCTCCAATAATGGTAACTGAGCATGGCCACAATTAATAAGCAATTTGATGTCAACACTTGCAGCTTTGTGGGTGGCAAAACAGACTTTGCAGGAGAAGGAGCCATTGAAGGGTTCAAATTATTGCATAGTTGTTGTTGGTTTTGCCAAGTGTGCTTGAGCTCTGGCTTTTAGTAACTCTTAGGACTGGCTCCCTAGACTTAGAATGACCCAAGGAGGGTGATTATACACTGAATAAACTTTGCTGTGTTGTCCTCTACAAACTTCCCTGAATTTTAAGATTTACCTGCTCATATTTTGGGGAAGGAAAGCACAGGGTCCAGGTATTTACAATTTTTCATCCTTTCTTGGATTGCATATGAATGTCTTATTAACCTGTTAGAAAAAATTTGAAGCAGTGTATTGTTTTACCTCTGAAGCTACTTCTCAGTGCTAGATGTAAACTAAACTAGTGAACCATACATCTCTCTATTTACTGTTACTTTGCAATTAACTGACATCTACTTTTTGTAGATTTAATTGACAGGGAGCAGGAAACCGTGTCTAGTCCACCAAGAATAATATTCAGTATCACTGAACCTACAACAAAGAACACTCCACTGCTTAAAGGAATACCAAAAGAACCCATACAGCAGTCCTCTGACCAGCATGTATTGTTTGGGCGTGGCCATTCTGCAAGGGTATTTTTGAATGATGACACAGTGTCAAGGGAACACATGAAGCTTTCACTGCAAACAAACCCTTACACGGGTGAAAGTCATTTTGTTGTAGAAACTGTCAGTGAAACAAAGCCAGTTTATATAAACGGAGCGCCATTGCTCAAGCAGGGTGGCATCAAAGTTCTGAAAACCAATGACAAACTTGGCATTGGTAAGCTGGTATTTACCCTTCAAACCATGCCTGGGGATTCACTTGAGTTTTACGAAGTTGAATTCATGACGAGCACTTCACTTTCTCATCAACATTATCAGCAACAGACAAACAATTCCATTCTTTATGCACCACCAACAGGGGCATTTAAATCCGAACCAATTATTGTGGCCAACCAGCTTGGTGCCGTTTTTCTACCAAATAACTTTGGAACACCTTCAGGGAATCCAACATTTAATATGAACGTTATGAGTAATGGAGGAGGATTCCCACAACTTGGCTCCATGATTGGTCCTCAGCAGCAACAGCTTCTCCAACAGCAACCTATGGCATATTCACCCTTTCCAAGTAAAATCGGAATGAGCCAGCACCCTGTTCAACAGCAGACAACAAACATTGCCTTTCCGCATTCTCAGTTACCAGACTCAAAACATCCCGTAACACAAAGCTCCCTCTTGTCTCATCAGATACCATTCGTTGATAGAAGGCTTATGCACCAAAGTACCAACGGACACCCGATTGAGCACAGTGACGAAAATGGCCACAGCAATATATACCTTGTTCCAGTGCAAGAGACTGATCTTTCAAAAGGTCATGTTAAATAACTATATAGTGACTATATACATGAAGTGAAGTAATATATGATTAGCAAAAGGCAGGTTATGATTTTCTTTCATGAGCGTTATATGTTGCAACTTCTTAGCCTTACTTTGACCTTCAAGAAATAATTACAGTTTCCATTTGGAGAAATTTGTGACATCAGCAACTTCTCTTGGAATGAGTCAAATTGGATAAACTTACCTACAGCTCGGTTCATTACAGTAAGTGAAATAACTAGTCACCAGGTTGTCAATGTTTGACGACAGTAATACTTATTACTGAAATCTGGAGCACACTTTTTAAATCTATAGCCTTCTGATTGGCTGAACAGAGCCATTTTATGAGCTTGTAACTAGCTACGACAAATTGGGTCAATGAATTAGTCAGCGAAGTCAGTGAAAGGTTTTTACGAGCAAGCCGTGAAGCAATGGCGGAAAGATATTTCTTTGCCGCATAACTTACAACTGAAGAAATAACAGAACTAATATCCACCAAAAGAGCCACTAGATTCGGTATGAAAATATTTCAGGGTATGTTTGTAAAGGAAATTTTACGAAATGCTGGGTGGTAATCACTTGCAGTCAGAGCATGCAAACAGATTTTTCAGGAGGGTTTTAGTGAGTTACGTCTGAGTTAAAGCGTTCTGGAATCTGTATCATGTAGAAATGGGCGCGTGGTTCACTAGCATAACTGACTAGTACTGACGAAACTGTTGTATCAATAAATTGCTTTTTGATTTACTTCTAACTTTGCGATTTGATAGTCTTATTTTCACGTGACAGTGACTTACGATGGGATAATCACTACCAGAACAAATCGGCAATAAGTAGCAACTCATTTTCATCATATATCTTGGGCCCCTTGCTTTCAACTTTTGTTCTTTTGGACATGTCAGGTAGCAAACGAGGGAGAACCGTTCATGCACATGATTCTCCTGGTTATCCCTTCCAGTATCTTTCAGGTTTGGCGATGTCGAACAAGTTCTAGCTCGATATTGATCTTCTATTAACTCTCTGTTGGGAATTTTAAAACACCCGCCATTTATTTCTTGACGCAAACAATGCATCTGATCACCAAATCTACCCTATCACGACACGTTGATGTAACTGTGTGTATCAAAAGAGGTGATTTGGTTATTACTGTAGTTAGTCTAAATTTAAACTGACTAGATTTGCTGTTGATCATCACTCTTTCATTTTTAGCTCATTCATGCTGAAAGCAATGAATGAGGTATCGTGGTGGAGCAGATGTTGACGGAAGTTGTCGACCATGGACGGAAGTTGTACTCCGTGGACGGAAGTTGCATTATGGATCGTGAACGGAAGTAGACTCGCATGCTACCCCTCCCCACTTAGTGAAAGTCAAAATTAATTTCGATGAAGCTCAGAAACTCCCATAGAAAGAAATTAAATGTTAATATGGTTTGATAAAAAAAATAACCTCAAGCCACATTTCCGAACTTCTGAAAATGCAACTTGAATCAAGAAGCCGAAATGTTCACACCTAGGGGACCCGTAGCGGGTTCATTTCAACACACGCTGTGACCACGCGAAAGAGCATCAAAGGTCGCCTTATTAGTAAGCCGCGCATTTGCGTTCGTCCTCAGTTAGTATAAAGTAATCATTGCTCTACATTGTACTTTTCCTCGTGAGCTCCTCCACATACAGTCCAAACATCAATCAAAGCGGCCAAGATAGTCTCACAATAATTTTTTTTTGAGCTCCAATATTTCGGTCCGGACTTGAGGCTCGCTGGAATAAAAACAATAGTACCAATCGGGTCAGTACAAAATGCCGACAGCAGACTGCAGACTGAAGACCGGGTACAAAATGCAGACTAGGTACAGAATGCAGACTGCAGACTGGGCACAAAATTCAGACTGAGAATTTATACTGTATTTTCGTCTGATACGTGATAACATGTCATCTTACAAGTTACCGAGTGTCGCGCAATCGCTTTCCGCGATTATCGTTCACAAGTATTTGCACTATATATTGAGGAATATTCTTTCCTCGTTTCTTTATCACAATCGTTCTTAATATAATTTCAAGCTTTCATGTAGTCTTCTCATTTTGCGCGCGAGTTGGTTGGTGAGATTTCGGTACAGAATTTACTAACTTAATAAAAGTAGATGTAGATAGAGATGTAAAGGAGATATCACTGTTGGATATTTAATACACGCAATATTCGAGAAACAATTGACATCTTTGCACGTGGTCCGTACGGTTCATCGTTAAATCGATCTGTGTTTATTTTGTTGACAAAAATGCGGACCGAGACCAAAACTGTTCCTTCAACTTGATATATTTTCAATGTTCAGGGGTGTACACACATTGATTTTTCCATATGTGCCTTATAATGTTACTGGCTTAGTACATGAGGAGCCAGCGAATTTTTATAGGGAAAAGCGAAGAGTTGCTTTCGTGACTGGCCATTTGTTTACTTGTGTGGTGGTTTTATCACTCATCTGTTTGGTGGCTACACAAACACACACACCAACAAAAAGGACATTGTCTGCCCAATGACCTCTGCCCATCCTACCTCCAGCCCACACAACCTTTTTTCCAATTCTCATCAAAGAACGCACAAGTTTTCTTATCACACAACCGCCTAAAAATAAGAGAGAATTTATTCTAAAAGTTTTGCAAGTTCACACAAACCGAATTCAACTGTACCTATATTCAACAAGTCCAAGAAATCGATACAAACTTAAGCCATAGCATGAATGAGCTGGCTCCAAGAGCCCTTTGATTTCATTCGAGTTGGTCATCAACTATGGCGTGTGGTTAATTGTGTCAATTAATCAAGAGAGGTAAAGACCAGAAAAAAAGTACATAAAGAAGCTTATTTTACCTTTTTCCATATTCGCTTACATAACCAGAATGTTCTGACAAGGACAATCAACATCTCCGTTCTTTTCCTTTACATTTATTTCAATCTGACGTTTTATTAATTTATTCAAAAAATGGTTAAATATTCTAATAAAGGTATAGTTTAACGTAGCAGACGTCGTTGTTGAAATTTTATCAGCTTTCTATGGTGAAATATTATCGTTTAGTCGATTTTGCAAATTTCCTTTGCGAAGCGTTCAACCTGCTCTTTTGTGAAGAACTTGCTTGGGGTGTCTATAACAAGCTGATGGCTTTTTCTTGGCGTACTTGCCAACTCGTTAAGTTCATCTTCATCAACGTGATCAGAGATAGCCACAGAGAATAAGGTGATACCTCTCTCTATTAATGAATCAGCACTCTGTCTTGTGAATTCTACTCCTCTAGTGCTCTTGCCATCTGTCACAAACACTGCAACCTTCTTTACACCTGTGGATGAAGTTAGATACCAAAGTCATGAAGTATGTCGTCTGAAAATGAAAGAATACCTCGAAAGTGATAAGAAAAATTTCTCTTTAAGTTTTCAGATAAGGCGGTTGACGTTTTGTTATTAAACGCAAATCAAGTCTTTATCTTGTAACTAAATTAAAAAACTTCAATATAAACTTACTTCTGTGGCGGGTTGTTACAACAGTCTCACTTTACGGGTTAGCAGATTCTCCAGGTAAGCGGATTTAGAGACAGAAAAACGATAACAAAATAACTTCTTTCTCACTTCGATTCTGCTGAAAAACTGACTTAAAACATAATAATCTAACGCTTTTAAATCAATCTATTGAATTAATGTCAATCACGATTCTTGTCATCGAATAAATCTGTCAACACGAGGCAACGCCTATTTATTAAACGAAACAGTTGGTACCAAATAAACCCGTGAAGTGGTGAATAAACGACTATGAATATATGAAAGTCGTATATTTGAACTGCGGATAAAGACGTGAATATGAAAGTGATCTCCGCAGCAATTTTTTCAGGCCCTATTTTCACTCCTGCTCAAGTAGTGTTCGAAGATTGCTTTCATATTCAAATGTTAATATTATTACGAATTATTATGGCGTCCAAAGAAAAAGCTTTCAAATTCAAAATATTAAAAAAGGTTTAATTTTTATGCTAGTTTGATCGCTACCCTTTGAAGTTCAAAAGTTCAAAGCAGGATATAAAATTCATTTAGCTGATATGTTTGATTCTTTTAATGAATGAACTTTCATCGTAAACTCCGCTAATTAAACTTTTTCTGAGCTTGCAATATAACCAGAAGTTATGGGCCGTGCTGGGGAAGCTCACCGACATCAGCTGGTTTTCCTGGAAGTTTTCCGGTATTCGACGAGCAGTGTTACGTGTACCCACTGTCTCTTTACGGGTATGGAAAGCCGGGCTGGCCTTGTGAACGGAGCCACAGGAAAAATTTCCACCCGGGTAATAGGACCGGATCGGTTATCGCGACCAAGTTGAATTTTGTCGCGATTAAACAATTTTTGTTCATTGAAAAGTAGAATAGCGTGGAGAATTAGGAAAATCATTAGCAAATTCTCAAGGCTAATGAATGTATGGTCATTATTAAAAAGACTTATCTTTTATAACCCAGGATTAAAGTGTGCCAGCACCTCAAACCACTTTAAGAACAACGTTACTACTAACCTTTATCACATATCCTTGCCCCTTGTTTACCACTGAAAAGTCCAAACTGCACAAGTCCAAACGCAAGATCGAGTCTACTGGCGGCTCCCTCATAATGGATTCCATCTATCGCCTTTAATACAGCTTCTTGAGAAGCATCATCGTAAAAAGTCCTTCCAGTTTTCACGTATTGACTGTATGATGCGATGGCCACATTAGTCCTGACTTTCGAAATGTCAAAGTGTTTTACAAGGTCAGCAGCAAATTTCTTTGCGATCTTAAACTGATTCACTGTAATGCTCCCTGATACGTCCAATAGAATAACCATGTCTACCTTGTTATGGCACTTGAACTGATCAGCTGCTGGCAACGAGATTGTGTTAATCTTACTGTAAACAGACTGGCTGTTACATGCGTTTTGCTTTCATGGCAGAGCGCCCAGTCAGAAATTTGCATCATATTGTTAATGCTATAAACAACTGTTTGGCGGGAAATATTTTATGATCATTTTAAAGCACTCATGATATTCTCAGGCTCCCGTCACAGACACAGGTCGTTTGCAAGAAGTTCTATGACATATAATGTGACAAAGAAAACTATTTCTGCGTTGGAATCATGAAGATACCCCACAAATCGACACGCGTGTGAGCAGTTGATCATAATTACCAATATAGTTTCCACTTACGGATCATTGCTTTCCTTACGTTACCTGAAGCTATAGTCAACAACATAACCATAGGAAAACTATTGATCAAAATAGTCATTCCTCTTAAAGATACTCTCATTCTCCCGCGGGATTCCCTAAAGAAAAATGTAAATAGAGATGGTATATTAAAAAGACATCGTGAAACTTTGACAAGAGCATCTTGGAATGAAGGCGTCTTTGAAGGTCAGGTAACCATTGAAACCACCTTTCCATACATATTGTCCAGTAATACCGTATTGCAGTAACTTTCAGTCGTAGATAACTGTGGATAACGGAGGATACCTGCGCTTATTATAAAGGGGCAGCGCTAGACCAAGAAATAGTCATCAAATATTATGGTAATTGAAGATTACTGACTTATTTTCGAAGACGATCTGTAAGCTTTTATGAAGGACAAGCCGGTTAACTTCTCTTAGAAATGCTTTCTGGAATAGGACTCGATTGTTTGAGATATATTATACTTTTCATGTCCCATGTTCCATGTTCTGTGTTCAAATCGCAGGCCTTCTTGCAGCCGAGCTAGTCCCTGAGGATTCTTAGTAGCACTATTTCAGGCGAAGAACCATTTATCACAAGACAATATTCACATTTTGCAATTTGTCGAAGCAAAATGTTCCTATTATACCAATAGGTCCGCATCATAACACTTCTTCTATAATATTTACTCGACAAAAAATATACTCCAAACACAGCAAAAGTATCTTATTACAAAATGTGTTCCCGAAAGAATTTTCGATTGCGCGAAGTAAAAAGATTCTTTTACAAAGAGAGTAGGGGTAAACGCAATAAATGGAAAATGTGGAACCTCGGTCAACCTGTCACAGCATCCTACAGATAAAAGGAACAACTTTAGCTTGTTACTATGTCAAACCTTTTCTTGTTGACTTAGGTACAGTATGCTCTCTTTTTTCCAAAACGTGTGGTTGACTGCTTAAATTGCTCTACCGAGGAGCGCTTAACATATACAAGCAATACATGTACCTGTGAGACCCTTCAACGAATCGGCTTGAAGGATAGAGGGTGTCATGTTTTCTGACCATAGCACCTGTGACATATTCACACTCGAACAATCTCTCATCTGATTTTGTTTATTCATTAATCATGTTATGTGATCACTCAATCACTGTAAGGTTCCCTAACAATTATCAAGCCGGTCTAAACACAAATCCATGAATTCAGGTTTTAGGGAACTCCTCCACGAAGGTCCTAGTAATAAGGTGATAATCAGGAATCAAGTTTTTATTTTTCTCAACACTGGTTGCAAACTCATCATAGACTCAACTGTCCATTTATTACAGGATATGGCCATGAATCAAGATTCAAATTAACTACAACGAAAAAGAACCTTTTGAACAAAATTCACGTCGAGGAAAGAATGGCACTCGCAGTTTACTGCAGTTACGTTTATATACTGTTACAAAAGTGTTTAACAACGTCAAATTGGATAGCCGAGTTGTTAAGATTTGCAGCTGAAATTGCATGCGCTGTACTTCTCGCGTAACGTATCTTTCTCACAACAGTGAAACCACAAGCCAAGCTTAATGGATGTAACTTTATGTTCACTTGGTGTAATTTTATTATACAACAATTTTGTGTTACGTTATCAAACATTAAGTCTTCCTCGAGAATCTCCATAAAAATTGGATCACTGCTCTGCTTTCTTTTGAAAGGACATACTTTACCGTCACCAATATGCCTTAGTTGCCATTGTTTTCCATGTGGTGGGATGTTAGGTTTTCCATATCTCGTGTTTGACTCGGAATCTGGGATAACGTGGCTGAGTAACAAGTTCGTGTCCAAGTACACAAATATTGAAGAAATGGACACTCCAGGGACAATTCACAGTATATATCTACCTTCTTATCTTCCCTTCTCCCTGAATCATCTCCATCCACCTTCACACAATTTTTTTTGCTCTTTATCCTCGTGAACTTTTACCAATCTTTATTTCCTTGAGTCACCCTCACCAACCTTCCTCTTTCTTCATTCTCACATGCACATGCAAACCCATAAAGCTTCATACTTTCAATCAGCTTCCTTATCCTTCCTCACCGGCCTTCATTGAATATTGAGAAAATCCTCTGCCGTATTTAAATGGCGCAGCTATTACCAATTTCATTTGAACAAAACTAACCAATTAGATTATGGAAACGTAAATAATCCCAAATTAATCATAGAGAGCCACGAAAAGTTCTGGACCAAAGCAAGCATAGATGGCTAAGAATTGATAATGGGTTACTTCCTGCAATCAGATTGATCAATTTTGTGAACTTTGCCTCAGAGTCAAAGGTTGAACTGTTAAAAACAGGTGTAGATTCAAAGGTATAGATTTTTTAAGGGTATCTAAAATATTCTTATTAACATTGGCGATGTTAGAGAACAAAATGGGATTTTGGAAGAGTTTTGTGCCTACTGTGCTTTCCTTCTAGGAAAGCTGTAGGCACTATATTTTCAAGATGGCGGACTATCGTGAGTCACTCGTAACGTTACTTCTGACTCGTCCTGGTTCATCACCGACACTGGCCATCGTTGAAAAATCTGATAGAGTTTCTTCGGATTCTTTTTTAGGTTTTATCGGGTTTGGTTCGATGTTTGTTCAGGGTCTCACCTTTGCATTTCAACAACGTTATCGATTTGAACGTAAGAGCTACGTGGTCAAGCGTTCTAACGTTTGCGTATTTTGAAGAATGTAAATTGAAAGGAAAAAAGACGGAAAAGAATTGTGCCTTCGGATTCGAGGGGAGAGTAAACGCTGTTTCAACAAGGTTGAAAGCCGGCAAAATATCGTTTTGTGAAGGAAAGCACAGCCATGATTCAATAATCAAATTTTTCTCATTTGATATGGCAAGAGCTCTGCAAATGTATTTTCAATAACAGCTGGTGTTGTTGGTTTTCCAACTCATAAAATGTAATAAGAAGTATCAAACGAAAGAAACAATGTTTCATCACATTCTCAAACTCCCGGAAAAAATCTACCATTAGAAATGTAATGAAACACGCTGTAAAGTTCTCGCTTTATCTGCTTGATCGAAGCAAAAGTTTAGAATCAAAAGAAGAAATAAAATTGAAGCAATATCTGCAGTTCATTATTGGAATTCTTAGCCTCCATTTCGGTTCAGAGTTCATTTTTGCTGTTTAGTAAAGTAATAGTAAAGCAAACGAGGAAGAAAAGACAAAAATATTTTAACTGTTTTAAGTACCGTTACTGAATCATAGCTTACATTTTTCTGTGTTAAATATACATCTTAGGTATTAAAAACTTTGTTCCGTTTTTAAATGGCCTCGCACGTGCTTAGTTAGGTAACAAGATTGTCGAAAACATTTCTGACAGTGTGGACATTGAAACGGTCTTTCTCCAGTATGTGTCCGTACATGAATTTTGAGGTGACTTGACTGACAAAACTTCTTCGGGCAGTTTGGACACTGGAAGGGTTTTTCACCAGTATGGGTTCTCATATGCGTACTCAGAGCTGACGAATGAGAAAACCCTTTGCTGCAGAAGCGACATTGAAATGGTTTCTCACCGTTATGAATGCGCAGGTGCAACGTCAGGTGGCTCGACTGTCCAAACGTCTTTGGACACTTAGGACATTGATACGGCTTCTCTCCCGTGTGCACACGCATGTGTGTGGTCAAGTGACTTGATTGACTAAAGCATTTGGGGCACCGTGGGCATGAGAACGGCTTTTCCCCCGTGTGAGTTCTCAGATGCGTGCTCAGAGATGTGGATGATGAGTATTCCTTAGAACACACTGGGCATTTCAACGGATCAATTCCCGGATGGCTACGCAGGTGTGTGGTAAATTTATTTGGACAGGAAAACTCTTCAGTGCACTGTGGACACTGAAGTATCTCCTGCTGGACAACACTTTCACTTGACTCATTTCCAGTCACCTGTGCACTGCCTGAGTGGCTACCTAGAGCAGAGAAAAAATTCATCTTACACCGATGTTTGTGCTCCAATTTTCATTTCCTGAATAACATCCCTTTAGAACAAAAGTTCAGTTATTCTGTGTTTTGGCAATATATAGTACAGTTACCCATTAGTTGCACACACATGTACAGACAGACACTGCACTGAACATTCAGTGCAATTTATGGATGGATATCAAGGGGTAAGATAATGATTCTTGAGAAAATTCTTATACTACTCACAAACCAAAAGAGAATCACTTTTATACCTAAGCAATATATATAATTGTAATCTTCCCCTGTCAGTTACTCAAAAGCAGTTGATTTGGAGGTCTTTGTTCGAATGGAGGGCCCTAATTTCTGGACATATTATGTACACTATTGGTCCATATGCCAGGTAGGGTGGTAAAATAAGCATGATGTACATATCCAAAGTGCTATTCAATGAGTGCTATGAAGCCAAACCCAAACAAAACACACTAGCCAATCACATCAAAGAAGAAGTCACTGAGTATTAAAAGTTAGCACATCAGCCATCTTTAAGTGAAGGAAAACACAAAACACCAAGTTGAAATTAGTTCTAGTTTTGATTGTATTGAGTTCAGAAGGTGATGCTTTAGTTTCCAGTAAAATTTCAGATCCTAGTAAATCAAATAAGGGGAAACCCATGCATTCCCATATTACTTGATATGGTCAGTTGAATATTGCTCTACAATTCACTGGAAATATAGCTGACAATGTGAGTGCTCTGAACAAAATCAGTTAATAAAGAATATCACCTTTGTCCAATCTTCTGCAGCATTTTGTAAAAACCTACACATTTCATAATAAGGACTGCAGCATTTTGAAGTAATTGTTGGTCTATGCAATCTGCAACTAACTCCTGAGGCAATTTGTATTAATTTGTACAGGGACTTTGCCACAAACACATGCAATGCCATAATCCAGTATTGCACTTTGATCTTCTGAGATATCTCCAACATATTGCCTATGTTTCCTGACATGTAGTAACTGTTTGAGTTATGTGTCTGTTTCTTCTTTAAAGAAACAAAACTGATGCTTGACAAATAATTTTTGAGAAGAGGGAAATCAAAAATACCCAATCTGTGGAATAATACTGTTAATGTTAAAAATTGTGTAGATGGACAGTTATTTCAAAACACTGCATCCTTCATCACAAAAACCCACAACCATTATTACAAAATTTGAGGTTATTACAAAATGCAGCAGAATGTCCACTGTTGTAAGCTTTGACAGACAGACAAACTTACTTGATGTTTGTAAAACTGTGACAGCACCACTCTCAACGCAGTGAATACGGGCAGTTTTCTAATAACACAAACAACAAAATTTTATCATTCTGAGTCAGGTTGTGACCAACGTAATTAAATATTATTATTAAAATTACTACTAATACTGTTGTTGTTATTCTTAGTATCATTTTGCATTATAATCATTATCATTACTATTATCATCATGTCAGCTGAAAAACTAAGTGGCTTAATCAAACTCTAGGTTATTTTGGGTGTTTTCACAACTTGACCCTGAACTTCATTGTCTTATTTTCTTCAAAAAGGCAATCACTCTTTTAAAACATTCAAATTTAAATTTTTATTGCCTAACTGTAGTTGCATGAATTGAATTCATAAAAATAATTAGTGATAACCTCATATATCAGGAAAGGCACAAAGATTGTAAGCATTTCTCTCTAATAAAATCCCACAGATGGGAGAAGTGCTAACTGCTGCTTGAAAATACCTAAGGTTTTAAGTCCCTGATAATTACTGAACTTCCCTTCACATGGGCAAAAATACGGGATCTCCACCTTAGATCTGCCAATACCCACATGTTTATTATACCCACAAAAGTTATGTATAGAATGTTCTTAAACAGCTTTGTCCAAAATTTTTCCAATTTGTAGAAACCCTCTGTTACAATGTTCAGAACCCACCAAAATGTGATCTGAAAATGTCTTCTGTCAAAACAGCTTTCAAGGATGTTTTTTTTAATCATTTTATACCATGAACTCTTAATGCTCACTTACTATCTAAGGAAATTTTCACTTAAAAGTTTCTTTCAACTTCAATTGGCTGCCAAAGTATGTTGTTGTTTCACTGTGCTACTTACACATTCTGCCAAGACATCCACTGTCATTTGACGTTCTTGATTTTTTACAAACTGAACATCATTTTCAGACATCTCTCTACCTTCTTTTTCATCTTTTCTTTTTGGGCTGGGGTTTGTAGAATTACTTGGTATAGGATATCTCTCTTGAGTCCATGACTCAGAGACAGTTGTTTTGGAGCCAAAAGCAGATGTAGAAGCAATAACTTCTTCACCATCACGCCTGGGTGAGGAGCGACAGGCTTGAGTACATGACTGCTTAGAGTTTATGTCTGTGTTACAAATACTGCTTTGACTGTCTTCCTGCACAAAACAAGTAAATCAGAGGAATGTGTTAGCAACAGACCAACAGCTGCTAATTGCAGCAAGAAGGATAATGGAAAATATATACAAAAAACCACTGAGAAACTTTGGTTGTATGAACACTCAGGTTGCTCTATACTTGTTGAGTCATCCTCAACTCAAAAAATATTATTAGGAAGCATTTCCATTGTGATGATTGATTTTACCAAACAGTATTTCTTTGAAAAGGTATTTTTTACATTTAAGAATAGTAGTTGGTTGAGCTAATAGTGAAGAGGTGGAATCATCAATAATTATTTACAAAGTGATGTGTCTAGGGGACATTTTCTTATTCTTGAATTTTATAATTGCCATGACTAACACCCCAACAAGAGAATTTTGAGAATGTTTAAATACATTGGATATTATTCTAATGATTCCATTAAGCATTCAAAAACATTAGATACAAACACTACTTAATTCATGGGAGTAAAGACAATTTGCAAATGATGCACACTTAAGCGTCTCACATCTCTGGTTCCAAAGCATCCTGTTTCTACAGCTGGTTCCCTTAATTCATGCATGGAAATGAACCAGTTAAGGCAAATCAGTAATTCAAGCTACATGTACGACTTTTAATATCTCTGCAACAATCATTTGCTGAAAACTTTTAGAGATCTAGTTGTATTCCATAGGTATGGTTAACCTTTCAGATTTTGAAATAGTTATGAGGATTTTTGTTTTAAAGCAACCATGTAAAAGTGAAATTTTTTAAAGCAGTCAATCCATATACCATGAACCTTAAGAGGCTTCAAGACCCTCACCGAGATCTTTTAAGACATCAAAGAGTCACTAATAACACTAATGACAAGAATTAATTCATACACCATGTACCTTGTTAAGTCGGTTTTGCCATTTACATTCCCCAGTGGCTGGATTTATGTAATACAGAATCTTTCCTGACTTTGTTGTATGGGGTATCCATTCTGTACCATCCATTTCCTATACCTGTATTACTGTGATATTTTTCTTACTTTCTCTCTGAAAAACAAATTTCCAAAACGCTTACAAACTAAAAGTTAATTAATTGATCATAACTGAGGAGCCAGACTTCGAGACAAAATGAGATGACCATACAAAGAGGGTTGCATTAATATAGATTTGTTGATCACAAGATACTATAAGATATTCCAAGAGATTTAGCAACAAATTAATTCAAACTCAAAGACTTAAAATCTTGAATGACCAATAGTTTCCTTTAGAACCATCTTTTGATCTTATGAAAATCAATGAGATTATTCGAAGCTACGTTGTAGATTGGCGCGATGTGGATTTTTAACTAAAGTTTTGAGCGACATGGTGTTATTTGTTGGTAAAACAACCAATTAGAAAACTAATGTACATTTTCCAAGGGCCTTATTTTTTTGAAAACTCAATTTGACATGTCAATGGCCTGCTCTTTGGATGCTAGAGAACTGCTATTAAAAGACAATGTAGAAAACAAAGTATTATATCTGTCACATCTTGCTAAGAAAGAAAGTCAAGTTGAATGTCAGCTGTTCCTACCAGGGATATGCTTCCAATAATGTAAGGGAAACAAAGACTTGAAAGCATATTTGACATGCAAGGGACAAGAAAAACACTAGAGTTCTACCTGAGAACATGCTGAACAGTGCTGATTTGTAAGTCAGAGGTTCTATCAAATGAACTACAGAAAACTCTTGACAAGCTGTGGAATTTTCTTTGTTCATAAATGTATGGCCAGTGTCATGACTAATCTGATCTTAAATATGTAAGTTTATTTCAGATGGATGTCATCATCTCAAGATCCCCTGAGACCTCAAAGCCTCTGTTGAAAAGAACTCAGCTCAATTGTTTTGATAAACAAATAAAAGAATCCAATGAAAACAAAAATTAAAGAATGAATGGCTACATGTCGCATCATGTCGACTTTCAGTTCTTTGGGTATCAGTTTCAAGACGTTCTTATTTTCTAAAACTGTCGAACTGTCACGTCAGATACAGAGTAAACATCATACTATCTGTAAAATACTGTAACAAGAAATGCGATGAAAGGGAGAGCGGTTTCTTTCCAAAGAGGCCAGAATATTGGGTATGTGCAGGCCAGAAAATTTAAAGTTGAAAGAGAAATTTAAGAACATTCCGCGTGAAAAATTCCCTATCACAAGGAAAGCGTAAAATAAAGTTACGAAAAACGGCTTTAACTCAAATTAAACCTATTTTGAAAAACAGGACCAAATTACAAACCACCGTGTAAAAATAGATTTGAGCTTAATATCACGATTATTATTCCTTTTAGCTAACAAACTGCAAGACGCAGCTGCCAATTCTTACAGAAGTGAGTGTGTTTACCGCGTCAACTCAGACTTGAGAAAAAAGATCCAGACGTTCCTGGTGTTTCAAAGATGTTGTCCTGTCAAACAATTGGAAATGAAATGGGGAAGACCTCTCACATCTCAGTAAACAACTGTTTCATTATTTGCCAGAAAAATATTGCTCGCGTGAAAAATTATCTTGCATTTCATGAGCCCGCGTTCGTTTTAGAAAAATTTGTATAGTACATTATGTAAGTGGATTTGTACCGTATTGAACTTGGCATCTTGACCGACCGATGGAGTCATACTTCAGTTGTACGTGTGTATTAGAGACTTCAAAGCAAAGGAAAGCAATTATGGGGTTGACAATTCAATATAACCACGTAAATGTATGCACCAGTTAACAATAAATTAAGATTATTTCTGAGCAATTTATTTCTGAACTTCCTTAGCGCATTCCTATCTTCTGAGAGGAGGGGACTGAGAGGTGGGGGTAAGGGTTGAGGGTTGAAGAGTGAGGGATACTTGATAAATACCAATAAAGAGAAAGGAACTCCGTAGAAAATATACACAAGTTCATAAACCTGCGCAAGATTTTCTATTCATCCAAGAATAGATAAAGGTCATTGACGGTGGTTACCTTAACATACAGTCTGGTGGGTGTGTTCAAAAACATGCGTTCGGGGTTATTTGGTTTGCCAGTCGAAAGAAAGGTCAGAAAGGAGTCAGAGGTTCCAAACCCCCCCCTCCCCCCTTTGCCACCCTAATCATACCAAAGAATTATTAATAGATTACATTTCTATTTCATTTGTGCAAAATTCACAGAAAAAGATCAAATGATTGCAACGAGTTGGAAACCATAATTATTTTTCTGCTTAGAAGTTTGGAGAATATATTTTCCCGAACAAAACTTAGCTCAACGGAAAATTATCAGTTGCTTCACTAGCAATTAAGAATGGCTTTACCTGTCCAACCAAATACCTTAGTTAGCCTAGAGAGGCGAACAGTCAGGACTAGTGTTGTCATTTTTGGAGCATATAAGATACCTATAAACACTTACGAATAACATTAAGCTACATTTGAAAGAACTTGAATTAACCGGAAGCCTATATTCATAGTCTTTGAAGGAAAAAAAACTCAAAATTAATAACAGATTGGTGAATGATCCGCAAGGTTACTCGGCCATACAACCGTTTAAATTCTTCCACATCTTCGTGCGAGTCGACAGATACGGGCTTGGTTATCTGTATCACTCAGAGGTGTAGATGCCCCGTTACACCCAAATCCGGAAAGACCTGCGTCTTTATCTCGATGAGTTTTCCTCTTAAAGCGTGACATTCATTGCACGCACTTTTACTGGTAAATTTATTAATAATAATCTTTGGAAGTGTATCTGAGCTTTATGACGGGAGGAAATGAGCTGTTAAGATATCTTCTTTCTTAATTGGGACATTAATCACTCTGTCGATCACCATGATTTTATAGTTGATCAAGTAGTCTTCACTGGCTGGTATTCCATACGTTTCCAATCAGTCTTAACGATCATTCTGTGCATTGCTTTCTGGTGCGGCATCAACAATTTCTTGGTTTTTATTCCTTTTAATTTCAAATACAAACGTGAGCGACTGCCACACGTATTTTTCCTTTGACAGTCAGTCTTTACGATCATTCTTAGCATAGCTTTTTGGTGCGACATCAACAAGTTCTTGGTTTTTATTCCTTTTATTTCCAAATGTAAAATCGAGCGACTGCCACCACGCGTATTTTTCGTTTGCCAGTCGGAGCTGGGAAAAAACATCAGCAAAGGCCTGTGCCTTTTTGAGTTCAGTAAACCGTTATGTTATGCGGTCAATTTTACAGTCTCAAGGCTTTATTGTGTCTTTAGGAGGTGTCTGAATCTTCAGTTTAGTAGCCAAAGCCGTCCGCCATTATTATATAAACTCATTCCTCGCTCATATTGCTCAGACTATTTTTGCTTCTATGTTTCCATTTTATTCATATGCGACGGAAACGCTCACTAGCACTCTCAATAAGACAAACTCCCCTCCCTGCTTCTCCCCTCCTTTTTTTTAATGGTAAAAATGAAATCTCTATACCGACAATTTATATAAATGAATAAATCAAGAAGTTTCCAGACGGTCGAGCGGTAATTGTGGAGCACCGGTTACAACGGAAGTCATCAGTGTTGAGGGATCGAATCGCGCTATAGGAGTGATTCTCAGGTAGCTTTGGGGATGGAGTGGGATTTAGAGTTTGCCAACAAAGAAATACTCCCCCACCGGCTTGGGATAATTCCTACCTGGAAAATTCTGGTCACGTGTTTAACTAACTTAACAATTTTTTAAAACTATCCTCTTCATCGTTTTCTTTTTTGATCTGTTATGCTTATGGGCCACTATGGTACGTTTCCTCTTAATTTTTTCAGTCGATGAGAATGGATGAGGGTTGAACACCGCAATATTTTCAATACAACCTTCTTTTCATTTTTCCATCATCGTTTGACCACCACCTTTTGTTGCTAATCCTCGGAGCTTTTTTCCAGGCCATTCGGTGATCACGACATTTTCAAAGACATCTTTTACAGAAACTATACAATGAAGATTGGATGAAATGGAAAAATCCAATTATTCGTGCATTTTCCTAACGCGAAAACATTTTTCAGTCACTCTTTTTAGTCACTTTTAGGGCAACTAGAAATAGCCTTTTCCAGGCTCTCAGTCAATACCATTGGAGACGGGGAAAGGACCACAGAAGCAAGCGACAAACAGCGGTTAAAGTTTTCAGGGAAACGACATTTTTCCCTCTGCCGTTTTTTGGGCGCCCGCTCTTTGCTCATTACAAATCACCGAGAGCCTGGTATAGATCAGACTAAAGACCCTGTACTGCCGAAGGTTTGGCCTCCCTTTTTACTGACTTACTTGACCTTACTTCCTCTGGTCAAAAGGCTCTACCAAAAGGTTGGAAAGGGCCTCATACATAACATGCATTGCTTGTAATCAGCTGGCCTATTTTACCGCTTGATTGGCATTTCACACTCAAAATGTTTAAATTAAAAATGCATGGACAAGAAAATGTCAACTTGGTTTTATGACGTACAGAATAATTTAAAATAAGCTTTAATTTGGTTCGGTTTGCACTGTAGTTGCTTATAACAAGCTGCGGCTCATAAGTTTGTAGTATTTCTGAAATCATTCAAATCAGCCAGCCAACAGGATTGTCCAAGGAAACATTTAAGGTAGTGAATTTGTTTCATAAATAGGTAATTCATGTCTAAACTGTTATACGGAATTTCTACTGAGTGATTAGGGCTGGATATAGTTAACCACTAGACATATTTTTTTTTGGTGGATAGTGCGGTATGTTTTCAAGTGATAACACTATCCGCTAGATAACGATTTCTCCATTGAATAACCTTATCTTTCGACTACTTGACCGAGGCCTTTACTTACTTTTCTTTCACAAGCAGAGAAAAGTTACCCGCTGAAATTCGTAAGGTGGGACGCGAGAGCTTAGTCAGTGATCCTGATCACCGGCTATAAAACTCAAAATTAGCGCAATCAGATCCGACGAATTCCATGTGTCTATAGGAGAGAAAATAAAACAGAGGGTAACACTAGGCACTTCAATAAATCTGGAAATGATTAATTGTATTCCCCGGTTAATGTGAGGGTAAGAGATTTCACTCGAAGTAATACGTAGTAAGAAAATAACTAAAATAAAAGCTCAAGTGAAAGAAAGGTAAAGATATATAGAGTGTATTTTACTAAGTTTTACGTAAAAGTAGCTGTATCACGCAGCAGAAAATCCACTGATCACATCGTACTGCTTGTGCAATTCGTCTGCCAATATTATTTTTAAGAATAACGAGATATCTCGCTTCAACTTTCATTTACTGTAGCTTAAGAAAAAACTTCTAGGACTAGAAACTCACGCGAAAGTAATTGGGAAACTGGTCCCCTTCTTGTTTTTGAATCTGCACGACATGCGTAATGGTCAAAGTTAAAAGTAAAGCTGGTTCTAAGTGAACACCCTGTTTTAGTATTTGCAATATTTCTTGCATTTGTTAAGCTAGTGCGAGGTTGAATGTGAAATATTAAAACTTTGGTCATTCCCTAGTTCAAACCATGCCCTCTGTTTACTTTATTCTACCAGTTTATTTAGATTTGGTGACACTATTTAACGTCATGTGATTTTTTGTTTTCTCAGCTCCTCCTCAACGGAAGTCGAATCCTTTAAATCTACCTGCCTGGGTTTTACATAAATCATACCAAAATTGAATCCATGACAATCAACTTAGCCTCGAGGTATGTAAAGCTTTGCTGAGAACTTGTCGGGATGGTCCAACTTGGGAGCAATTAGCTCTCCGAGTTTACACACAATAGCAACTATCGCATTGGTATTTGCTTAAAAGTGTTGAGGCAAATCAAACTAAAAAAACATTGATAAAAAGCTGTTACCAAGTGAAACGTGTGCAAATTCTGAGCTTACATCTATATTGGATAGCGGCTGTTTTAAGATATATCATGTATTGTTTTTTTCTATTTTAAATTATATTCATTTAAATATTCGTTTAAATTACATTTTTCCATTTATTTTCAATACTCGCGTGTTATTATCAACTGGCCAGTCATGTCCTCTTCACAAATGCGATAAGTGAAAGATTCTTCTAAACCAAACTTTTAAGGTTTACGGATCCCTCTTAACTGAATTGTTCCACTTTACTAACCTCATCAAGAAAATAATTTTTTCGCCTATTCCTTTTTCCCACTCTTAAATAAGAGCTTAGACCACTTTTGAGGTTGGTTACTGAACATTACCGACTAAACAGGTAGGATACGAGTGACAGAACATATCGATACTCTATTGTTAAATATGCTATAACGAACGAAAAAACCTTTTTTCCACAAATAGGATTTTTTGGGGGGTAGTTCGGGGAAGGGAGGGTTGTCGCATCACTGCTCTGGTAAAATGTTTTGTCACATAGACGTGAACTCTGGTCTGTTTCAGGCGTCAGAAAAGGAAACTACGGAATGTCGCCATTGTACATCGGTTTTGCTATGACCTTCTCAGTCATGGTTATTGTAAATTTTATTGGGAACTCCCTAGTAATCTCTGTGGTTTTGCTGAACAAGTCCATGAAGACGCCTATCAATTATCTCCTGATGAATTTAGCCGTGGCTGATATGATTGTGGCGTTATTCTCCAGTGTGCAGTTTATCATTTCACCGGCCATATCACACCCAACTGGAGCCAAAGGGACACTGCTGTGTAAGTTCTTAACAGGAGGGAACCCCGCTTGGATAGGTGCAATAGCTTCCATATTTTCCTTAATAGCTCTTGCTTTTGAACGCTACTGCGCTGTCCTGCATCCTCACAGTATACGACTTAAACTCACCAAGAGGAAAATCCTGCTTTTGATCATCTTGTGCTGGTTTTTCTCTGTTGTCTTTACTATTCCAGGCTTTTGGTGGATGGTCTTCTTTCCAGGTACAAACACTTGCGGTCACAAGTGGACGAAACAAGTGTACGCGGAGGTTTACACGATAGGTTGGACGATTCTTGCTGGTTTGATCCCTGTCAGCGCTATGGCAGGGTTGTACTCAAGAGTGGTCTACCGTTTGTGGTTCACAAAAGATACAACTACAGAAGCATCCCAGAGGGCCATACTTCGTTGTAGAAAGAGAGCTACAAAAATGGTTATTGCAGTGACGTTCATATATGTTCTATGCTGGGTTCCTGAGCTTTCAATCTATTTCCTGGGATTTACTGGGCTTATGAAACTAACATATCTTCATCGCGGTATTGCGTTGAGTTTGATCGTTTTCAATTCAAGTATCAATCCCGTGATATACAGCCTCCAGAGCAGCACTTTCAGACGCCATGTATCTGACCTTATTCGTTGCAAACAAACCAAAAATCGCATTTTCCCAGGCGGCAACAGTACATCACAAACGCGCTAACTCAAATCGCTAACTGGGCGCTTACAATCTTTTACCGTGAGTACCTGAAACAAGAACAGAGGATTCAGTTTTTGTTACGGATAAACTACTTTTAAAATTAAACCCAATAAACCTTTTTGAGAGCTGTATATAAGAAATTATGAAGACAATTGGCACAACGAGTGTACGAGAAAATCGAAAATTGCTGAATTATCATGCTGCGTGGATTACAAGGTGGTGAAGAGTTATTACCTACTATTCCCATTTGCACTTTGTCTAGTATATACGTATCATTTGAAATATGGTAAAAAGTATGTATATAACTGGACCATGAATATCAGTGAACAAAAGAGTATTAAGTACATACATGACGTATAGCTATGAGACTCTTTTAGAATTGAAATTTGAATCATGTTCATGCTACTACAGGCAGTTCCTACAATTTTGAATTCTTTGTGGACCCGCAGCAGGTTATTGGCATAAAGCCGACTCTAAAGATCCTGGGCGTTACGCTGGACAATAAACTTTCCTTCAAAGATCACGTAACAATTACGCTAAAAAAGGCATATGCAAAAATCGCCGCTCTCCGCAGAATAAAGCGTCTTATACCTTCCTCTATCATGATCTCTTTGTACAAAACATGTGTTACCTCATTTAGAATATTGTTCCCCTCTATTGTTGGGAATCTCTACTCCCCTGAAAAATAAGCTGGAAAAATGTAAGTTTTACACGTTAAGAACTGTGCTTATTCTAGGTAGATCTACTGAGTGTAAAGACTGTCTCAGGCTTGCTAGTATGGACACCTTAACCCAAAGACGTCTTACTGCGTCTTTAATCATGTTTCTTAAGGCATACAGGGTACAGGGAGCTTCGTATATCTCTAATTTTTTCACATCTAGGGTCTGTCACTACAAGTTGCGCTCCTCTGCTCTTAATGTTTCCCAGCCTGTAAATACCTCTAACCATATTCATAGCTCTTTTTCATATATTATCACTCATTCCTGGAACCAGCTACCATCTTCAGTTAAATCGGCAACTACTCTAGCAGAATTTAAGACTGGCCTATCTCGCATAACTACGCTTGACTGTAAGTGTAATAAGTGTATTAGTATACAATTGTAGGGGTAGGGTTATGAATCGGTAATTAGGTTTCAGGGTTAGGGCTACAAGTTAGGTGATTAAGGCTGGTAGAGTTTCAGGGGAGGTTCAGGATTAAGATTAGGGGTAAGGGGCTAAGTGATATTTTTGCGTTTTTTTCGTCATATATACATATATTTAACTTGTACATATATTTATATACACATCTGTATTTTACCTGTCAAGCGTTTTCAACATAAGCCATTAGGCTCGGGGGATTGGGTAACCACCCCCTACGTTACCGACGTAAAATAAATTGTATTGTATTGTATCGGCAGATGTACGATGGAATTCACCTACAACAGAACAAAAATTACCATACTAGCTCTGCCTCATTGCAAGTTCGCCTCCTAGCTCCTTGGTGCGTTCATCTCCTGAGGGAAAGCAAGTTTAAACCAGTTTACTCCCAAATTTGACCACTCTTTCCTTAAGGCAGAACGTAATCTTCTTCAGTCGAAATCATGAAATGGTTCGACCAACATGCATTTTTTTTTATCTGAGTTTAAGGCTAGACTAGGAAAGTGCGCTAAGTCGCCATTAAACACTAGGTCCAACTACACGCGTGCAAAGAATAGGAGACGGAAACTACTTCCTAAAATTTGTGGCGAACATATGCATAAACTCTTGTTAATCCACATAGATAAGATTGAAGTAATGTAGTGGCTTTACGTCACTAGAGCAATAGTCGTGCGTCAGTTGACGCTGCTAGGAAGTTGCATATTGAACGATCTCTGCTATGGTAACTTTGCAACTTGCATGTTGATCAAAATATCATGATTTCGTCAGAAAAGGAATGCATTCTGCTGTGAGGAATCGAGTTGAAAGATTTGGGTGGGGGGGAACTGGCAAAGTGTTGGACGAACATGCAAAGGTGGAAAGGGACGAATTCTCAACGGGGCGAAACCTCCAGATACCCAATTAATCACACTAAATAAAACTTTTGCACAGCTGGAATCATCTAACCTATAACAATCATCACTCGAGACTATGATGGAGCTGGATGAACATAGTTTAATTAACCAAAATTATAAAGGTTATTAAAATATGGCCGAATCTACACACTACCCGCCCTCTAGACGCATGTCTACTACATTCTAGAAAATACCGCTGATCAATACACTACCCACTTGTTTCGCCATGCGATCTGAAACATACTTTTTATGCCTCGTGAAAGTGGCTGAGGTGATTACGCTCAATTTGATGTTGCACAATTTTATTGATCTTTTACAACAGCCAACGTTTGAAAAAGTTTGAACGCGACCCAGAAAAACTGTATCAACTGTATGAGGTTGAAACTTTAAATTTGCAGGGCCTCCTCTACCACAATTGTTAAAAAATGATCACTATCGATCTTTTTCAAACAATTTCAACCGTATAATTAGGAGAATAATGTCACAATCAAACGAGAAGCCTGAAAATATTGCACAAATATTTCGTTTCCAAAACTGATGAAACGACACTCGGCGCATAGTTGGAAGCCGAGAGTACCATATGTTCGCATTTCTTCAACTTAGTTACGAGGAAGACTTTCTTATAAGGGTTGTCGAAACGCTAATCGCAGTCACCAAGCAAATAAGCTTTTAAACGTGATTTTTGGAGTACCTGCATTCTACAGATTTGGACGTATACTCGAGACAATTCTGTTTTTGGAAAGGGTATTCCTTTCAAGTCAAGTTTTAAAAAAATCTCTTAACCACCCTAAGGTTAGGACAGGTGAAAATTTTGTTACTAGCTAAGATATTAGCCACACAAGCTTGTCGGCAAAGTAAAGCAATTTTATCACAGTGGGAATCTATCTTGCTCTGTTTTGCTCTTATTTAATTGAAAACCAGGAAATCGATCTTTTAAGATTACTTTCCCGATGGTGTGCTTATGAACATCGACCACGGCAAGAAAATTGGTCTTCTGTAATTATACATTGAAAAGAAATGGTCGAGCAGTGATAGTCAATTACGTTAAATGTAGATAACAATAAACCACTTTACTCGATGGCGTCAAAACTAAAAGGGATTCATATAAATATCACTGTGCGCTTTTTTAATTGCAAGTTCAATTATAAGGCGATATTTCCAAGTATCTTTAAGTGCTGATATTTATATGATAAAGCTTGCTCTAGAAGAATTTTCTCGCAAAAAATTATGCTTTCTGATAGGAAAAAAGATTGAAATTATATAGCAGTCCAATATTCTTTATTGTTTAGTTTTCTCCCTTCTATCTTTTGGAAAATAGTTTGTTTACCCTTTTTAACACCACTGATATTGGAGGGCCGGCCATGCCGTGAAAGATTCATAGTAGCGATGTCAAAGCATACGTGACACTAAGATCACTAGTAAGTCATAGAGTGCCTCACCAACCCATATTAAGTTTGTTTTCAGCTTCCTGCATAGACCCCTTTTTGTAAATTTTGTCGTTTCATAATTTTCATTACTTTTAATTGGAAGAATTTTGGTGCTGTAAACATATCACATGTATCCCGAGAGGTGTTGTAGCGCAGCTGACAGGTGCAGTGTTTTTGACGCGCCTGAGCTGTGATTTTCTCAGGCAAAGGTAGTTGGGAACACGACTTCTCCATCATATCCCTGCAGAAAAACGTAAGTATTAAAAATATCTATCGCCTTTGATAGACATACTCTCGTCGTATTAAAATTTTAGGATACTATTCTTAAATAGAAGTTCTCTAAATATGGTCTCAGCTGATCTCTACTGTAATATGAGTTTACTTTAAGGATATTCTGAAAAACTTACAAAATGTCTCAAGTGGTGACAGTTGTATATACTTTGTGGGAATTGCAGCAGAGCTTAACTTCACCACGACGGTCGCTCATCCCATTTATAGGTTTACGTGACTTTGACTTTTCCTTGACCGCCGGGTAAATAAAAATGACGGAGTAAAATAGGGGCAAGCAATTACATCGAACTTTGCTATTTTTGGCCCGACCAAGTACTCGTCGTTTGGCCGGGCCGATATCATGGTTTAAATTCAATTGTCATCGTTCAATGACGTTTTTGGAAACAGGTTAAATAATATACAGAGTTCATGTTTGTTTATGAATGCAGAATTTTAGAACTGTTGTTGCTTTACAGTCGATGGAGGTAATGAGACTGATACCCATTTCTAAACTAAGCTCATATTGTACATATTGCACAAATTGCTAGGTTCTTTGGAAATTGTAGGACATCAAATTAATGTCACTCGGTGGCTTTTTGTTTTTAGAAACTCAAAACTTAATCGTAAAATGGTAAATCAACCTAAAGAAGAGGATGGTTACCAAATGCCAAGGATGTAATCTCGTAACCACAGAAACAACCTTCTGGTCACCAAAGTAAACCGCAAAGCAAGCTTCCAGTTTAAAACAATTTCTTAAGTCTTTCACGGTCAGCAAATAAGACGTCAGGAAAAACTTATTCCTTCCAGAGTACGTCGATACGTTTGATTGGTCAAATGAATAGAAATTTTACCCTCCCTACGCACAGTTCTTGGCGAATATTTTAGAGGTTAACGACCTAAATTGCTAAGATATTTTGTTCCCTTTAAGAGAAGTAATTCGTGTTGTAACTGACAGTATCATCGACCAAACGAAAAAAATGAAATGCAAAAATCTCCCAGAGGTATTATAGCCCATGATCACCTTACATGCCTGAACTGCTCGACGATTCCGATAATAAATTCAAAAGCTGTAGGTCAAACACATTTTAAAAAACAAGAGAGCTTCGAAATCTAGAACTTAGATTAGAGGTAAGAGGAGGGGTGAAATGGTCTCTAAAATTCGAGCTGCAAAAATCACATCGTGATGGGATGAGTGAAACCAGCTTTTTATGCTTATGCTTTGATGATATGGTAGAACGAGCAGAAAGACTGTTAAAGGTTTAAAAGCTAGTTCGGCCAAATATAACCATATATGATTGAGGGGTTAGTTGTGCTTCCAAACTTATTTGCGTTTCTTTGAAAATGGTATGCGTAAAATTCCCTATCAACTCTCGACAAGTTTATCACTTCTCTAACACATAACAATTACGAGTTGTTAATAACTGTTACTGCAAGACGATTGTTGATATATTGACTGTAATTCAGTAATAAAAGATAGGGGTCATTAGACTTATTTCTGACGTACAGGCACGTAAAGTTAAAATTAAGGGTGCTCAGTGACAGAGACACGGTAGCCCTTACTATTGTTGCGCTGAATTCCGGGTCGGAAAGTCCGCGTTGGAAAGCTTGACCAGGTCATTGTGTTGTGTTCCTGGAGTTACGTTTATCCTCACAGGAGCCTCTCTCTCCTCAGTAGTATGAATTGGTACCGACAACTTGTTAGGGGAACCAGGGTAAATGCTGGGGGTAATCTGCGGTAGACTAGCACCCCATTCAGTGGGAGTAGCAAAAGCTATAGTCGCCTAATGATACGGAAACTGAAACATGTTCCGGCTGTGTGAGCCACTTAGTTCCATTGCCGACTTCCCTTCACCTTCTAAAAGTGTGTAAGGAAATGATCCACACATTGTTAAAAATGATTGGCTACTTTTTCAAGAGAACATACGGAGTAGTATCGATCCATCAACGAAATGGTATACAGGCATCACGAAAGCATTTTAGGGCTACTGTAACGAATGTCTTTGTCCTTCATCATTAAATGATTTATTCCACACTGTGCAATTAAGTAATGTTCCCCTGTCTTCCAGGAACTCCAAAGATGGGGGACGCTCTTTTCTATGGACTAACGCTTACTTACTCAATTCTGATTGCTATCAATCTTATCGGTAACGCTATGGTCATTCTCGTTGTTCTCCTGAACAAGTCCATGCAAAGGCCAATCAACTACTTGCTTGTAAACCTGGCTGCTTCGGATATGACTGTGGCGATTTTTGCCAGCATCCAATTTCTCATGGAGCCAACACTTGCTGATGCTGAGCCATTGACAGCAATATTTCTTTGCAAGTTTTTAACAGGTGGAACCCTGGGTTGGGTTGGTGCAGTATGTTCTATCTTCAATTTAGTTGGCCTCGCCATTGAGCGCTACTACGCTGTCATTGTCTCTCACCGTCATCGAGGCAAGCTTACAAGTGGCAGGTTAAGGGTGTTCATTTTTGTCAGTTGGACGCTAGCTCTCATTTGGGCTGGTCCTGGTTTCTTCATAACTACTTATATAAAAGAATCCCAAATGTGTGGACATCAGTGGCCAAAAGAGATTTACGCTAAGATGTACACAGTCGGATGGTCGTTTGTAGCCGGTATAATACCTATAGGAATAATGGGATCATTATATTATAAAATAATATACCGTCTTTGGTTCACTAAAGAAAAGGCCACGGAAGCTACTCAGAAGGCAATGCTGCGGTATAGAAAACGAGTTACAAAAATGGTTATAGCCGTAACAATCATTTATGTACTCTGCTGGGGACCTGAACTTATCATTTACTTTCTTGGATTTCTTGGTGTATTTACATTACAGGCCATTCATCATGGAGTTGCCTTCGCTCTTATTGTGTTTAACTCTTGTGTTAACCCTATTGTCTATAGTTTTCAAAGCAGTCAGTTCAGAACACATCTCTTGTCTTTGATTCGCTGTAGAAGACGTGATAATCGAGTGGTACATCCAATCAATAGATCCCACGACTTTGCACTTAACTAATCTTACCTACATTCTTAATTCTAAAAGTTTATATTTAAAACATCGTTACTGTCGCAATCATTTTAAAAACCACAGGAACTTAAAGGGGCACTGCGTTTGGCACGCTACCCTTGCTGATGGATGCACAGAACAAGGTTCCTGAAGGGCGAGAGATTAAATCCCATCGCAGTACTTGAGTAGGTGGAGCCCACGACAGGTAACTCTAACTGTTAGTTAATTCGAACTCAAATCTATGTTACCACAGAATAATTTGCTGTCATTTACTTGTAGCTGACTCGACAACCTCGCAGTCTTTCTCGTTTTCCACTGCAGTTCGAGTTAACGGTCCAGGGTCTCACTGCATTATAAACTAAGCTAATTTACCCAACTAATTGGTGGAACTGCGTAACGGCGAACAAATAATGGACAGATAATGACCATGGCCAAACGAAAAAATAATCTTCGTTAAGCCCCTGACATTTCATCGTCAGAACGTTTACAAAGAAGGATGCTGAAAGTTTCGCGTTCTTAGTGTGGTAGAGCTTTGTAGTCAAGCGAGCTTATCTCTTCTTTTGTAAAAATGTTAGAACGTTTGTTTATCTTGGTTTAAATTTCAAACGAAGAACAAGAATCACGTGTGATATATCCTCGTGCGCGATCCATGTCTATAAAAGCGAAATGCAATAATAAACGTTGGCAAAGTATGTAAATTAAATTTACCATCAATAAACGATAGAGCTAATGAATGGGAGAGAAATAGGAGTAGAAGAGATGATCAAGCTTAAAGTGTATAAGTGTGGATAGTATAAAAGTTAAGTTAACTTAAAGGCTTCGCGTATGGCAAAGGCCATTCCTCACTGTGGGGTGGTGGGGGAGGAAATGGACGGAGAGAGATAGAGCTAGGTAGTGCCTTTTATATATTCGTTTTTAGACAACGGGCCAATATTCTCGTCATATTTCACCATGACGTATGCCCTCTAAGGGAGAAAAAGGAAACAAAAAGAGGCGAGATAGTAAGAGAAATAGACTCTGTTTCTGTTGGGCTCTGTTCCTGGTGACCTCTGTTCTCCCCATATCGGGAATAAGCATTTGAATGCACAATCTTAGGTGAAATCAACAAGCTGTGTGTGTGACAAGGCGAAATACAAGACTATCCGAGAAGTGCCTTGTACAGAGTTCAGTTCCTATCAGCCCAATTAGCAGTTAATTCTACCTAATCATGTCAACTTACACATAAATTTGCGCGAACTGTTCACCCAAAACTAACTATTTGTGCTTTGTTCTTCGTGTCTCTGACAATGCTGACATAGTTTACGATATGAAAACATTTTTGGACATGTTAATTCAAAGCTCAAATTTCCTTTAGGTTCGAGTAAGAATTCTCAGTACTTCTCTTTAAAATATGTGTTTAAACAATAAGTAATAGTAAATTCTTTTAGTAAAAGTTTCCCCAGTCGTGACATGTTTTGAAACGAAAGTACTGAAGACAGCTTCCTTCCTGGGTACATCATTGTGCTAGGCGGATACTTCTATTAATTGCTGAACCCCTGCGTCAGCCAATCACAAGAAAAAAAGATATTGCGACTGAGTTGTTTACCAAACAAATCATTGGCACACCTGAAGAAATCACACGCCGGTTTGGTCGATTGGATCTTAACAATTCAAGGATATAATGACGATAATGTCTACTGAACAAGCTGGATTTCGACGTTTCCGTCTTTTCTTTTCGAAGTATAAATAAAGCAGCATATACATAGTCCACTTGAGTGTTCCATGGATGTTTGGCGCGACGGTACTGCGGGAACATCTCGAGGTGTACAACGGATGTTAAACCAAGCTTTGTGTGAGTATCTAGAATTTTCGTTAAAATAGCTACTAAGTACTAAGCAACATAAGGACAGCCCAACCTCTTTGCCGCCTTCCTCTAAGTTAAGACAACTACCATAAACTTAAATTACATTTTGCTTTACCGGCAACAAAAGGAAAATCATAGCTGTCCCACTCCCAATTTCATTGCAGTCATTTTATCGCGGCAGTTTTTATCCAAATACCAAGATACGCCTCTGATTCGCATTTTCAGAATAATGCAAAATGATGTGTGGAAACAATTTGGACCTTCCCTTTCAATTCAAGTTATTGGCATTACGTTCGTTGTGCTGCCTTTCTCCATCACAAATTAAGTCCTTACGAGTCTTAAAGGAACACTGACGCCTAAAATTGAACCATTTGTGAATTGCAGCTTATGGCTCAAATATCAATGTTCGAAGATTTTTTTTAATCTTTGCGTCTAACCTCGCCTCGAAAAAATAGTTTTACGTCGTATTTTGACGCTTCCTTGACAACATCATAAGACCCAAATTAATTTTTTGTGCCGGGTTTGTGGTAGAATATTTAGATAACTATAAGTGTAAATCCTCTTTCCTTTGTTAACTTATTATTTATTTGCCCGGCAAACGTGCGCTTTCCTTTCAAAAGAAAACTTCAGCCGACAAAATGTGCACAGTTGATTACGATCTGTTTTCAACTTAGCGCACTACGGAAAACGCGGCAATTTAAAACGGTTCAGTCAATTATCTTGTGTATGGACCTTTATATCTGTTGGTATTGCATTGTGAAAGCGAAGTGAATAATTTGATTTATTTAACCTGCTAAGACGAGAGAAACTTCCCTTTAGTAAATTCATTGCAGAACGAGATGTCTATTCGCATTAATGCCGGAAAAGCTCCTAATTTTGTTGATCGATTATTAGACTTGTGACGCACTCTAGAACTAGCCATACAGGTTTATCATAAACTATGTCAGTCTGACTGAAAACAAAAACAAAAAAAAATTAATTTAAATTGGAAAATGAATTAAAACTTACTGACAAGTTATCAAAAAAGCTCTGCCGGGTTATTTAATTGAACTACGATATAATTTTTGATTAACAATAATTTTACCATTTGCAAAACATTTCGCTTCAATGGTGGCAATTTGACCTAAATCACACCTTAGAATGGCGAAAAGGGAAACAGCTGTAATTATCAGAGTTATTGTACTAGTAGCTAACCTGAAAAAACAAATTGAATGTTCATGTAACTATGGGTGTTTCGTTCGATCGAAAGTAATGTGGGCGAAAATATACTTCGACTCAACCAGCACTATCAGTTGCAATAATGATGTTTAATTTTAAGCCGTGACAATCAAGAGCTGTCGGTAACCCTGTTTTTTCATCCAATAACTCCACTAGTAAATTTCTTTGTTTCACCGATATCCCTCTAATGAAGTAAAATAGAACCTCAACAACAGCGGCAGATACTGAAAAGATTATATTTTTCTTTCTTCTTTGTAATAAAAATCTATTTAATTGTTTCATAGAGAACCTTAATCTGATTATTACTATAAGAATTGTTGTTGTATTTGTGGCATTTTCGCAATGTTGTACAACCAGAGCCGTAATTGCGGCACATTTCATGTTTTGTTTCTTGTGGGCAAATCTTTTGTGAAAAAAAAATGTGATTTTCCGTGATGTTTAAAGTTCATAAAAGTTGGCTGTTTTCCTCCCAGATGTCCATTTTTGCTTGTTGCTTCTCTGAACCCAATTGCTCCAGGCGTGTGATACAGAGGTGAGTATGTCTCTTACCTTAAGGTTTCCCCACATTGTCTCTTTAAATTTGATTCGCTGAAGTAATTTAAATTAAAGGACACTTTTCAGGTATCTGAAATTTTTCGCCCGATCACTGTGCAGTAAAAGTTATTTTGATATAAGGTTACCTGCAGTTCGTCAATCGAGTTCTTGAAATACTCAGTGTGGCATTATGTGGCCATGATAAGGGAAACTTAGTGTGATGGAAGTTCGTCCTTTTGATTGATATCTCTGCCTATAACACCATGTCATAAGTCTTCTTCTTTCTTCGTCAAGTTGAAGCTCAGCTGATGTATATTAAACTCCATTACAGTATCCTCTCTGTAAATTGCTGTTTCCAGCTCCTTGAGTCTTTGCTTCACTAATTGGCCAAAAAAGACCATACCGTTTACTTTCCCTCTTGCTGATCTGTCTAGAGAATTGCCCAAAGCGTCAAAGAGTGAGGACTGAATGAAATCTGAGCGTAGTGGAGAAACAGTGCACAAAATATCACAAAGTAACACCTTAGGCAAAGCTATCCTGTAAACACAGGGATAAAAACAGATGTATCGAATGACTAGTTGTAGGATTCGTTTGACAGTCGCACTACTCATTTTTACAATTATACTCTGCAGTCTCATTGGATTAGTTTGACGATGCATGTAACAACAAAGATTCATCCATCCTGATTTATCCGCCTCTAAACCCAAATAACCTTGTGCACAACTTGAGAGGGTTAAATGTATTCAGGAACAGGATATTGCAATTTATGAAATGTCACTAATAAGCTATCATAAAACAAATGAGGAAGTACGCGCGATCTTATTGGTCTAAAGCTGCGATTAAATGAGGGTATGATAAAAACGATAGAGGTGTTTTACATTCTCACCCTGTTTTGAGAAGTATCTTTAGAAATCACATTCAATTGGGTGAATACTGACAACAACGACCATTAAACCGACCCGTAAAGAGACCAAGATAGCTGACCGATTCACTTATTTAACCTGCTGACATCTATTTCTCGTAGGCAGCAAAATCAAGAAAGTCAAGAACATGTTGTCGTCGCTGTACATTGGGTTTTCAGTGCTGTTTTCAGTACTGGTGATATTCAATCTGGTTGGCAACACTTTAGTGATCTTAGTAGTACTACGTAACAGGTCTATGAAGACACCCACCAACTACCTCCTCGTAAACCTTGCAAGCGCCGACATAGTGGTCGCCTTTTTTATCGGTATCCAATTCATAGTAACACCAACCTTCACCCACCCCCAAGGGACGTTAGGAGCAGTGCTCTGTAAGATAGTAACAGGTGGTACACCAGGGTGGGTTGGTGCTGTCGCTTCAGTGTTTTCGCTGGTGGCCATATCAATTGAACGTTACTGGGCTGTTTTGCATCCCCACAGTCAGAAAATTAAACTCACAAAGACAAAAATTGTCATACTCGCTCTTCTTTCCTGGATAGCGTCTCTCACTTGGGCAATCCCAGGATTTTTGGCTACCACATACATCAAAGAATTCAAAGGCTGTGCACACAGCTTTTCCAAACCAATCTATGCTAAGCTATACACTGTTGGGTGGTCAGTGGTGGCAGGTGTTATCCCTATCAGCATCATGACCGCTTTATATTCCAAGGTGGTTTATCGTCTTTGGTTTGTGAACAACGCTACAACTGAAAGTACCCAGCGTGCACTACTGCGATACAGAAAACGCGTCACCAAGATGGTCATATTCGTTACAGTTGTGTATGTGCTGTGTTGGGTCCCCGAGCTGTTAATTTACTTCTTAGGTTTCACTGGCACTATCACTTTACAGCCATTTCACCATGCTATTGCGTCTGCTTTGATTGTTTTCAACTCCAGCATTAACCCAACCGTTTACAGTCTACAGAGTAGTAAGTTTAGAAAGCATCTTGGGGAATTAATTTGTTGCACGAAAAGAAACGTGGTCACTCCTTTCAAAAATAGTGGCTTTACAGTTGATGGCAAATCAGACACCATGGAAATGGAACGGGACGTGCCTTCAACTGCCGAGTGAGCGAGCGAGAGGGTGAGTGAGTGAGTGAGTGAGTGAGTGAGTGAGTGAGTGAGTGAGTGAGTGAGTGAGTGAGTGAGTGAGTGAGTGAGTGAGTGAGTGAGTGAGTGAGTGAGTGAGTGAGTGAGTGAGTGAGTGAGTGAGTGAGTGAGTGAGTGAGTGTGAGTGAGTGAGTGAGTGAGTGAGTGAGTGAGTGAGTGAGTGAGTGAGTGAGCAAGTGAGTCAGTAGGCGAGTGAGAGTGAATGAGTAGGTAAGTCGGTAGGCGAGTGAGAGTGAATGAGTAAGTGAGTGAGTGAGTTAAATAGAGCGTGAGCAATAGTGTATCCCTGTTTAAGTTAATCCATGAGATAACATGTATTCCAATGAAACGTTTTTAATCTGAGATGTATGGTAGCAATTGTACATTGAATGAAATATCCTAGAACACTTAAACTGATGAACCTTTAGTGAGAGGGAAACACATGTTACTGCATATCCATCCAAAGCTTATTCTAAGATAAATAATTTGAATTAATTTGAAGTGAATCTAAAGTTTCATTAATCTTTTTCAGAGTCATTCAATTAAAGCTATTACTAGCCTTACAAATACTTAGTAAGAAAAAATACTAAAAACAAAACGTGTACAATTGTAAAACATTCCACCGTAACATAGCAATACTGTCTCATAATTTAAATATTTAACAAGTATATACTGACAACTATTAGTTTGTCTATAGTGATCATGATTACCTCCTTTTGGGTGCAACTCTAAATCACTCATTAATCAGAATTCTTACACGAGGTTCTTTCCTTTTGTGTAACATCAGGCAAAGATATCACTTCTTTTAGTTTTAATTAGATTTTTAAAAAAAATTATAACCCATTTCATACTCATGAGTATCCTGCTAAAAGTTTAATGTCCTTTTTCTGTACCAAATGAATATCATGATTATTTATGCCACAAGGCATTTATAATTTCATGATGTGTGCTAAATTTTTTCTATGCTAAGGCTTGAAAAAAGTTATATAATTATCATATGTTTTTCCTGAGCAGTTACTGCCACTTCTTATGCCTGGCTTACACCATGAATCATCATATTAAGAAAATAACATATCATATGACCTTTTTCTCTGTTTTAGAAAGTACACATGAATATGGATAATAAAATCATACTTTGCTACATTTTATTTGTTTATAACATTTGACTGGATTGACAGTCATAAAGCCACTTCTTGCAACCAATCCTGTTTTAATTCTAGCAGATTTGAGAGCAACATTACTGAAGTTATTGAAAGAGGGTCCCTTACAACCCTTTGTAAAACTCAGTCACCAAAAATATTTAGCTTTTCACACCACAAATAATATTCAAAACTATTTCATATACACCAGAAATTTAAGGCAACCATGTTGAATTAATATTTTACTTTTTCTAGTCTTGATCAGTGTTACACTACAAAAGATGACACAGTGTCTTATATTACTTGTTCAAGAACCATTACTGGTCCGTTTTACAACTTTTATCAAGCCATATGGAGTCCATCTCCTGTAAAACCCTGGTCAAAACCTAACCACAGCTGAGAACCATATGTACATTTTCAAAACACTAAAATAGCCCAAAAGTCATCATGCAAAGCAAAATGGTTCAAGGGTCATGTTTAAATAAACAATTTTGTGAACAAGGATGTGAAAGATCTCATCATCTTTAATCACAATTCACAAATAAAAACAAAAACAAAAACAAATTACAAATATAATAAACACATCCCCATTTAAATATGTACTTCACCATTTTAATGCGTACTTGAAATTTTAGATATCTTAGTTCCTGAATGAACCAATCAGATCTCAAATACATTTTTAATTAGTTCTTTGGGATATAAGTTACTGTGTCAACCAATCAGATTTGGTTTGCAATATGAAACTTACTCCTCAGCAACTAAGTTCCTCAACAAACCAATGACATGGAAGAATATAGGTCTGGTCATTTCTAAATTAAGGTTTGCCTGTTTTATTTCTGTCAACAACAAATAAAACAGACAACAATAGATGGGTCATTTCTACTTTAAGAGCAGTAATGTTTCATCATTAATTGGATGCTATCTGTGGTAAATCATTCTTCTTCAAGGCCGTATTATTTTCATTAGCACTAGACGCGTAGAAACTTTTTGTAAAGCTTTGTCACCGTTGTAATTTTGCAGCAAAAAAATCAGTTACATTCAGTGTATTTCACCTTAGAAATATATCGAATACGTTGTGGTTAACACAGCAATGGAAACGCACCCGATTGCTTACAATTCCACAGAAATCGTTGGCAGAAATCGTTGACTGAATTGCCACCACGGTTTTTCCGCGCTCTTTATGAGCGTCCGAGTACTAAGAAAGCGATCAAATGAGTATTATCCTTTGTAAAGACTGAATTCATTTCCGGTGAACGTGCAAATAATCGTGTCCGCGTGATGAAAAAATTAAAAAAATATCGCAGCCTTTTTATGCTCGTAAACGTTCTTAAAAGCAAGAAGATTTGACAAGCTTTCCTGTCACGAATGTGATGATGAAATTACAGTAATCGTGACACCGTAACGCTTATTAGAAGACAAGCGAGGACTTGACCTGTGGACACAGGCAAAACTTATCATCTTACTTTTCCGCCCTGTTTTGTTACAGGCAACGATTGCGTTACAATTTTGACTTTTGCACTGGATGTATGCAAAGTTGAAGCAAATCATGCTACTGAAATTTAACCCAACTAATTACCACTGTATTTACGAGGAAAATTAATCCAATCTGTTCAACAAATTCCATAAACAAATGCTATCATAATAAAAATTGTTACGTGTAATAACAATCCAATAAAATTAACTTACCGGACTTGAACGTCTTTTGAATCGCGAAATTTTCCATTCTCCAATCAGTTTCCATGCTGAGAAATTCAACTTTTCCAACTTCTAAGAAGAAATTACATTGTTACGAATGTAGTTTTCGCTTCCATCTCGCATACGATGTCTTAACTCGGAATTCACTCATTTCGTGCCATAATGTAATTTTGGCGGGGAATAGACAAATAACTGCTGTTTGTCTCTGTGTTGTGTAAAAATTTATTCCCAACAGATTAAGCCTTGTTTTGAAATACTTAGAACGCATTCAGCGTTCAAGCAAGCCATCTAATGAAATTGATTTGACAGAAGAGGACATGGTTCGTTTAACAACGCACTAGAATACGATCTTGGAGGAGTTAGCGACCGAACGCGATTTATTTCACGGGAAGTCCTGTTGTGACCTCAGCTGTATTGTTTTCCTTAACCGTTCGCTGATTGGCCAAACCAGTAACTAATTTTGTGGCTACGCGAGCCACCAACTACCACGTAGGATATTGATCAGCCAAACACCATGAAGTTTATTTCAACATAGTATTACAGGAGCCTATTACGACACCTTTTGTCATTCAACAGGATATCCGTAGTAAATCGAACCCACCCTGCTTTCTTGAGTTTTTAATTTTAGATTACTGCAAATGAAAGCGTATTCCTCTCCCGAGTTGTTAGCTTTTTAAAAACTTTCAGTAAAATGAGACCTACTATATGGAGAACTCGTTGTAATATAATTGAAGTTGTTGCCAATGTTTAGCTGGCAACTTTCTGTTGATTCGCATTTCGATCATCCTTGAAAATGTCAGCTACTTCTTAGCGTCTAAACAATACAACACTCTGTTGTCCTCTTTCGCAATGCTTTTCGTACCTTTCGTGTCTGCATGTAGTCGCTGATACAATGCGTACTAGGCTCAGCGAAATGTCAACATTTTCAAGATCTTAGCAACTGTCTAAAGAATCCTTATTACTGTTCATGTTATCATTATGAAACTTTGCTTCCGACTTGCTGATCGTCTTCAAACATCTTGAAGCTTACAGCGTTTGAGTTGGTGACTCATTATATTATAACTAATGTCACGTTATACTTGATCATCCTCTTTCGAATATGTGGTCGATAAAATAGGTTGCATTAAGTTGACCGAAATGCCACCTTCTTCAAAATGTCTTAACAAAGGTCAAAGGATTCAGTTTAATTCTTTGTTTTACCAGTACACGATGTTGCCTCTGGGTTGATGACCGTCTTCAAACAGCTTGAAGCGTGAAGGCTTTGAGTTAGTTATAAATTATACATCGATAATATCATACTGTTCTCAATTGCCCTCGAAGTTTGCATGGGCTGAGTTAATGAACCATGACCATGACAGCCGTCATATAACAATTAGTTGTCCACTTTCGCAATGCATCTTCTGTGGTCACGAAAACAATCTGCTCGGCGAAATTTCAACATTTTCAAGATATCTTTACAACTGTCTAAAGAATCCTTTTTAATCTTCATTTTGATAGTGAGCTACTTTGCTTCTGAGTAGCAGATTGCCTTCAAACAGCTCAAAGCTTACAGCGTTTGAGTTGGTGAATCATTACATCATTAATAATGTCACATTACACTCGGTTGCCCTCTTTCGGGTCTGCAGTCAATAAAATGGTTCGCATTTAGCTGATCGAAATGATTCAGTCTAGTTCTATATTTCACAAGTCGGCAATGTTGCCTCCAGGTTGATAATCGTCTTCAAACAGCTCGAAGCGTACATTAAGGTTATCGAAACGCAACATACTTTAGGATCTCTTAACAAACGTCAAATGATTCAGTTTTACTCTTCATTTCAACAGTGGGCAATGTTACCCCTTATTGAGTTAGTAAATCATAACTTCCTCACTAATTTTATATTACACTCAGTTGTCCTCTTTCTCAACGCTTTACGAAGCTTTGTTGATTAAATAATTGGCATTTAGTTCATCAAAATATCACGTACGTCACAAACATCTTAAGTATCATCTAACTCTTCCGTTGGTATACACTTTTCCAACTGAGTTACAGATCGCTCTTTAGGAGTTCGAACCATCTTCCTTCATTTTATTGGATTTTTGCTGTCATTAAGAGACATTAGACCGAACTTGTATGCCCCATTCTTACGGTCCGAAGGGTTTTTGTCCAGTTTTGTGATCATTTTTGTGTGTGTGTGTGTGTGGGGGGTATGTTTCTTTGCTTGCCTTTTAAAATAAAACGAGCAAGTTCCTTAAGAAACTGTAGTGCTAGGGTGGTGGGGGCGGGGTTTACAAGAAAGTTTGGTTTTATCAACTGAGTTGATATGTAAGTTGGTCACCGTTTCTAAGACTATTTTCTAAAGCTGACGTTTCGAGGTGAAGCTGTTCGTCAATCTTCATGGTCGTCCAAGGATTTTTTTCCAACCAGTTATGTTAGCAAAAAAAATTCTTTTTACGGGGTATTTAAGCAAAATGGGTAAAGGCTTCCCATGCGAGCGAAGCACTATTTCGCCAAAGCGTATCTTCAGTGTGAGGTACTTCAAGGGTAATTCATTTTGTTCCCGTTCGTTTCGAATGCATAAGTCGCACAACAAGGGGTCATTTTTGGAGATATGGAAATTCCCCCATACGGATGGGTTGTTTCTCTTTTAAGATGACGTCTTTTTAAAATTTGCGAAACAATTCTTTCTTTAGTTCGTTGCCGTTTTTGGCAAAAGACGGATGCTAGTTGTTTGAAGGAAATTTCGCCGTTCCTCATGATTTATGCGCATTCTTTACGGTCGATGACGTGTATTCTCATTGCTAAAGTACTGAAACCTCCCCGTGACGCTTATGGTCCAGGCTGTAAAGTCAGTTAATTCACCAACAGGTGCTCATTCGAGTTTTTCGAAGGTGTGGAAGCCTATTTGATTATCCATTTAGTTGTACTGTTTTACCTTTTCGTAAGATCATGTTCAATTAAGAAATTTTACGTTCCATTTTTGGCATCTAAGGGTACTGCAACACCATCTAAAAGTCTGCCACCCCACCAATTCCCACAGTTCTGGCCTTTGGTACATGTAGATGTTGTCAGAGTGTAAAGTACATTCGGCCCTAACATCTTCAATTGTAACTTCTGCAATAAGGGTCTAAAAGTGAAGAGTCCGTGAGGCCTACGCGATATCATGATGGGTTAGGGTTAGGGTGATATGGTTAGGGTTAGGGTTAGGATTGGGTGAAATGGTTAGGATTAGGGTCATGATATCATAATGTTTGCTTTAGTTATTTTGTAAAATGTTGTGCGATGTTGTAAGATCCACTTCTAGTTTCATTATTTTCAAGATAAAAATTTTAACAAACCCAATATATTGCGTAGGTGACAAAGGGAGTCAAATACAGCTGATTCTTGTTCTCATGGTGAATAAAAAGTAGCAGAAAACGGTTTTCTTGTGCGAACACGTATTGTGCGAAAAATTTGAGTCTTTGAAAAGCGCATTGTAGAGTGAGCCAAGGGGTGGATAAAGAAAGTAAGGAAATTAGTATGTTAATAAGCTCGGGTATGACATCATGGTAAAGACAAAAGTGTCTTTAGCCCGACATGATTAAGATACTAATTTATTTTTCAAAGAACAAGAATCAGCTGTATTTGATTCCCTTCGTGGCCAGTGGCGTAGCCAGCCGATAGGCCCGTAGGCCAACGTTCTACAATCCGAGCGGGGAACGGATAAGTCACCTACGCAATAGATTGGGTTCGTTAAATTTTTTTTCTTGAAAATAATGAAACTGGAAGTGGATCTTACAACATCGCGCAACATTTTACAAAACAACAAAAACAAAGATCATGATATGATGACCCTAATCCTAACCATATTACCCAACCCTAAACCTAACCCTAGCGCCAACCCTAACCATATCACCCTAACCCTAGCCCATCATGATATCACGTAGGCCTCACGGACTTTTCACTCTTAGACCCTTATTGCAGAAGTTACAATTGAAGATGTTAGGGCCGGATGTACATTACACTCTGATAACATCTACGAAAGGCCAGAACTGTAGGACTTGGTGGGGTGGCAGACTTTTAGATGGTGTTGCAGTACCCGTAGATGCCAAAAAAAAACAACCCTGTGTTACAAGGATAAAAATACCCATTGAGGCAGCATATCTGTAGCTTGAGAAAGTACCAACAACAATTCAGTTACATCACAATTGTTTAGTTGGCACCTAATTTAGAAGTAGGATGCTCATAGTTTTCTCACACACAGCCAACACCCCACAGCTGACTCAGGGAAGTCTATTTGCCACATCATGTATTAGAGCAATACTCACCAAACATTTTGTGTTTTGGAGATCAGTCGCATGTAGCTCATGGGTTGTTTCTTGAGCACAGTCCGCCCAAGCTCCAACTTAATCATCTTGTGAAATAAGAGTCATGGCAAAATTATAAGAGTTTGTAGGGGAATATTTACGACTGTCAGGTTTACTACATACATAAGAAAAGCCCACAGGCAGCTCAAGCTCCAGCTGTGAGATAATCATCTTGCGTAATAGGAGTCACGGCGAAATTATAAGAGTTTGTATGGGAATATTTAGGACTGCTTTAAGAAATTATAAAAAAAAAATGTCAGATTTTCCATAAAAATGCCATAACTTACTTCGTAAATAAGAAACGGCTTTTCTTGAGAATGTAGTGAACCTCGAAATGGATAACTCGCTAAAATGGGTTCTTTTCAACAGAGCGATCAGAAAACAAGAGATGCACTGTGGAAGTAAGGTAAGGTATTTTTATTGAGAATTTGACTTATTGTTTTTATTTCTTGGAGTGGTCGGAAATAATCCCATACAAACTCTTATAATTTCAGCATGGATCTTATTTCGCAAGATGGCCATCTCACGGCTGGAGCTTGGGGCGGCCTGTGTTCTAGTAGTTTCTGTATAATATTACCACTCTCATTTCCAGAGCCCTCTTGACTCGAGCCCGGCCACTGTGTCGCAGTGTTTTGGGCGCCTATAGAACAACCAGCGCTAAAACTGTGGTCCCTTCGGAAGTATTAGCGAATCTTGCAAAAATACTTCAGTTACACATATTTGGTTTGTCAACTACTGGAAGATATTCGCTGCCAAAGGTGTTGTGTTTAAGCTTTTAGCAATACACATGCTCCGTATATTCTCTTTCTTCTTAAATCCCTTGAGGAAGTCTCTGTCGGACGAAATATTTTTAAGTATTTTGAAAACCGCATTCTCAAAATCACAGGTTTAAAGCCGGTGAATGAGTTTATCTTTACTCCAAAGCTTTTGAAATACCTCCCCCTCTCGCTTCTATACATTTTACACATTTCTTTTTCACTTAATTAAGATGGACATCTTCTGCCACAATTTGCGACTCCATTGTCGACTCTGTCCAAAAATCGCGAAAATTCTGCGCCGTTCCACGCATTTTGTTCTTCTACGGGTTCAAAGCACGCAAGACAGGCTTACTTATTAGCCAATCAGAACACATGATTCCCTCCTCTTACCCACGGGGGTGTCAGCTTCAAGAGAGTTATCGCTACTCTTGTCATTATTAATAGCCTCCGTACTGACAAATGTTCGTTCCGTGTGTCAGTCTGATCCATAATAAACGTATAATTTGAGTCAGATCCAGAGTCTGGGAAAAAAGTCAGAATGTCAGCCTACTGCATCTTACCTTGCTTCTGTCCTTTGAAAAAGCATGCAGTTTGAACCGGTGAGACCGCGCACGGTATACGCGTAATTGAGCAAGCGAGTCTCTTTTGTGCGCACTGATGCATATAGATGCCAAAAAAGGATGAGGCTAATATTCAACCATCTTGACCCGACGGGCTTGGTCAAAAAAGGATTTTGATAAACATTTCGATTAGTCAACGCAAAAAGATTTTGCGTTAATAGTAATCAAGAATGAAACGTTTATTTCGAACGCCGGGAAAGAAAGCCAACTATGTTTTTGGCACAGTAAACCCACGAGAGTAGCTTGTTTTCTTTGTTTTCACTGTCCTCTACCGCCTTTTGGGACTTCATGTCTAAAACCTGCGTCCTCTCATGTCCGCTCCAAGCACTTTTTTCTTTGCGCAGAATCCAAGCCGATGGGCGGCCAATCAGAACACAAGATTTGCTTCATACTACCCATGGGCGCTGCCAGCGATATAAAATACACCTTGAGTTCAGGACAATCGTTGAGTGGGAACTAGTTTCTCTTCTGAATTAAAAACGCGGCGAGTAGTAGTTTCAATGCATACCTTTTAATTGTGGAGACAAAAATCATCCGGTTTCAGGAGCACTTTTTCTTGCAAAGAAGAAATGTTCACATTTCTCGTGTCGAAACCACGGGGAAGTTTGGGTTGGTTTGTGCTTCGGTGAGCTCACGACTCTGATATTGTTCAAGGTATTAAATTGTGTATGAGGGTATTGCGCCAGGTTAATTCAGAAACCGACATCTATAAACTAAACAAACAATAGAGGAAGTGTTTCATTTTACAAGCCAGACGGGAAAAATCTTACAGCCATTGAAAACTGACAAAAAAAAATTACGAAGACTTCAACCAAAATATTAAGTATTTTTCCTATCAGAAGCTTCTTCGTCAGTTTCTTCAACTCAATGTGATTATTGCTTCACGGGCAAATAGCAATCTACATAAACTTGGCAACCACTACCTGCTAATTAAGCTTGAAATCAAAAGGTTAAAAACCTCAACATTTAATCTTCTAATGTGGAATTTACCCAAGTCAAGAAATTCAAGTAAGTTCTCTACTCTCTCTTTCAAACACCATTCATAACTGTGTCATTTAAGTGCTGCACCACAGTCTCCTGGGATCTCAAAAGTGATAAACCTCTCCGAACGCTGCGAACTAGTGATACCTGTATTCCTTTTACCTAACAATCGTAATCACTACAACAAGCAAAAACTGTACTTGGAGACAGGAGTAGAGTGACAATCTCAAAAACTCACACCACCATCTCAGCCAAAGTGATTCAAGCTAAAGCCAACAAAGACATAATCACTCGCGCTTTCCTGTGCTTGAAGTACTGTATATAAAATGTTATTAAATTTGAGTTTTTTTGTCATTTTCCTTTATTCCGATTAGCTAATGTGACCACGTACTCTGATCCAGGTTTTACGACAGTCAAAAGCGCTCCTTTGCATCACTCTTTTACATTGTATGTTGTCACTTTTTATTTACCTTTTATGATAATAAGGATAAATTTCCCTAAAGACTAGATTAAAGTACTTCGGACTATTTACCTTATTAGACTATATACCTTATCGATCAACAATCTGACTACCTCATTCATTTCTACAGTATTTAGCAAATTCAGAAGAATTCATTTATCAATTAGAATGATGATTAACATAAATTACAGTTGCACGATCCTCGTGAGTGGCTGGGTCATGACCTGTGGTTCTTACCATCAAAACTTAAATTACTTTATTGGACTTCATCGCATATTCTGTTCCATGATTGCATTATCTTCAGTTAATCATTCTTCTTGTCAGTATAAGGGGGTGGGGCATAGGGAGGTGGAGGCTATAAAAAAAGAAAAATATATATACCTAAGTTGCTAGCCAGCGCACAGTTGTTCAAAGTTTGGTATAAGCCATCTAACGGATACTTCGCCACCCAGCGGATAAGTGTTAACAAAACGTACTACGCTACCCAACAGATAGAGATTTATCGATAGATTGCCTTCCTTTTTTGTTTTTGTGTGAAATAAAAATGAGGAATTTTCCGATATTCAAGAGGTTATCCTCACTTCACATACCTGAGGGGCTGGTACATATACGTTTTGTCCAGTGCTGTAAACCTCTCTTGCTTTTGCATCTGTTAAAGGTATCATAATATGTACAACACAGGTTATGTCACTATTTTCTCTATTTACACAAAGCATACCACTTAATTCGCTTTTGGACCATTGGGAATTAGCGCTCTATAAATACTGTATATTATACTGTATATTAATGCAATCAGACAATGACTGAAGATAAAAAAAATTCACACAAAAGTAAGTGACGAGAAAACGGCTCTGTAGTAGATTTGATGGGACTTCATGGAAAGCACCCAAAATTAACACCACACTTGTTACTCTGCTGGTACAGAGTTGTACAGGGGTATATTGACATGGCCCAATAAGGTACCTTCCAATCCCTTCCTCCAGTTTGTATTCTCTTGGAAACACACACTGCAAAAGTTCCAAAACTTGTTTTACAGAAGCAAAGGCAATTTGTGAGACTACAAACCGAGGCTGCTGCAAAAATTTAGATCTTCAAAAGAAACAAATTTCCACCCCATAGTACATACATTGTATTATTTACCCCAAAATAAAGTCTAGGGAACTAAATGAAAGAGCATATTTCAAAAATCTAGTGATACATGCCAAGTGATGGCCAAATCCATTGATCTGCCACTATTTTCACACAAATCCAGATCTGCACCACTTGATGCCTTCTGATTTCCCTCTTAATATGCTGATTTTTATTTATTGTGGGGCTTTCTTAAGACATGAACATGTTTGGAAAAATGTTGAAATTATTCAGGGGCAAGTATAAATGTACATGTGAATACTGTATCCAATTACATTTGAATCAACTCCTAGCAGAGAAGCTATTCAGACTCAGAGACCACTAACCTCCAAATGAATAGTTAAAACTGCCATCAGTAGGAGGGGGTGCAGAGGGTGGAGCCTGTCCTGGGTATGGTGGGGGATTTTCCTGAAGAAAAGTCAAACAGTGATTAACTTCAAGCTTAAATAACAAGTTTGAATGATAGCAACTTTTGGGAAGGAGATAGGCTTGCTAGGTCTTGTTAAGATTACATCTAGGAGTGCTGGAAAATTCCAAATTCAGTCGTCAAGGGTTTATTGTGTCCAAGTCTCACTGCATTGCAATGATTCAGTAATCTCATAAAGCTGTTAAAGATATAGCTAAATAATAAAAGTAGCTGTCATTATTCTTGAATTAAAGTCTGATTAAAGCCTCACAGAAACAGAAACTTACATGAGGCTGGTATGGTGGTGGCTGACCCATTACACCACCTAAAATAAAAGTAAGTCAGAATTAGAATGTGGCTTGTCACATTTCTGTATGGGTAACATGTCCGTAACAAGAAACCTGGGACTCCATTTTATTTTAGTTATTGTATAGCTACCCTGTATGATAGAGATGTCTCAAAAGAAGAGGAAAATACAAAATACTGTGGCTGAACCAAATTCTTGGAGACCACATAAGATATCCCTTCCTTTTGCTTAAGGATCCACCACTGCACGTAGAGCTACAGTGCTGTAAATCCTAACTTTATTGCAAAACTAGTCATGAATAACCCCTCTGAGTGTAACCCCTATCCTGTCACAGAGAAAAAGAGCTGCTTTTGGCAATCAGGTGTTTGGGTTGATATGGTTCTCTCTCACAAAAAATACAGCTGTTATAAACCACTTTAACACCTTTGCAGGTGCCCTTTGGGAGAAAATTTGTATATGCGTTAGTTTCAGTAAAATCCTCACACACATAATATCTGAAGAAAGGCTAATAACTACAGTTTACAATATATATATATTTTAAGCGAGTTTTCCTTTAAGGAAGTATCAGGAGCCAGTAAAGTGTGAAATGACCGTGGGTTCTTTTATTGAATTTACCGTATTTATTCACCTATAAGCCGAGCGATTTGGGTGTTAGAGACCATAGTACAAGCAAAATGGCTGCAGTCTTAATCACCAGGTATCAATCAACAGAAGGGTGTCTAGCTTTTTTAATATTCTGATTGGTTGTTTAGATATTGGTATCTTAAGTAGGTGTAGCTAAAAATATGCCAGGCATTTTGCATAAATGGATGCCACAGGAAAAATATTTCAAATATCAATATTTCCCAACACCCTTTAATTTGTCATTGTTCCTGGAATGTTCTGGCAAAATATGACCAAAATTGGTCAAATCTAAAAACCGAATAAATTCACTCAAAGCAGATGTATTGGTCCCAAAATCAAATACAAGATTTTAGCTCAAAAAGGCTCGCGAACAACTCATGCCACCCCAGGAGATTATCTAGCCCCCCCTGAAACTGCAAACCAATGGGATAACGGGACCTTCTGACATCAATGATGATGGATCAAGATTTCCTGGGAGAAGTAAACCATTGCAGACAGGTCTTTTTTATCTTAATTGTTCAGTGGAGCATTGAGGAGGACAATACAAAAGGGGGTAAAGTTGCCTAAGACAAAGGAAAAACCTATGGCAAAAATGGAAAACCAGAAATGCACTGAGAAGCAAGACAACAAATCAACACGCAGCTTTCAAAATTACAATTCAGGGCGATTGTAAATGCTTTGTATCACAGTGAGTACTTGCATAAATAAAAAGAAACCTAGTTTCTTACATTATGTTTGACAAATTAAGGTTTGACAGGGACTTCTTTGTTCAAATCTGGACACCAGCATGGAGTTCTGCCAGTACCAGTCACTTTCACCATGGATTTTTCTTTTCATTACAGAATGGTACTCTTTCTCTCTTCTTTGGGCCTGTTTTTTTCTTTTCTTTCTTTTTTTTTTTTTTTAACTGGACTTTCTTTCACTTTTAACTTTTTCATGAGCAAAAATTTTTCAGGTACAAGATTATGACACCTTCCTGATTCATTAACTTTTATTTGAAAATACATTTTTCTAAATAACTCTGGTGCTTTTAAAGATTTCAGAATTTTTTTAATGGGAATGTTAGGTTAAATGTTTGAATTCTGTTGAATGAAATAAAAGAAAAACTATTTCCTTGGCCTCCAAAGGTAGGGAGTAACCTTAAACCAAGAAATCTTGGAATTTGCTGTCACAGAAAGATTTTCACAAAGGGAGAACACATCTGTAGCACACAAACAATTTTTGTTTAATAAAATCAGTTTTTTGCATCACACATGCCACACTTGAAAAAATGGTTCAAATTTTGTCCCATTTGAGTCATGGCCCTGAAAGATGCTAAAATTACACTCCAACTAAATATTTGAATTGACACTGAAGGCCCAACAGTTAGAAAATTCAACAACTTTTTATGATCTTTTTCAGGACTTATTTTTTATGTTAATCACTCAATCATTTTTTTGGGCAATGTAGTTTTCAGGAGATTTATCGCAGTAATTTCCATAAATTTTCATTACCCACATTCAAACCAAATTCAAAGACTTACTGGCTTGGAAAAATGATAGTGAAGAATTTCTTCTCAATCCCTGTACAGCCCTGTTGGAATATCTAATTACATGTAGACTGAGTTTCTTATTTTTAAAAGGTAGCCATGTCATTCAATTCTAAGCACCAAAACTAAAAAATAGTTATGGTTTAAATTTCTATATAGGACAAACAGTAACAAGACTGTACCTGGAGGTGGATAGACAGCATATCCTGCAGGTTGCGGAGGTGGGTAAAATGCCTGCCCAGGGGCTCCATAATAGCCAGATTGAGCTGGGTACATATTGTTGTAGATGTTGCCTCCATTCATCATCACTGGCTGCCCAGGTGCCTGTGGTGGAGGGTGAGACCCAGGCCTACGGACTACAGAAACATTTACTTGTAGTTCAGTAAAATAAACATGCATTTTCATAAAAATTTTACACCCATAAAATATATATACTCTGCCTCGGTAAAGAAATTTTTCTACAATTTTTATCAAGTAAGTTTTATCAAACTCATTGTTTGAGTGGTAGTTGACCACCAATGAACAGGTTCTATTGAAACCTTGTATAATTAATTAACTCACCACTAGCAACAGCAACTCTGAAGTGTTCAGCAAATTCTATAGCTCCACCACTATTGAAGGTTACTTTGAAAGTTCCTCTACCATGCCAACCACCTGAAAAGAAATAAGAAAAATTTCAGGACAAAATTGAGGTAGAACTTCAAGTATCTTCCATACTTTGAAGCTGGTAACTCAATTATCTACCAAAAAGAGCTTGTTTTACCCCAACACTTCCCTAAGTTTGACTGTTTAGCTGTTTTTGAGTATGATTTTGAACAGGTTACTCTTTACTTACCATCTGTCTCAGAAATTACATCCCCCTTCACAAAATTTGCACCAAACATGGGTTGCTTGACCTTAAAAGTATTTAACAGAGCATTAGTTGTTTGAGAGCTTCATTAAGCCTTCTGTAAAAATACATTTTTTTATGTTTCCAGATAAGCACATACTGAAATGAGTAAATCTCAGAAAAGACAAAGAAGATTGAGCTAAAAAACTCAATGAGTACCTCTGTGTTGTCATGGAGATTGATGCTATCTAAAATATTTTAAAATTACCATGTTATGACTTTTTCATCATAAAATAACAAGAATAGTATCCAGAAAAGCTAACCTCCACATTTCGAATACTATGGAAATTCATTGAAAATGAACCATAATTGCATCCAGTTGTAGGGGCAAATATGATCTGAAAGATGATAACACTATGTAAATACAAACAGCAAAGGAAAGAGTTGATTTAAAAAGTACCAAAACCCAACAACAAAAACACCTCATCACCCCATGAGTGTAAAGTGTATTTCTTTCAATAAACTGAAAATGGTCAGAATTGAACTCTTGAACAGAGACTTTGTCTCATTAGCTGCGTGGAGGTAAATAGTTCCGAACTGGCCAATCAGCATACGCTAAAAGAACTATTCATATGTGTGATATATATTAACATCTAGTATTGATCGATATCGATTGAGATTGATTATCAACAACATCGACTGAATACCTTAATAACTTAGTGCAACGAGGTTTGCTAATTTTCAGGCTCTATTTAAACAAATAACAAATAATGAGTTCAGCCAGTATGTAGATTATACTTAAGCCAGCAAGCTTACGACTACCCGCTTGCAATCACCATTGCGAAACTTGACAGTACGTACATGTTTCAAACAGTTGCATTAATCAAAATCGGTTGTTAAGTAAGTCCCCTATGATGGATAGCTGTGTATGTAAAATAAGTCAAATATATGATCTTTTAGAACTTACTTTCTGAATGGTAATGAAGATATTTCCTTTCTTTGAGCCTTTCAAATAACCAGGGATTTCACCGCCTTCCAGAGCAAACTCGACGCCATCTTGATGGTATATCACACTGATAAAAGACAACGTATATTGTCCAAAATCCATCACTAAAACAGACTAGCGCCCAAGTTTAATTGTGATTAAGTTTACTTACTAGTCTCCATGAAGAGTAAGCCGCCCATTTGAGCAAACAACTTTGTTCATAGACATACTTCTCGCTATCGCTTTAAGAATTCGTCACAATTTTCGCCTTTGCTATATTTTTAGATGACGTCATTTTAGAGCTTGGTAGCCAAGTTTAAGCGTTAGTGCTGACCAAAAACATTATGGGCTCTAAGTTCGTAACTCGGCTACTCACCATTATGCAACCTCCGAAACAAGTTCTTTGAATGAGTGTTTAATTGCAGACATATTTTAGAAGCAAAAATGACTTTGTTTTCCAAAACTGTAAGCTTCAATGATATGGTTCCTATTTTACCGGCATTGGATCTACCTGTTACACTCAAAATGTTATTCTCCCACAAGAACTTTGTGCACGCTCTTGCCGGCGCAGTGGTGAGTACATCATACACATGGCTAACTTGTGACAGCATATGTGTTTTCGTCCGCACTGAATGTAGACACACTTTTTGTGATTGTATGATAGGGCCCATTCGGTTTAAAAATGCTTGAATATTCTAAGGATGCGAAGAATGATGCGAATCACAGGTTATTTCGGTTACTTCCCAGATCAGGTGATGTCTGAGGACAAATATCCGCGTATATTTTCGCACGCAATAAAGGAAATTTTAATGTCGACCCTTTCATAGTTTTTTATTACCTTTAAGACGTGAACCATCGAGCAAGAATCCATCAACATTGTGCTACAGAGGTTCTCAAAAGGCAATTGGCAGCTTCAACCCCCCCTTAAGTAACTCACTGGGGAGGGGGGGGTTGGTGGTGGCTGGAATTTGAACAACCCAATCTTCAAAGTCTGGGGAGGGGGATTTTGAGGCTTTGAATTGATTGATATGTTACTTCATAGTGGTGACAATTCTACAGATTTGCACTTGTATAGTGGGGAAATTTTGTCCATATCCCCTTTCCCCAGCTTAGTGATCAGCTGGAAATGTCCTAGCTATGGTCAAACTACCATACCTGAGTGGAAAGCTAGAACAGATTCTCTGAAAACAAAAATCTCGTATTAATTACTTTTTGGTAACAAACAGCATAACGACTGATTGCTCTGACTATTCCTTAAAAGAAACCTAACACTACATACAAGGAGTGAAAAAAGCTACTTAGACAACCAACCTGTTGCAAGTGATCTTTCTCCAGGGACTGGTATTCTTTTTTTACTCTAGCAGACATATGTGAATGTGGTAAAAAATAATTATTCAGGGTTAATGGTACAAAGCCTAACCTACCACTATACAATGATGAACTGAATAGTATTTTATTTAAACAGGGAAGTGTGACAGCTATGACAGTGTTCTTTCCATTAGATACTGCAAGAACCAGACTTCAAGGTTGGTTATTCTTTTGTGGCTCTGGAATTAGGGGTGGGTTACTCAAATGTAAAGGGAGGGAAAATAGTATGTTATAAAAACTCTTAGAGGATATAAGGTTGATACAATTTCAGCTCTTACATAAGTGGGTGTAACTGTTTACTTAAAACTGAAACTTACTGAAATACCTTGAACCTTTAATAAGTGCTGCAGACATAAACTTAAAATTCATTGAAAAGTGAGTGGAAAGGTGTGTATACATGGTAGTAGTTTAGAGCAGGGAAGGTACTTGATATTTCACAAACTGTGCAGATATGATTGTTTTGCAGCAATTTGATGACGTAGGTTTGAAAACAAAAAACCAAAAAAACTGGGTATGAATAAACAAAGTTGATCTCTAGGTTTCATTTTTATAACAGATAGTAATCTTTTTGCTCACTCAACATGCCATAATATGGAAAAGGCATGTTTTGAATGTGTAAATCTAATACTTCAATACTATGATTACACACTGCTGTGGCAAATGTGACCACCTGTCAACAGAGGGAGAGGGAAGGAAGAACTTACCACTTAAAGGGAGTGGACACTTTCAAAACTTGTAGGCAGATAGAGAGGTGGCACTTATTTGAAGAATGTTTGTGCTTATTTTTGCAGCCATTTTTTTTCTTTGGGGATGGGGAGAGGGTTGATCTAAGCTTTGTCTTTGAAATTTTTGCCTGTCATGACTGTGTATCAAGTTTTCATTGTCACACAACAATATTTTTGTAGTTGATGATAAAAGAAAAGCTAAAAACACAGGACATATTTTGATGGACATAATTCAAGAGGAAGGAGTGTATGTATGATATTCAATTTATGGTCTTTTGTCAATAATATTTTCAGTAGAAACCAAAATCTGTAGACTATCACTGTAATTATGGTGATTACAATTACAGCCACTTACATCTAATGACTACAAAGATTATGAAAGTCTATTTGTAGACTCTGCTCTCTAGTATGTCAATTATATCTTGCTTGCAAAGTTATTTCCTGAAAGGTTTTGGTAGTGACGTAGTAAGACACTTTTAGGCTCTTCCTTTACATAGAGTATTATCAGCATATGAATGCACATTCATTGCCTGAACAATCTAAATTAAACTTACAGATATGTGATATGTGGTTTACACTGGCAATCATTTAATTTTTAATGAAAATGGAATTTCAGTTTTTAATTATTAGTGAAAATCACATTTTAAAGAATATGGCAAAGATACTGAATGTTAAAAGCTAAGTTTTCCATTTGTTTCACAATGAAGTCACGTGTGATGTAGATCGTGACATTTCGAGTGCATACTGCTAGTCTTCTTCAGGTGATGAGGTTGACTGGTCATGCATGATCTTATAAAGCATGATGCTCTGCTGTGATTAGTTGTTTTTCAACAGCTCTGATTAGTGCATTTCGATCCTTGCTGTTTCACTCAGTGATTTGCTCCCTTGGTGGTCCGTTGCCACACAGCTCTCCTGTTGTTGTGTTTTTTTATCACGGGCATCCACGCTTCTGGAATTTCTATTTCACTCTCCCTGTTGATGTTGTCAGGGTGAAGTCTTATATGAATTGCCTCTTTGACCCTGCGCATGTAGTAATAAGGGTCATGATCAATAAACTTTACTTTGTTCCAGAGTGGCTTGTGTCTGATATTGTGGGCATGCTCTGAAACAGTGAAGGTCTTGGTATGGGCGAGTCAGATGTCTCAATCATGCTCTCTGTAATTCTGTCTTGCATGGGTCTTCCAGACTCTCCGATGAACACCTCGCCGCATTCACAGGGAATCCTGTAAACTACGCCATCTTGTTCAGGCAGGTTGACAGCATCTTTTGGTTGTACTAGCTGAGATCTTAGCGTAGTCTCCAACTTGAAAACAGCATGTACACCTTGTTGATGTGACCTTATCGCCTTAAGAAGACTAGCAATATGCAGTCGAAAAGTCGCAATCAACAGCACATGTGACTACATCGTAAGACAAATGGGAAACTTAGCTTTTATTGTTATTCACCATGATGAATAACCACAGCCTTTTTTAAGAAAATACTAAACGTTGTTTGTCTGGATGTGTTACAGATACTCTTTGTACCGTGGTCTCCTTCCAGTCCTGTCAAGCCTTTATTGCTCCAATTTTCTCTATTTTTATACCTTCAACGGTCTTAAGGCAGTATTTGTAGGGAGAGGAGAAGTTTCTACATCACTGCAAGATCTGTTATTTGGATATTTAGCAGGTAATGCCATTTCAGCGTTCTTTTTTCCATTGAAAGGTGTATTCAGAGTACTATCATGGTTGGCACAGGTCACAGCAGAAAAATCTTTCATAGTCAGAAAAAAGTCAGAGAGTTAATTTGTTTTTAGTCCAGGAGAATTGAGAAGTGAATTGAGGCTTTTCTTAGAGATTGAGTTTGATTAAAGTCCTTCTGAGTTACAGAATGCCATGGGGATCACATCCAGATCACATGAGATCAGCATTCAACCACTTGATGCACCAAATAGTATTAAAAAATGTATGTGCATAGCTTCATCGCTAATGTGCAGAAGGGTAGGTGGGTCAGACATGTGTTCCATGGTATTCTGTAACTTGGTAGAAGTTCAATGTAGTGGTAGGTCTTGAATCATTTCTTAATTCTGACTCATTACAATGGGAGGGAATTCCAGGAGATCTCAAAGAGAGATATGCTGTGTTTAAATAAAAGCTTGACAAGGAGCATTCCTTTCTTTCAGCAAACTCTGTTGTGTGAGAAAAAAAAAGTGCAGAAAAAAATTGATGAAAATGCACCATGCAGAACTCTGGCAGTGAGGTGCACAAAAAGTAGTTTAGTGCAACCCACAAACATTCTTTTCACTTTTGTTCATTTTACTTTCAAGATGGACTGTGGAAAAAAGGAGGGACTGCTTGTAGATAACAGCCAACTGAAAACTATGTTAACTCAACCACAATGTATTTGTCTTAATTAGCTTACAATTAGCCCCCCCCCCTTTTTTATCGTAAACTGTGTGAAGTGCACTATGAGTCACAAGATCCTTTTGAAGGTCAGGGTTTTTGGTAAACTTGGAATGAACTGATTCCAAACACCAGTCAGTTGTACCCCACACCCCACCTTGATTTTAAGTCTCATCCTGCATGCCACCAAATGTAACAATCTTATGAATAAAACTTGGATGTGGATTGTTTCAACTGACAAAGTTGACACACTTTTTTACGTAAACTGAACTAAGTTTGATCTGGATAAATTTTTGAGCATAATCATGATCTGGCTTTTGGTGTGCAGTCTTCCTCCAGATGCGTCCTTTATTTGCTCTATGGCTCAGTCAGTCTTTGGTAATTTACACAACACATTTCTTTAAGGTTTTTTTTGCAGAGTTTCACTGCCTCTCTTGTTATTTGGTGATAAATGTGAACCAAAGCATATTCTTGATGTACAGGCTGCTACCATATTAATATTTACTGCTTCCTTTTTCAGGAATTGTAAATGTTCTCATGACAACACCCCTATGGGTTGTAAATACCCGCTTAAAATTACAAGGAGCAAAATTTAGGACTAAGGAAATTGAATGTTCAAAAACAGCAAAATACAAAGGAATCATTGGTAAGTACATTGTTCATAGTCTATGCAAAGTAGTTTACCAGAGGTGACTGCATCACAAAATTACCTGGGTTGAGCAAGCAAACAAATAGCAAAACTTTGCTTTGAAAGCAAGACTTTTTTTTTTACCTCGTTTTGAGTATCATGACATTCTTTACGGGCTAAGTTAGTGAGGTATAAAAAACATCATAGCTTGGACTGAAAAAGTTGTGTGGCTATTCTTTCAATGCAAAACCAATACAGATGTGGGTACAACTTAATTTATTATAACTGCTTTGCCCAACTTGTTTAGATGTAGAGGGTAGACTTGTAGTGCATTTTTAATGAACTGTTACACCTTTATTAACAATAAATTGAAAAATGTATTGAGTGAGGGGAAATTAAAATGGTAGAAAAATTCCATTGGGTTGTACTGAGCTACATGTTCAAATGAAAACTGATTTCTATTGACTCAGAGCTATTAGCACAAGAGCTGATGGCAAACCAGTAGATTTAAAATTTGGACACAGACATTGTGGTTGAGTGTCTCAGTGATTCTCGCTGTTCTTGTTGTTAAAATGAAAATCTTTGTTTGTTTTGATCTTTGTAAGACCAAGTGCCAAAGAACTTATCTTTTAATTTCACTTCTTTAATATTGGTTTTTTCATGACTTTTTTAATTAACATTTTCTGAATATGGTTCTGCGTCCTTGGTATTGCCATGGCCTTTTACGGACTGATATGCACATAAATGATGCTTTGATATGATGGTTTACAGATGGATTGAAAAGGATTTGCAAAGAAGAAGGAGTGATGTCCCTTTGGAGCGGTACAGGGCCATCCCTTGTTTTAGCTGGTAATCCAGCTATTCAATTTATGGTGTATGAGGGTATAAAGAAGTTTTTGATGACTGAAGATAACAAGGTCAGTGCACATACAACATCATCTTTGCATTTTTCCATTTCTTTTTTTTTTTTTTTTTTACAATTATGTATATCATATGTTTTTTTTTATTGGGGGTTATGGATAAAAGATAGAGACATAGTTTACAGTCCTGTTAGTAAGAAAGGAAACAAGGTGAGAGAACAAGGTGGAATGTTAAGTGAGAGATGGATCTTTCTAGTACTTGGCAGATAACAAAAAAATTTCCCTTCAGTCTCCATCAGCTACAGTGACATTTTATTATAATGTACACTTTCTGTCCCTTGCTGATGTGGAGCCTGAAATGCTAATTATTTTACCGACAAGCGACGACAATTGAAAAGGGAATCCATCTTTACAAGCAATTACTATATATTGTATATTTTGTTCCGTTGTTTCATTACGCAGTGACCATGTTGTTTTGAAACTGACTCTGTAATTGAGTTCGCCAGGGTTGTCAAAACGTCAGTCCTGCGAGAACGTCAGCAGAGACGTTTTTCAGACTCGGACGGCAACCAGAAGAAGAATAAGACTAATTGTAGCGCTTTAATGCCAAGGTATCTACCGTAAGGTCGTTTTTTTAGCACCTCAAACCAAATTGTGCTGAGCATAAAGTTGTAGTGAGCACTAGGAATGAGAACATTTGACTTCCAGCTGCCATCCGTGTCTTTAAAAACGATTTTGCCTGAGCAGTCCTTTTTACTGTTATCGAGACGATCAGACTACACGATCACTAAATCGTCTTCAGTTTAATTTTTTGTTATTGTACACAGTCTATTGCATCTTTGGTAAAGTATTAGGCTATCAACTATAGTCTTTTTTATTTTTGGAGGTTGAATTACTACCATGTGATATTGATCGTGTGGCTCTGCTCCTGAACAGTGTTAGGCAAGCCATTTATTACATTCACACCTTGAATCTGACGAAAATCCTATGACCTGTAAGACCATTGTAAATTAAGCGGGGTGGGTGTGACAGATTCATGTAAACACAGTGAAAATTTTAAAGCATTTTACTGAACTTCGATGGATAATGTACATGCTCAGAAAAAAATCATCAGAACCGTAATGACATAGTTGGGAAGATGTGTGAGGTGAAACAACAGATTTGTAAACAAAAATTGCTTTTTCCGCGATAAGTAAACATCACTTAAACTTTTTGTCTCTAGTTAGTAAAGATCTGCTGTGCGGTTGTTCTAAGACTCATGTTTTACTTTCAGACTCTTAAAAAGAGACAATATTTTGCTGTAGGCGCAATTGCTAAAGCTGTGGCTACTATCCTTACCTATCCACTCCAAGTGGCTCAGTGCAAGCAGCGAGTAAGTGTTACAATGTATGTAGTGTGGTGTCTGTGAGCAGTTTCAAGGGGAGCTGCTCAGGTAGCCCACACACGATGAACAGAAGCAAAGCAGGGTCCATCGGCTTGCGTCGTTGTGGAAGCCGGGAGACCAGTAGCAATATTCTGTGAACTTCGTAGTGGGCCTTGCCTACCATTAAGTCTCTATGGCTGAAGGGAGAGTATCGGGGCACGGAATCCGAAGGTCTGAAGTTCGGTTCCTCGTGTGGACTAAGAATTTTTTGTTTGTCCCACGCTCATGACATGACGAAAAACATCGTTCTCTATTTCTTTACTAAGCTTAAAACTTACCATCTTTCTTAATCTATATACAAAATATGACGCTATCGACATTGCTGATCCTAGCAGTATACAGGACGCGTGTCATATGAGAACTTCTTAATAAGCTTTGCCCACCATATAGAGTCTCTGTTTCTGAGAGGTCCGAGGTTCGATTCCTCATAGGAGCTCAGAATTTTTTCTTTGTCCCACGCACGTGACAAGACAGAAAACATCTTTCCCCAATATTATACGCACTATTCCTTGAAAAATTACGGGACAGGCTTAATATTTTGTGTGCCATTTTTCTTGTTATTATGTATGCTATCTGAAGATACTTTTATTTTTAGTCTGGAATCAAGACGCCAAGTGGAAAGGCAGACATCCTGTCTCTTTTGGCAAGACTTGTGAGGTATGACACTTTGTTTTGACTTCATTTGTTCCAGTTGTGGTGGGTTTTACACAGCAGTGCTTGTTTGTGATTACAACGTTGAGTAACAACTAGTTGTGAAGTGTGACTTTGTTTGTTTTGCAGGGAGCAAGGCTTTAAAGGACTTTATAAAGGACTAGAGGCTAAGTTGCTCCAAACTGTTGCAACTGCAGCTTTGATGTTTGTTGCTTATGAAAAAATAGCTGCGTTTATTTTTAGTTTACTTCGCAGGACCTCAAGATGAACAATGAGAACATGAATTTGAAACAATGGTCACTGGCTCCATAGTGAGTTGAGTGAGGCCTTCTCCACACGATACTTTTTAAAATCGGTTCCTTTTTTCTCGTTTGGATTCTTCCGCTCACATTCACATGGCGTTTTCGGGCATCTTAAACGAAGGATTTTAAATCCGGTTCCCGAAGAGGAACTTTTTGGACGAACAAAAGCGGAGGATTTCGGATAAGATGGTGTCATCATTGATCTAGTCTACTTTAACCTGATTCACGTTTCCGAAGTGAAATCAATATGGCGGGTAGACAACGTATGTCATTATTACTATAGCTAAATTCAAGTTCAGTAGCTTGATCTCCAATTCGTCATCTGTCCAAATGTTTTGTTTTGAAAACGGAGGAAAAATTCCGTTTTCCAATATATCCAGATACGTCTTTAAGGGGCCTGAATGTCGTCAAGCTGAGACTGATTTGCGCCAAATATTATCCACAGACTGTACGGTGGCTATGGGCTGGGTCCTGATGTTTTCATCCGGCTTATAAAGTTTGCCTCAAAGAGAGGGCTTACACTTAATAAGCTTCTTTTGCCAGCATCGTTTTTCATTTTTTTCAAGCTGGGATTCAGTTTTTTAGCCCGGCTTGGTTTAAGTCCTTGTCTGTAGATTAAACGTCGTAAATTCCTAGTTCTGGGGTCTTTTATTAAGTCTTTTTCAAAGGGGCTGGCTGGGTGTAAACAACATGGAGCCCAAATCGAAGGGAAAGCATTTTCTTTTTAACGGTATTGCTGAAAACACTCGAGTGAAGGATAATAATATTAAAGCCACTTCCGGGGCTATGGAAAGTGCTTGAAGCGATTGGTTCGATCGCGAATGAAATGCTCAACTCTGCACGTCTCTTGAGGGAAATGAACAAGAGCGATTGCTCATACAAAAATATTTTTTTCTAAAAGATTATGTCGAAAATCAACGTTATTTGCTAGCGAGAGTGTGGATATTTGTGAAGTGTATCGTGCTCAGTGTGAATGTGCTGGAAGGAAAAATTAATGCAGAGAATCTGGTGTTGTAAAACGTGACCATAAGAGTCGATTCGACTGCGGGAAAGTTGTTCGTGGCAAGTTTGGGTTTGAGATGTACTTGCCTAAAGGAGAGGAAAACATTTGGAGCACAATGTGCGTGAAGGCTTTTGTGGGAAGCGTGTAGAATACATTTAGAACCCACCGTGTTATGTTTTACTATGTTTTTTTGTGAAAGCTTGTGAAAGGGAGTGGCTTCCGAGTGTTTTCATTGTCGAGAATCATTTAACCCTTTAACTCCCAGTTCAAATTTGTCATTCTCCTTACTGTCAACTATACAATTCTAATAATGTTAGTTCAGAGAATTTTGTATTGGGTCAATTTATTATCCCCAACTTGATATTTTTCTTTATTCTCATCACTCATCTGGTTGATATTGTATCGATATCGTAAGGAGAAAATTCTCTCTTGGTCACTCATGGGAGTTAAAGGGTCAAATATTTTTGGAGTTGATGGGGATGACAATTCAAAAGAGATCAAGGCTTAAATGAAGTGCCAACTATTGCAATTCTTATTCTAAATATTCCTTTTAATAAATGACTTTTTGGTTGTTTATGGCACAACTTGATGTTTACCACTATCCCGTTGTCAGAGGAGAATCTAATGGTACCCGAACATGACCGTTACAAAAGCTTGAATGGCGTATGGGTTCCCAAAAGGATGATGAAGTAACGCATGTCGTGACTCCGTCCCCAACAGGAACGAACGTCATTGCGTTTCCTGAGTTAAGCTTCTTTGTCTGACATGACCTATGGAATTTGACGTTGTGTTCCCGATGTCAACTTGTTTTCCGGTGTACGTGCATGCGAACATACGTAAGCATCAACGGGGCACACTCTTTCCGATTGCACAATTTTTTTTTTGTTAAAAACATGTTCCTGTTTCTTACATAAATGCAATATGGTGTCTTTTTGAAGTGAATAGCTATTTTCCATATTGGTTTAACTTGACAACTTCCGTCTGTTACGTGGAATGTTTATAACAGAGGAAATCGATTCAATCAAGTGCAGTAAGACACTCAAGCCCTCCCTGAATCCCTGAAAGCGGCATCGCCGTGGGATGTGAGGTTACACATCAAATTACAAACGTACAAAGTCCAAGTGTGTTCAAATTTAATTCATGTACACCGTGAGGTATAGTTGTTAAACAGCACGTGAACAAAAGGTCAGGATTGTGTGATGAGGGACGGGGCATTCCACCGGAAACTTTGTCATCCGTGACAGATGAAAAAGTCACGTGGTCCCAATCCTGTCGAGTGTTGCCATTGTTAAAGTTTGTAAACAGAGCGTAATATGCACTTTCAAATTGATTGCAACACTGGTAACATCCCGGTGATAACATTGAAAAGTCGAATCACGGCATCACGATGAACGAGTGGATGATATCTGGATATAAGGTTCGTTTTAAATCCCACGAAGGCGATGTTTATGGTCGTTTGTACGACATACTAACTTGGCTTGTACAAGTACATTTAGATGCTTTGTGTCTGTTTGGCTCGATCTTGTTAACCCTTCAAGTTACATGGAAGAAATTTTTTTGTACTACGCAACAAGAAGTGATTAACAGAGATGAATTTCTGCCTGCTCACGACTTTGAAAATCGCTCGTTCACCGTTAGCGAGTTACAGCAATACGACGGTATCCAAGATCAGAGGATATATTTTGCGGTTAACGGCAAAGTGTTTGATGCCACATACACAAAGGACATTCAGTATTTTATGGATGGACCGTTCACTCATCTTGCTGGTCGAGATGCCAGCCGGGCTTTAGCAACCTTTTCTCTCAATGAAAAGTTAACGAACAAATCCGAAATTGACGACTTGTCAGATCTCAATCCACTTCAAATGGACAGCCTCTTTCACTGGGAAATGCAGTGTGTAGAGAGATATCCCTGTGTGGGAAGACTTGTCAGAAGTCATCAGCCACGTGCTCTTCAAAATGCTTGCATAAGAACAATACGCGGTTGTATGGGTGAACTGGGAGGTACTGCGAGAAATAAGGCAGTTGATGAACTTCCATTACCGAGACCTATCAAAAATCAAATTATATCTATGAGATAATAATTTTGGGACTGTATTACTGCCGGTATTTAAGGCAGTCTATACTCAACCGGTCAGGCTGGCCAATCAGATTTTTAAAACAAAACTTAAGCCGGCGGCAATTTTCTGGAAATTTTGCGGCGGACTTTTCGCCGTAATGAAACAGCAGAATAGTAAAATTCTTGCCTTCACAGGGATGTGAACCTTTTGTATCAAAAGAAATCGAAAGGCTATAAGGTTTTTGTTTTGCCTCACCACACTCTTGCGTGGCCTATCAGGTGGAACACTGCCATCTTGTTTTGGTAGTGAAGGGGCTGTGCCATTTGTAATCAATGTTTACACGGGATAATAGTGGCATTAATCCAAGACTGGATGAATGCAATTTGTAAAAACACAAATTACGTGTAGAAAGGCAGAGAATAGAGACTGATTCAGTTCGTTCAAATATTCGAAACAGTTAGCAGCTGCACACCAGGCTTAATAGTGTATAAAGTATTTTTAGATCTTAAATTTCAATAACAATAAAAACAATAAAGAAAGATTAAAGAGGAACGTTGTCGTAAATTCCAGTAGAAGGGTTAAACAAAGGGCACTCAGCAGCGGAAAAAACCCTAAAAATAACGCAGTACTTTTTAGCAATAAGAACCAAACTATAAATTGCTACTTTGAAGTTTTCCGATGAGACCAACATTTAATAATAAAAAGCCAAATGTCCTTATTGTTCAGTGAAAAGGCATTTCTATCCACAAAGCGTTCGACCCCTTTCTTGCGGTCAGTTGCGTAAGAAGGAAACCGCAATCCACAATGGCTAATTTCGAACTTCAAAAGCTCATATTTTGTTAAGCGACCGGAAAGAAACCCTTGAATAAACAAAGGAAGCAAAAACTTGTTGGCTAGTTCAAATCGAAGGGAAAACCTGTCGTTTAGTCCGAGTGAGTTGCTGTCGAAAACATCCCCACTAGGGATGTGGCAAATTGTGAATTTTAACCTCAATCGAACAAGATCCCCATATACATTGCCAGGATTACGATGGATCCAATGAAGCTGGCCTTTAAAACAACAGACACAAACATCGCGATGTGGTTAGTACTTTCGAAAGGAGGCAATTGTCATTTGATGTCGTAGTTGAATAACCGGAAAGAGAAAGCGGCGAACAGAACGCTAGGGTAGATGGGAAGGAAGACAGACGAATGAAGTGATGAAGATAAACTCAAACTCGGTCCTCTATCCCTCTCTTAACTGAATTCAAAGCCTTGCTTCACGTGGTAGATAACTGATCGAAGGGACCACTGCCACTCACATACGTCATAATAATTCAAATGTTCTCAGACAACAAGCTTAAAGGGCTCTTAAGCCGCTGTTAGCTTTAATTATGGATATGTGGTGTGATGATGAATTCAACAGAAGACAAGGCGACACAATTTGAGGGAACTTTCAATTTAGACACAAAAGAAGTAATTATGTGTAGCAGTCACGTAAACCACTTTAAAAGACGCGTCGTAGAGGGAGTATTATTCCTATTGCATCATATCTTCACATTTATTCCTTAGTTAAATTTATTAAGATCTCGGTATTTGGGTTCGACGAAGAAGAACACATGCTGTCGTATCGTTCTCGGAATCAATCCCGAAGGAGTCCACGAGGTTGTCCTGCTGGCATCTACTTCGATGCTGTTAAGTTTCAGTATGTCACTATCCTAGACTGGCTGACGTACTACAGATGGCTTCCATCTCCTCTTATGCCTGTTGGACAGGACAAGGGGAGGGAACCTGGTATCGCCAGTGATTTTGATGCCCAATCTTCCCCTCCAGCGTCTCGTGAAGAAACTTGACGAAAAATCTCACTTCATTAAGAGTTAATAACAGTATACTACTAAATTTCAACAAATATTTCTCATTTGTGAGTAATTACCAACAGCTACTGTCACATTTTGTCACATTTTCTGCATAGATAGTTTCTGTCTTTCGGCTCATCTCGTGTCTGATGTAATTAACAAACGGACCGAACGTCCTTGCATGCATACTTTCGAGTCACAGGCTGACCGAGTGATAATTGAAACAGAAGGGTTGGATGGCTAATGGTTATACGCAACTATTTTAAAAACCCTGAACGATGAGGAAAAAAAAATCGAATGCACCTCACGAATCTTTCATTTATGCAAGTTCCCGATGATGGTAAATAACTGTTTGATTGCCAGGCTGTAAAAACATCCCGTTGAGGTAATGTAATTTACTTTGGAAAGGTAAAATTGACATTGTACAAATTTGGCAAAAAACTACCTTTCACGGTTCTTACTTTTCGAAACGGGATGGCGCATTATTTCACTTAAAGTGTTTAGATGTCTTTAAGAGCATGTTCTGTCTCCTTTCAGCGTGTTAGAAGAGTTTTATTCACCCGTAACTTGGCGATATGTTCACTTTTGATGGATCGAAGTCAGTTCCCGCAAACGGCGACCCTTTGGCATTCCAAGCTTTCTTGAGAAGATCGTGGGTTTTCTGTATAAATAAAAAGGAAAGAACTCATTGATGTATCCTCAGCTACGGCCTCAAGGCTTGTTTAAATGACCAATCATAATTACAGGGAAATGAAAGACACAGGAACCACCGTGCAGCAAATTTTGCACATTTTTTCCCATGACTAAAAAAAATACTATCCTGTATTGGGACGATTAATTCTAAGATTTAAAAATAATCGTAGTAAAGTAGTAATTAACTTCGTGTCATGTAGTTTTGATCTGAAATCACAGGTTTGATTTCAAATCGAACTCGCGGTGCACTCGTTCCATTTTGAAATATTGCCTACGATTTCAGACACTTCACCCAGATCAATTACCATCATAAACAACATACATAGTCACACACATACACCTAACTGCGGTTAGGTAATCATAAGCATGTGGCACGAGGATACCGCATTAGCAGATTTATATGTATATTTGGAATCGCTGGAAATTTTTTCAAAAAATATGTGATACTCTCTAGAAGTTTGAAATAATTATTTAGTGGAAATTTTGCTCGGCTGTCGGGCATATGGCCAGAGGGTAATATATAGATTTAGCCAAGCCTAAAAGCGGAGCTCGCTTTTTTTCCCCGCACGTCTCAAGGGCACAACGCCTTGACCCGGCCAGGACTAGAACCCGGGTCGTCCGACTCGGAGCCCAGTGCAATGACCACTGGACTACTGGACAAAGCCGTGGCGTTGGCGTGCCCGCGGTACAGTTGACCACGCATGTTAAAAGTAGCACCTTGTACGGTCGGTCGTACGGTCGTACGGTCGTAAGTCCAAATTTTTTCAGCTCGATGGGTTACTATTAGTACTACCATTTTGTATAATTATGGGACTACGCTCTGCGAGCTCCGCCATTATTCAATGCTAATTAATTCCTAGATCGCTTTTCCCTTTTTCGTTTTTGCTTTTTCTTTTTTCTATGATAACATTATTGCAATTAGGCGTACAGACATAAAAATGAATGGACGAATATTTAATTTAGTTGAAAATTTACTAATTACCTAAAGTATATCAAATGAATGCGAGTGCAATGCAAGTGAATGTGGGTGAAAGCAACATGAAAACCTTTCAAGGTTCGAGGGGATGAATGATACGCTAACAGCCTGCAGTGCAGCCGTGTCTTTGGCAAAGAGACGCCAACCTCTTCGCGATATGAGAGGCCACCAGCTCAGATATTCTTAACAATATATGGCAGGCGAAAGAAGGCAATTTTTATCAAGGAGCGATTGACCGGCAAAAGGAAGAGGGGGGTGGGCGTGGAGGGAAGGGGGGGTAGGAAGAAAACTTAACCTGCCCTTATTGTCAGCTCTCTTTGTTCAACCTCTTTTCAATCACTTTAATCACGAATAAATTGGCGACTCGGCAAAGTATCTCTACTTCATGAAGCAAACCTAACGCTATTAAAATACGTAAGATGACTGCGTAACAGGTTCAATTATTCCTTTGATTTAGAGATTTTCGAATTAGTATCATTATTTTCCCTATTTCACACCAATATAAAGTGAGCCAGATTAACACAAATTTAATTGACTTGAAATTAAAAAAATGATTCAACCAAAGGAAAATTTGAATTCATACTGTACATACCATTTCCTGACTAGTTGGTTTGCCCTGAAGTTTTTGATGATGGTCATACATAACGTGCTGAAAATCACTCTGAGTTTGTTCATCAAATTCACTTATGTCTCGTGTTGTGTCAACCTTAGTCTTGTCAATTTCGGTATCTCCTTCCAAAACAGTTGTCCAAAACCTCTCCTCTACTTTGTCCAGGCTGACAATGATCTGTTTCCCAGCCTCCAACAACCACATAGAATCTTCGCATTTTATCGGCCACTGAAGTTTTCCATCAACAAGAATAATGCTGTCTGTTGGAAATGACCAATGAATCAAGGTCATGCCGTCAGGTTATCCCGAAACTATCTCAGATTTAAAATGGGTGTACGCTTGTTCTTTGTCAATTTGAGGATATGTTTGACAAATAAGACAAAAGAATCATTTTCATATAAAAAGCAGAAACTAGAAAAGATGCAACCAAATCTAGCTTTCTGCTTCTATTGATACGTATATCCACTTTATCAAAATACCACTGCACTCTTTTAAAATGATCTGAAGGAAAAAACAATTTATTTGATCACTGTGGAGAGCGTTTAAGGGCTTTTCCTCAAAATCTTTGGGCCTTTCACCAAGTGGCATTGAATAATTTCCCCTACAACATACATTTACCTGAATCTGGTGGGATTCCATTCTTTAACCAAACTTTCAAATGGGAGCTCTTAATTTCCACACCAACATCCCGACCTTTTGTTACTGAACATGGCACAGGGATTTTTATTTCAATATCAGTTATAGTTTGTGACCATGCATACTTCTCAAGAACAGCTCCATTGTAACAATCAGCAGTCTTACCAGGAACCAGACCCTTGCTCTCACTGCTTGTTACGTCTTCACTTACTTGAGCGAGGCTGAAAAAATTAAAATTAGTTTAGTCTCTAATGCGTTAGCTGATTCTCCTCATGGTTAGAGAGACAATCATACTGCAAGAATCATCACCTAGCATGCAGGTTTGCATAAAACATACAAACAAACATATGAACCAAAAAACAAACAAACAAAATATATTTCATTTTACCACAGCACTTCCAGAAGCAAAAGAGCACAGTAACAGTTTAGGAAGGGAAGACATACAAAAATACCACCCACCCGTTGCTCACGACTATATAATCACATTCCCAGACTCATGATTTCCAGCTCTGGCTTAGCTGAATTTTGCCTGAAATTTGCCTTGATGACCAGTACAGCAAACAAAACAGCACAGAAAAAAAGGTTTCTGTGTAGAATTGAGGACGAGTGTGTATGTGTACTTAAGACATGTCCTACCAAACTTTGTTCATGTAAAGCTTTACAAGGCAACAAACAATTAGCAAGAAGCAAAAAAAAGATGAAAAACAATAAGTAAATCAAGAAACACAATAATTGATACACCTTGTTGGCTTGGAACTTGATGTTGAAGCAGCACTTAATGTCTTTTCAGTAGTACATGCAGGAAGTTGGGCGTGGCCCTTGTCACTGGTGGGTGATGTTTCTACCTCACATGAAGTGATTGCTGGAGATATATCTGTATCAGATGAGGCCATAGGAGCAGATAGACTTGTCTACAGAGATAGAAAATTAATATTCAGCTTTAACAGCTCCTCTATTTGGATGTTCTATCCTCCTTGGAAAAAAATTGTCATTTTTCTCTCTTTAACAAAACATTGGCATCCAAAGCATGCAAGAGTTTTTTTTTTTTTTTTAGCTGGGTGAGTTGAGATTGGACACTTTGTGTTCCTAATGTTTTTATAACTTTTAAAAGAACGAAAATATTGCATTATTTCACTCCAAGAGAAAGAGGAAAAACATAGTTTATCTAAATTCACACTGATATTTTGTGGTCTATTGTCTAAATACTTTGGGGCAAAAATAAAATGCATTGGTACCCCGCTTGCTGTAGTCTCCTTTGCAGCTGCTGTTTGGTCTTGTCTATCCCCCATTGGAGAGAGAGCCATTGCATGATGCAACCAAATAACAGTTGCAAAAGAGACTACACTTACAGCTGTTCTTCTAAAAGAAAATCAAAATTAATGTGATGGAGCGAAGTCTGATGTGGCAAAATGGAATTTGATTGGTAGAATTTAATTCAAGCATGTAAAAAATTTGCGAATGTTCATGTGGTGCAATGATTGGGTATATTCTGATTGGACTTTGGACGTTGTTTTCATAGCACGTGATGGAATGTAAGTTGTCTGCATGTGTGTTGTGGGAAAAGGAGTGGAAAAACACATCTCAAATTTAAAATGGTACAATAACAATAAATGTGAACCTTTTGAATCCCCAAAAAAATCTCACCTTCACTCAACGAGGCTCTTACAGAGGCCAAAATAATAACACTTATCAAATGAGCTCAAATTTCTGGTTAATGTCATTCTTTGTGCACAGCCCTCTGATTCCATGACATCATTTACAAGAAAAAATACCCAACACTGTGATTGGTCCATGATATCCAAATGCCACAATATGATTGATGTGAGACACATACCCTAATGTGGCAATCTGATTGGTGTGATATACATATCTTAATGTGGCAATCTGATTATTTATGTAAAAAAATAACTCAAAAAGGGTTTTCAGTTTGCAATATTGACACTCCCTCTTCCATTTCTCCTTTTATCTATTCCTGCAAATCCTCACTCAGACAGTATTTTTCAAAATAAGTGGTAATCCTTGCATCTTCTGTGCCAAAATTGATTTTTTTCTCTTAGACTTCTACAATTCCATCAACCCTTTAGCCCCAGAGAGTTACAAACATCCTCATAATATCACCCCAAATCAAACCTGAAGGTCACAAGAATAAAATACTTGTCGTAAAACAGGAAGAAATTTATCTTTTCTAAAGAAAGTAAATTGAGTGAAGGATTGTTATCACTTTGACCGTGCTTTCAAGTGGTTGCCTAGCATGTGATTGATTTCTTTCTGGTTGGCTCATGTTTCACTTCTCCATAACATACAACTGAAGTTGAACACAGAGTAGTTCCTTTGGTCACAGAAAACTAGCCAAAAACTTACAATAGCACTGAATTGCTTTTGACATCTTGAATCTTTTCCAAGTGATGAGAAAAATCCATCTAACTGTGGAAGCTACCAGCTTTCCCACATTGAAATAAAAATTTCCTCTGTTATTGAAAGCATGACTCTGTTTGCCTAATTGACAGAAAACTTGCAAAGAAAGATCTTAATAAGTTGAGGAGTTTGTTAGCAAACCCATCAGTATGAAATTATCAAACATTATATTCTAACACTATGACATTTTTGTTGGTTATACTTTGAGTAGAATTTGTATACCCCTGACACAAAAAACAATTTGAAAACTTGTGAACACTTTTTCCCACTTTACATAAACAGAAATCACACCTTCTGTCATCATTTATGACACTTTCTGTTGAAAGGCAAGCTATTCTGAAAATTTAATATGTACAAGATTATGGATTTGCTTTAGAAAGCTAATTTACCTGTTGATTAATTCACCAAATCAAGACTATCATGGAGAGAAATAATGTCCTAATTGGCACTTGAAGCATGTCAGTTTCTGCTCTAAAATGCAGGAAAATGCATCTCTGTCACTTGAGAATTTCAAATTTGTCAGGGGGAGCATGCCCACAGACCCCCCTAAGAGGCAAGGCCCAAAGGGCCTTGCATTAAGTATGCTAGGTGGCAAATCCACATACCTTCCTGCTCCAAACCTAAATGAAACTCCTGCAGTCATTGATTTCTCAGTTCATGGGTTTATTACAAACAAAAATAATGACCAGCTCCCAGTTGGCTTCTTATTTTCACGGCTGCTTATGTAGTATTCATTACTGTGAAGATTATTTCTATAATAATTTCTTGATCTGCAGTTCATAGGCTGGTAAATGATTTCCATATATTCACAGTCATTAATATGTATACTGTTGCATTAGGATGTAAAGGATTATGGATGCTATTACTTTGAGTAAGGTATTGAGCTCTATAAACAATGACATTTTGTCAATAATTGTACCAGAAAGTTGAACACCAATTTGTATTTTAAACGCACTTAAAATTACAGCACTCAGATGCCTCTATAAACATTTTACTCTCCCAAAAGCCTCCTTTGGACTGTGGTATATTACATTTAACAGTAGCTAAGACAACACCCTTTGTGTGACCCAGGACTGCAAGTGACAAATAAGCAGCAACTCACATTTTCATTTGCAGCTGAAGCTCTATCAGTTGCTCTCTCTATGTCAGCACATTTTTGCTTCCCTTTTCCTGATATCTTTCCATGTGCTTGTTTTTTAGCTCCTGTTTGATTTCCAGTGACAATCTGTTGATGAGTCTTGAAGATCTGTATAAGAAACAGAAACTCTTAACTAATTCATGTTAAATAAAATCTATTATCATCACACACTACATCAGTTAACTCATGACGGCAAGGAAAAAACCTACAATTAAAGGTTAACTGATAATTTTTAAAGGAAATTGCTTATTTACTGGGCATGAAAAACATAACATTTCTTGTAGAACAAAAACCCAGAGAAATTATTTTCCACAAAAGTAGGAGGCAGGCATACATTTGTCCTTGGCTATACTCCTGTATCTTAAATTGTTACTTCTCTATAAAATGAATTTACATGCCACAAAATAATTTTATTAACATCTGTTTCCCATTATTCTCAAAATGGAAACAGTCAGGTTCTAAAGCTATTACACACATCATAAACAGGTTGTGAGATCTCTCCCTACCTAGTTACCTTTTTAGGTTTTTTTTTTTTAATATCTCCTGACATTCAAGGCCTCTAAAAAGCATCTATGTTGAAGTACCTTAGAACAGTTCTGGATGAGTCACAAGCATAGAATGTGCATGTGATCAGACAACAGAGATGAAGAGCTGAAAACTTTTGTGACAGACTTTTTGGAGCTAGGTCACTGATAACCAAATCACATTGGTGAGGGAATGTGACTTGTCTGTTAAGCAATCGTTGCCTTAATTTGGGACATCATTTGCGGAACAACAAGGCATAGCAATCACCTACTTTATACTTACTCATATACATACATATATTGTGAGTGTAACCCACAATAATTTTCCCAGGGTTAAAGTCTATGGATACATAAAAAGATTGGATTAAGAACCCATGACTTTCAACCTTATAAGTCGTAATGGTGTTTCAATGCCCATAGTGCTAAATTAAAACCAATAAATAAACTCTATTCCATGGGATGATTCCGTCCTCTTCAATGCATATTGCAGTTTTATAGACAGCTAATTTGTTCAGGTATTTAACAAAAGTACTCTGAAAACCTCAGAATAGACATTTCTGCCGTGTAAGCTGTTTTCAGCAGATTGGATACCAAAATAAAGAAGTGAATAATCTTTGGGATTGGAACACCTATACTTTAAATAAAAACATCTTAATTTCAATCCACTTATTAGCCTCACCTGAAACTATTCTAAAGATATCAATCAAGTAATACAGATAATCCTGACATTCAATAAGTTGACTATTATTTAATGATGAAAACCACAAAAACTACACATTTTTTAAGTTACTGTTAAAATACAATCATGAAGTAAAGAGGAAAGGGAGAAGGGACTTTGCAACCACGGTACATGATCTTTTCTGTACATGTAAGTCATTTGAAAGGAGTAAAGACCACTTTGAATCTTTTTGAGGCATCAAATAGAAAATTAGCTTATATCCACCAGATAGTGTGATCTACAAGTATATCTAATTCTAAAAAACAACAACAAAAACAACAACAGCAATCTACACTAAGTACATGGAAGGACCCTGTATAGACTTTCCTTTTTCATTCTGGCTATATTACCTAAATCCCAATATCAGCACTATTTAGTATACAACTCCTCACTCATTCGTCAATAAACCTGACAACATTCAAATTAACACTTTTTGATGACTTCCAACAAATCCAACTATCGCTTGCCATTGATTACTGAAATACTTAACTCAATCTATCCTTTAACATGATTGGTTCTCACCATCCTGATTTGAGGACTACTTTGATAGTGTCATGCTGACAGTGTCAGTGTCATACTTGAAACTGGACAGTGCACATCAAGTGCACATGCTGTTGTTGCACATTTCAATGAGTTAACTAATGATATTCAAGAAAACGTAGAATGATGGCAACTTTGCTTCTCAGGCCTTCCTCTCATCCAATTCTGTCTGTAATTGTACTGATCATTTAAAGTATCACTTGTATGATTACAGCCGGAATTCGACTTCATTCGGTCGTATTACTATTATTTATTCAACTAAATTTATCCATTTAATATCAGATGTGATAGCAGGCAATTTCAAAACCTGTCAAGAGGTAAAAACTAACACCGATCAAGTACAAAATGATTTCGAATGCAATTCAATCTAGTTTGAATGTATTTTCACCTCAATTCCATTTTCACCCAAAACATATTCACGCAGGCTTCATACACAATATCACTTGCTTATGCAGGATGTACCCTGTATTAACTTTCAGAAATCGCGAAAAAATGTCATATATTAACATATTTTGCGCATACATGGAAGTTCATTATTCTTTAAAATCTTCGTTCTATGGAATATTTGCTGAAGATTCAACCATGTAGCGGTTAGATGAAACGTCCATACCTTTAGAACCATCTTTTCCGCTACACCTGGAGCGAATCCCACTTTGTCATCTCTATTGTGCATCACTAGAAAGAAGTCAGTCCTGCGCGCTAAAAAGCTGAAGATTGCATCTAAAAACGGTTCCACTTGTTCACAGTGCTGGAGGATTCCCATCAAGAGATCGTCAAACTTAGTAAAATCCATATTTTAACCTCACTTTCTCCCTTTGTCTGCTCGTAGTAGTATCTTCATTCCCAGTGCTCTGTCAAGCAATTAAGATGAACGAGGTTGGGAAACTGGAACGAAAACGTGAACCCAATTGCGCGAGGACGTCATAGGCGTAAACAGTTGGCTCTTTCTACACAGGGGAGTTCACAGAACTACCGGTAAGTGCACAGGCGGCCCAAGCTCCAGCTGTGAGATGATCATTTTGCACAATAACAGTCATGGCGGAATTACAAGAGTTTGTATGAGAATATTTACGACCGCTCTAAGGAATAAAACAATACGTCAAATTCTCAATAAAAATACCTCACCTTACTTCCACACCGTATCACTTGTTATCTGACCGCTTTCTTTGATGAAAAGAACCCATTTTAGCGAGTTGTCCTTTTCGAGGTTTTCAATGTTCATAAGAAAAGCCCTTTTCTTATGTACGTTGGTTAGTGCAGAAAATAATATTTCCTTTCATTTCTTCTTACGAGATGGGAAGATTGGAAGAGTATGATTATGTCCCTTCACTTTTGATGTTAAGTAAAATAATATAATAATTGTCACAAGGTCTGCAATATTGAGACAAAACGTAAGGTTTCGAAGGTGTCTCACAGTCTTCATCAGTAAAGTGAGCCTGCGTTGTGCAAGTGGACTTCCAAAACAAAGCACCTTCCACTTGCAAATATTATACATAAGGGAATTTCTGAAACTAAAAACATTGAAGTACGTAAAACTGGAAAACGTAGCATTCGGAAGTAAAAGATTCTATCCTAAACATCTGAGGAGCTTCCTTCCCTCCCACGCAGGGAGCGGCGAAAGCACAAAAGAAGTGTAGGGAGAAACACTCGACTTCGTCTCGAGTTCCTCCCCACTTTTTGGGTGCTCTAGCCGCTTCCTAAGCACTTTACAACGGAAGAGAGCACAGTCAAGGCTTCTCTATTTGTTTTATAATAGAGAATCCGTTAAATTCCCCAGGCATTACTTTCAATTTTCAAAACAAACTTTAATTCCGAAGCAAACAACACCGTCGTCCGCATGCTCTATTAATTAAATATTCAGAGAATGCGCGCGCCGTGATTGGTCAGCACGTACTTCACACGAGTGCACTGTTGAGATATAATGCACGCAGCCTACGTCATCGGTACGAGCGCGCGCAATTCACGATACATTTTAAAGAGAAAAAAAAAACTTGTTCCTCTAGCATTGTTGAGTTCTATAAGCCCTCGGGAATTTTTAAGAACACTCGAGAAGTGCGAGTGCTTCTCCGCACTTCTCGAGTGTTCTTAAAAATTTCCGCGTACTTATATCACACAACAATGCATTCGACGCGTTTTTTTATGCCTTTATTACTCTCCTCAAAGTTTTCTCTATGAGACTTTTCGTCGCTGCTCACGTTATGATAACGTAAATTACGGCGCCTGGAGTGTTTATAAACTTTTGTTGGGTTCTTCAGTTGCTATTTGCCGACTCACCTGTTTCGAAATTTAACATTCAATTAAAGAAAAACAACCACAGAAAAGTCCCGCAAAGGGTCGGACAAAGTACAATTTGGCAGATGGCGTGACAGCTTCAGCTTAGCTGTTTGCTCTGTACTCTCATAGAGTACGCTCTTTCAACCAATGACAGCGCACGTTATATCCGAACTTTATTGTAAACTCTCATAGAGTGCGTTTTTAAACCAATGACAGCTCGCGTTATATCCTAACTTTATAATAATTTTATCGAGTTGCTTTTTTTATCTTCTATGAAAATAATCCTTCATTTTATATATCGAGATCGTTTAACGTGGCCTCTGAGACATGGGCACGTAAAAGCAACCAGACGAGAATATTAGAAAATATATATTTATGTTATTTACCGGCTAAGGGTCAGTCCGTGTGGTGAAATACTGTGACCAAGGTATTGAAACTGCTGCCCAAAGCCGTAGGCCTCGGGCAGCATCTTCAAAACCTCCGTCACAGTTTTTCACCATGCGGACCGACCCTTAGCCGGTAAATGGCATTTTTTTTTTTAACTTAACGAAATTATTTCCGAAAGAGCCCGAATGACCTAGGACTGTAGGTGGTAATTACGGCAAGATCTTCCTCAGACTGAACAATTTTTGAGCGAGAAAATGGTAGTTAAAATAGAGGTGATGCAAATTAAAGAGAGATGCTTCACCGAAACAGTTTCATTTGCGTAATGATAAAGGTGATTTAGGGCCTGTTTACATGGAGGGACCCCAATAAAAAGGCTTCTAAACAAACTTTGAAACATTATTTTTACAAGTATCTGTCACAATCTGGCACCTGTCAATTAGAGAGCGCGTAAGAAAAAAAGAAAGCGCATGTACACTTTTGAAAAACAACGAAACTAGTCTGGCAAGGAATGTCATGAAAATGTTTTCTTCAAGAACAGTCAATGATCTAACGGAAAGAATTATTCACTCTCATCAACCATTAATACCAGTACGAAGATTTACCTCTGTTTATTAAGTAAACGGCGAGGAAAGTAATCGTAAGTAAATTAAAATTTCTCATATTGAAATTGCGAAAGTTTGCTCGTTTGTTTGCTGCAATGGCGTGTGTAAATCTTTAAGTCTTTCCTCCACAAAAACTAAATTCGAATGATACACTCTTACGAGACACAAGGGGATTTAATGCGGCTTTCTTCCATTGAATTCTTTCAGTTTCTGTTGTGCAATTTACGGTACAAATGTCCAAATTGAACGGAATTAGGGCCTGTTTACATGGAGGTGGGGGACCCCAGGTAGATGAGGTAACCCGCCTGTTCATATAATTTCTTATTTTATTTTGATCACGTTTATATGATAGGTGGGGTGACCCGCCTAGGCGGGTTGCCCGGTCTGCCAGGTAGGGTAACCCTATCAGCCGGGGTGACAATTTGCCATGTAAACGTCTCAAGGTGGGGTAACCCGCCTGGCCGGGGCCACGTTCATGGCAAAAAGCTCAAAAGCGAAACATGTGTGTTTTAAAACTTTGTACATTTCTTAGCCGTCTTATGGCAGAAATCACCCGAAACCGCAACGGACATACAAGGAGTGTAAAATATTCACATTTCGGAATATTTAGCGTTGTAAATCGACCATATTTCGTTTCCCAAACTATTCCGTATAACATATTAAGTCAACGGTTCCTCGCGTAGCCTGACACCGCATAACACAACGGGTGACGCTTTCATGAATAAATTCATGTGTCCGAGAATTAATCTTTCGTCTTTCTCGAGATGTGAGCTTGAGACGCCTCTGCTCAAACTCCTTAATTGCGAGCGCAACAACAACCTCAAGAAACCTCACCCCAGCGCCCTGGAGTTGTAAGATTGCATGTAAACGCGTTTTATTTTTCGACCACGACTAGGCGGGTTACCTCACCTACCAGGAGTCCCCCACCTCCATGTAAACAGGCCCTTAGAAAGACCGTGACTCACCGAGAGCGTATATTTGTCGTATAACTGAAATTAAAACTTCGCTCGCTCTTTCACTAAGAAACAAATTGTTTGAGAAAATTCAGATATTAAATGAATGAAAGTTCCATCGATTAGTTCAACCAAATACCTTCCGTTTTAACTTTCTAGGTACTTTTTGTGAACGATTAAAATTAATTGCAGACGGTTTTCAGGCCGCTTGTCAACCAACGTAATGCACTATCGCTTATACAAATTCATTCTGAAACCAATATTTTTCTGTCAACCAAAGTGATTTGAGAGAGAGAAAAGAGAGGATCAATAGGTTATTTATCGGCTTGACTGACGTCTTTGCTTTAAAATACTGCCCAGCCGGAAAAACGAGCACAAAGCACAAATTTAAGGAGGACGAATCTAGGCAGTTTCATTCTTTACTTATCTCAGAATCATATTTCTTGGTACCAGCGAGAGCTTATAAGTATTTACCGCCTTTTACTGGATGCTGAAAATCAGTCCTCCTCCTTGTTACTAGAGTTGAGGCATATTCCGTCAAAAGGCTGCCCCGATATTCCGAGAACTACGGCACAATTTGAGTTATCGATTAACTTAAGTCTTATGCGTCAGATGTAGAGGCGTTTCCGTTATTTTCAGCTTTTTCCCACTCCTGAAGCCTTTCGCGGTACTTGGCAAACAAAGCTTGTATATCACTCATCATTTCAATCTCCATTTGATCAAGAGCTGGCAGCCCACCATTAAATTCATTCACAGCTATTGCCCCTGTGAACTCTTCATCTAAAACAGCAAATCAAATTAAAAAGTGGGTTGATCACTTACGGGAATATGAAGACCTTTTAACGCTTATGACCACAAGGCGGGCCGATTCTTTTTTTCCCCTTTTTGGCAAGGAAAAGGTGCTTTTGTGTCCCAAGATTGTTACAGAAATATACTCAAATAATACAGTAAAGTGATCCACGCCAAATTAAATAATCATAGCTGACCCCGTCCCTGAAGATACATTTCCCATGAGCATGTTTAAAAGGAAGAAGGCAATTAAAAGACTTACTCTTTTTGCGTCTCTTCTTTGGACATCGGCATGCTTTAAAGAACAACACCTCAGCTGCCAAGCCAATGAAGAAAATAACGGCTATCAAAACGAGGCAGGAGTACAACGAAGGGAAAAACAAATCACCGGTGGGATCAAAAATACTCTGAGAGTTCTGCACCGCCTCGTTTCCTCCTCCCTACAAACAGCAATAAAACAAAACAAGAAAAACACTCTCTTTTTGTTTAATTACATAAGAATGAAAACGCTTACTTCACGATAATGATAATCATTTTTAGAAGAGTGTCTCTGTTAAACTGAATAAACTTCCATTTGCATCAAACGACGCTTAATTAACATGAAAAGATGACTGGTAGGAAAATTGAAGCGTTTTTACGGAACTCTGTCATCTGGTACGCATATGAAACGTTTAGAGGCCAAGAGGAGCAGGTTGTGGCTATGGGTGCTTCAAGTAGAGATGCAATTGGTAACACGTCACTTCTTAAATGACAAGAAACTAAAAAATTGCTATATTACAATTCCCATATTATTTATAAACTATACACAACATTACGCATGCAGAGGGAAATAGAACTTATAGATCTACTGTGGAAAAGCTTCACATCTGAGGATCTCCTGCTTGAATTCTAGAAAATATAATGTTTTGTAAGTGTCTGGGAGGGAGTTCCATAATTTGCTAGCTAAATATGAAAAAGAGTGCAGACCGTAAGTCGTTGTTTTTGGGTTGGGAAGAGACGTAATATGATTTCCGCGCAAATTGTGTGATGAAGACCGTACGGTGAACATATCTTTTAAATAACCTGAAAAATTTTTAAAGAACAGACTGTTGTATAACGTGATCATGAAGTTCTGGAGTTGTCTAATTAATAGAGATTTTAAGTTAACTTTGCTTAAAATGTCATATGGATAGCTGTAGTCCTGTAGTATAAACCTAAGAAGGCGCTTATTTAGGTTATCTACTTTGTCGGCATTGCACACACCACAGAAATACCAAACAGAAGAACAGTAGTAAAAATGCGGCAAAATAAGGGCTTTATAAAGCTTCAATAGCGTCTCCTTATTAATAAGTTTCCGAAATCTAAGCACTACGTTAAATTGATTTTTTTATTTTCTTACGGATAACTGATACGTGATTATTAAAAGAGAGCCTATTATCTATTGTCATCCCAAATATATCTATCGAGTTATTTACTGGGAAACAAAAATTGTGCTAAGTTTTTCCCAGGATTAGAATTTGGTGCTTTTTCACGTTAACAATCATGCCATTGTTTTTATACCACTGATTTGCGACATTAACTTCTTGACAACTGCACTCTTCCAGTGCGAGTGGGTCCAGGTTAGACGAATAAATCTGATGGCCGTCTGCGTATGCGTTTAGTTTTGCATATTTCACATGCTGAAACAAGTCATTAATAAATATATTAAAAATCATTGGTCCTAAAACGCTCCCTCGCGGTCCGCCTCTTCTGGTGCCCGCCCAGTTGGAGAAGGTATCTCCAATCTTTACTTGTTGCTGTCTTCCTGACAAGTAGTCATTAGAGTGAGTAGCGCGCAACTTCCTTCGCTTACTTCATATGCTTTGAGTTTTGCCAAGAGTAAGTCATGCTGAATGACTTCAAAAGCTTTAGAAAGGTCCATAGAAACAATCGCAATCAGTTCCCCTTTATCACGCATGCGCCTCCAGTCCTCTGTCAGCCGCAATAATGCAGTTTCACAACTGGAGAACTTCCCATATGAACTAATAAAGTCCGACAGAATAGCGCTATAGAATTTACCCAACTGCGCCGCCAGTAGTCTCTCGTAGATATTATTAAGCACAGGTAACACTGTGACGGGCCTGTAATTTGCTTTATTAGATTCGTCATCTTTTTTAAACAGAGGTGTGACCTGTCCCATTTTCCAGGCGTTGGGGTAGCAACCTTGCACAACGGAGGTGTTCAAAATATTAGTGATAGGTTTAGCTATGACAGATGTCGATTCCTTCACAAGCCTTACAGACAGCATATCGTGGTCGTACGATTTACGGACATTCACGTCCAAAAGCGCTCTTTCTACTTGCGCTTTATTGATGTATTCAAAATTAAAACAAAGTGGTGCTTCTGTTGCGCTGTTCTTCTCATGAATAGCTATAATGCTTGGGTGGTTTTCAAAGTGTTAACCATAACCTGTTTCTTTCATCAACGGAACATCGTCAGCAATTTGAATAAAGTGCGCATTGAATAGTTCAGCGATTTCCCTTTTGTCACTTATAACAACATTGTTTTCCTTGATAATGATGTCATTTACCTGCTTTGTTTTGCCATGAAGAAAGGGTCGATACGCATTCCAAAATTCCCTTGGATTTCTGGCTCGGACGACTTTTTCACAAAATGCTCTTTTATTGCCTTTCTTCTTAGAGAAATGCATATATTGCGTTGAATTTTGTAATGGTCATAATTTGCGTCCGTCCGATCTCTAACAAATAGCCGTCATAATTTGTTTCCGTGCCTTATTGCCTTGCGCCATTGTTCCGTCCTATATGGTACCTGGTTGCCCCTAACAATAGTCTGCTTAAGAGGGGCGTGTTCATTCAGAATTTCGTTGTACAATTGTTCAAAGGCGTAGAGTTTGTCATCCACTTCGTCAAACACGTCAACTATTGAGAAAGGTGCCATTTGTAGATCTTGAATGAATTTATCTCTGTTGAAGTTTTTAAAACATCGTACACAAATTTTACGAGAGCGCGATCTTGGAGCTCTTGACCGTAGAATTGCAAAGACTAGTGAATGATCACTTATCTGCGTATCCACTACATCAGATACCAATGTCTTTTTCTTATTACCGGTCAAAATTAAATCGAGAAGTGTCTCTGATGTTTTCGTCTTTCGAGTAGCTTTTGTAATCAATCAATCAACCAAAGATTTCCATCAGGTCTAAAAGATTTCTACCGTCCTTGGGAGGCTTGTATTGATTCAACAGATCGGCGTTGAAATCTCCAAAACAGTCTCTGTAAGTGTAGAGACCTCTTCGAAAATAGATGAAAGCTCTCTAGTCCTTTGATGTTTCGAAATCGATGGAGGTCTATAAACTGTTGATGTTGATCGCGACGTTTCGACCGCAATACTGCTAGTCTTCATCTGGCGACGAGGTCGATTGTTTACGTGTCACTATTTGTAGCATGTTGGTACTCTGCTATTAGTGCATTTCGATCCTCATTATCATTCCGATTGTTAGATGGTGTTCCCTCATAGGTCCCCATAAATCGGCTTTTGTGTTGTTTGATCGCGGGTATCGTATCCAAGCTTCGGGAATTTCGATTCCGCTATCCCTATTGATGTTGTTGGGATGATGGATAGCCTCTTTGACTCTACGTGTGTACCAGTGGGGGCCACGATCAACAAACTTAACTTTGCTCCAAATAGGAATATGCCCCGTTTCTTTAGCGTGCTCCGAAACCGCAGAGGTCTGAGTACGAGCAAACCGTATGTCTCTGTCTTGTTCTTTATCCTTTCTCGCATTGATCTCCCAGTTTCATCGATATACACCTTGCCGCATTCACATGGGATCTTGCAAACAACACCGTCTTGTTTTGATGGTTCCAGGGCGTCTTTAGGTCGTACCAAGTGAGACCTAAGTGTTGTGTCCGACTTGAAAACGGTCCGTATGTCTTGATGTTGTAGGCAGCGGCGATACACCCTGATACACCCTTTATGTGAGGGAGAACGGCAGTAGATTTAAATTCTTATGCAGTTTCTTTGTTGGCTGTCACCCATGTTGTTTTTGTGAGTTTTCTTACAAATGAAGAAGGATAACCACTAGAAACGAGTACTGATGACAAGTGTTTCTTTTCCTCTGAGATAACTGACGGTTTCGTTGTGAAGTGTTTGGCTCGGTCGTATAGACACTTAACAATACCACGTTTCACCGACTGATGATGGTGTGAATCATAGGCTAGGTACTGGTCAATGTGGGTGGGCTTTCTGTAGTCAGTGAGAGGATCGTCTGAGTCCCTTGTAACTGTTGTGTCGAGAGAAGGAATAGTGTTATCTTTCTCGAATTCCATGGTAAAACGAATAGTAGGCGGTTGACTGTTGAGATGTTAAAAAAGGCCATTGACATGGTCCCGGTCTAAGACTGTGAAAGTGTCATCAACATATCGTTCCCGGATCTTAGGTTTGCAAGTCGCATTTGCCATCGCTTGTTCCTCAAATTCTCCATGCAGATGTTTGCTATAACTGCGGAAACAGGGCTTCCCATAGCTGCTCCGTCTTGCTGTTTATAAATCGACCCGTTGTATTGGAAATATGTCGATCTTAAGACGAAATTCAAGAGGTCGGCAATTTGTGTAGATGATAAGTTTGTGCGGTTAGCAAGATCGATGTTTTCGATCGATGTCTAGTTTTCGTAATGCGGCTTGAACTGCGCCCTCGATCGTTACGTTTGTAGATAACGATTCTAGGTGGCTGTTTGTGCCTGGGTTTGATCTTGTTGTAGATGGTTTCTGATAGATGTCCACTTTGTTTCAAGCAGAGAAGCTTGTGAGTGAGGTTACGGCTTAGCCGGTCTGTTGGGTCTTTATTAAGGAGTCGGTACGGACCCGTTTCAATCAAGGTTTTCATTTTGTCACAGTAGGTGTTTGTGTCTAAGACTACACTAGCGCGGCCTTTGTCCGCTGACAGAATAGTGATAGTGTCGTCTTACTTTAGATTCCTAAGGGCTTCTTGCATATTATTCGTGATGTTAGTCTTGGGTGGTTTGGCTTGTTGAAGGATACCGTTTACAGTTCGTTTCTCGACAGTGTATGTTTGCTCTGAGTCAAGCGCTCTCATTGCCGACTCGACTTTGGCGACTATTTCGCTGGCTGGGATGTTAAATGGAATTACTGCCAAATTCAACCCTTTCTTTGGGAACGATACCTCAATATCGCTGAGGGGGCGCGAAGATAAGTCAATTACCCATTTGTTTTTGTCGACTTGAGGTGTTTGGTCAACATAAGAAACAGTGGAAGCTTGTTTCTCTCAGGCAAGTTGTTGTCGATCTTTAGTGGTGTTAAATATCCTTTGGGTAAGAGTGGCTCGTTATAATCACCTCGTGCAAGGTGATTTTAACAGGGGCGCTAAATTTTCAAATGGCTGCCCCGCGTTTTGTCAATGTTGCAGAGGAAGTAATAAACGTAATGGAGAAAAATCAATTGTGCAGAGATTGCACTAAAGATGCTACCGAGTTTGGCAAAACACTTTTCAAAATAAAAATAGAAGATAAGATAGAAAGAAGTTTTTCCTGGTTGAATTAAATAAACCTTTTAAAATTCCACACGAAATTGGCCGACTATCTCGTTCCGAATAGTCAAGACAATTGTTGCTAAATGGTTTCAACATTAAAACGAATTTACGACAGATTTCGAAATCACCCGAACAATTATACTATAACAATTTTTCACCTCAGGCTCAGTTAATATTGTTGATTAATTCCCGAGACCAAGTCTCGGGGATTATTCACCAATATATACTGAGCCTAACGCAGATGATTGTCAAGGAGGCTCTACAAGGTTTTTTGACCGCGCGAGATCTGGGTGCAAACATAGCGCGAGCTTTACAAGTGTCAACATGCAAACAAATATGGCGGCTCGACACTATCTCACGATTGTTATCTGAAAAGGTGTGTCAAAACAGTTTAACACAATACAGTTTTTATGTGATGGAATCTTGGGTATCTAGCAATTGCACCCGTAATATTCATTGGCCTTCTAGGCCTGAAAGAGAGGTCAACCGAAAAGAAAACACCGTGGGAAAGATTGCCAAAAGGCGACAGATTCGAAAGTCCACGCATGCTCTAATACCGATCTTGGCAAAGTTCAATTCCATTACGTAATGTTTTGTGACAAAGAAAACAGGGATCTTTCGAGTAAGATTTATTACGTTTCCTTCGGTGGAATTTCCTAAGATTTGCTGGACCGTTAAACGTATTTGTGCCCTACCTAGTGCCGGTTGATAAAAAAATTCATGAGGCCAAATTGGAGATAAAGGAAGAAAACTAAAAAATTGCAAATAGCAAGGAAACTACCTTGGAAACCCCTACTTTTCTTTCCGGCTTTTAAATGAACGGCAGGAAAATTTTTATAAATTATGAAGATTTTGAGAGATTTTACCGTAGCAAATTAAAGAAAATTAAAGGCAAAGCCAAATAATCGCTGGAGAGCGCCTCCCTTAGTGGAGCCTTAGCTTGATAACGAATATTATTTTGATAATATTTGCTAGAGCAAACGCTAGTCCGAACTTTGCTCATTGCCTTTTGATGACTCTTAGTGAGCTTGAAAAGCGAAAACATAAAAATTTTCTGGAAAAACATTACGCTGGCGCGCGCGCCATCATTAAGCAAAAACTCTATGGAGCCTCCTTAAATATTGCAAAATTACCTTCAGTGTTTTATTAAGCTCTTTCTTGGTAAAGTCGTAGATCAGGTACTTGTCTTCAGCGATCAATTTGCTGAAACATTGTGCTAAAAAGCTATCATTCACCATAGCACCATAGGAAAGCGTCTCCTCTTTAAGGACTTCATCTATTTTGAACTTACTTCTCGGAAAAAGGGTCTCGGTATAATGACTAATTTGGTAATTATCCAAGAGTACACCTGAAAAATCCCCAAAAATAGACTCAGAAATCTGATATAATGATGTGACGTTTAGGGACTAGTTTCAGCATGCGTAAGCAAAATTAGCTAAGTTATTTGGTCAAGTTTACTTCCTTTGAGGTTAACTTGAAGTTAGGTAGATTTCGCAAGGACAAAAACTCGTTTTCTACTAGAAAAATAAGCTAACTTGATCGAAAACTGACAAACTTGATCAAAAATTCCTTTTTTTAAAGGGGCCACAACCTTACCTTCAATTTCCCCTTGGTCCAAAGCGTCCCTCATGTCCTCAACTGAATTGAATACTACAAAAAAGGCATTTGGCGAGGAAAGAATATTAGCCCAACAGAAGGTAAGTCGGCAGATAAATAGGCGGAGGTGCTAGCCGACTAAGCTCGGGACTGTTTCTAAAGATACATAAAGTCAGCCGCTCAGCATTAACTTTCCTTGTCATCTTTGCCAGCAGGTGTCGTTACTGTCATTCTATAGTAATATGAAGCCAGAATAAAACTAGACATAACTTACACTTTAAGTCGGCTTGATGTTGCATTCCCAATGCCATTTCTATCGAGCGTTTGAGAACGCCGACCTGAAGAATAGCAATTGAACTCAGTCAAAGGAATTGGGGTGCAGGATAATCTGCCTTCTGCCAATGAATCGTTTCAAAAATTTCTAACCCTGTACTTTTTCAAGTACAAGTGCCTCGGCCAAGTTTTTCAATGTTGTAAGAATTATTCGTTTGTTGCGGGTTCAATGATGATGTTTTTTGTATCACTTTATCCTAATTAACGAAAACATCGACAACGACAACTATATTTAGTTCTGTTAGTGCTTTGCTAGTGCTTCGGCAACTGTTGCTCTTACCGCTATCAATACTGCAACTACTATTGCTCCTGTTACTAGCAGTAATACTGCCACTGTTACTGCTACTACCGGTGTTGCCACTACTGTTACTGTTGCTGCTCCTTCTATTGCGATTGCAACTGTAAATGCAATTGCTTCTGTCTGGTAGATTATTGTCTATTAATAATCTACTGACGATATAGTAGATTATTGTCAACTAATTTTCTACTAAGGCTGCTATCGCTTCTACTCCTATTGTTACTATTGTTGCATCTGCTGCTACTACCACTACTGCCACTCCTACTGCTACTGCTGATACTTCTCGTGCTGGTGCTACTACTAATGCTACTGCTAGTGCTACTATAACTGCTAATATTTCTGGCACTAGTGCTACAACTAATCCCACTGCTAATACTACTGTTATTGCTAGTACTATTGCTACTGCATGTGCTACTGCCAGTCAGCAACTGCAATACACTCGTACCTTTGAGCCAGGCAGGCTCTTCTTGGTATCCAGACTGATGGCAGTTAGCGAGGTTGTTAAAGTAGCGGTGAATATTGAACAAATACATACTCCAACTAAAATCCAAACAACTGCAAAGGTTCGGCCAAGGATAGATCGAGGGGAACGGTCACCGTATCTGCGTGTGGAGTGAACAATATTCTAATAAATCTCTTTCAAGGGTCAGAATTTCAATCGATGGGGCGAGGGGATAATCTAAGATTCTTTTTACGATTCTCATGGAAAAAGCAACTGATTAAGCTTTTGGTTATTGCTACTATGAACTCATGAATTGCTAGCGATATCATTCATATATGGATGGTCCTGCACCTCATCGATAAATAGAAGGTTGGCGCTGTCTTTAAAATTAATGCTAGAGGTCGAAAGCACATTATCTACATAACGGTATTAACGGGATTAAAGACCAATTGTGTATCTATAGTTAAATAAATGCTAATTGGTACATGTACCCCACTGTTGTCATAGAGACGAAGGCCCACCAAAATCCTTCCCAAGATCCTCTAAAGAATGTTCGAGGGAACTCTTTCTCGTTAAACCAAGTATCCTGAAATAGAAACCGGTGAGTTAGAACTCCTATGATTCGCTTCTAAGGTTCAGCTGTGTTGTAGAGCCTTAAAAGTGATTTAATCAAGATGTAGAGCATGGAACTATTACGAAGAGAAAAAAAGAGTTTTAAAAGAATTTTTTCATATTTCCCCAATTTAAAGAGAATAAATTGTACGTTAAAATTATACAAAAAAGGATAGGTCACCGTGCTCGTTCAAGAGCTAAAGACCATTGTACCTCTTTTTCTGGTTCATGGATTGAAAAACAATATCGTGTTCGCGGAATGCGCGCGTGCTTTATCCCCTGATAACGTGATTTTTATGCGTAATACAGGATGTGCGGTGCAAAACTGATGAATCACCATAAGCTTTCATGATGTCCAAAGACGGTTTGCGAGGAAATTTCTTTATTTTCACAATACAACGATTACTCGACTTTTAAAATTTTAGGCTGCAAATTATTCTGTATTTGCAATGTTCCCATCGTGCCAAGAATTTGCAAATAAGCTTCTTACGGCTCTAAATCCAGATATACGAGAGTTCACGCGATTGCTAGATTAAAGTGAAAACTCCGGAAATAAAGTCAAGTTGTCAAATCTTCATAAAATTACCAAAAATTTCAGGGTAACAGCTCTCACTCAATTTCAATACCTATCTTTTTTCACAAAATAAATTTTCAACAAATTTTGATCGAAAGTATTAGCAAGAAAGAATTGCGAAACAAGTCGATAGCAGTAAAGCGGTTTGAGATCCGTTCTTCGTCGTTTCAGCCCGCAATAATTTAGTCTTCATCAGTACGCCATCCCTCGACTGATCATAACGTGAAAAATTGACCAATCAAAGTTTCTAGATTTCAAACTATGATACTCTCAACGGTTGTTACAATTCCCAAAGAAGAGCAAACAGAAAACTGACAGACGGTAAACAAGTTAGATCTGCCGGCCAGTAATGATCCGGGTAGACTCACAAAGGTGACGAAATCATTACAATTTTTTTCCAAAAATTGGCCCTCAATAATCGTATAAAACACGTAATTCTGGACATTCGAACGAAAGTTGAATAAACACAATCTTCCTCGTTGTCAGCGCGAAAAACTTTTTCCATTTAATTCATTCTGTCAGCTGATCTCAGAATCTCTGACGCCCCCTGAATCACAGGGGAGAAAAAGGAAAGAAAAGATAAACACTCACCAAAAGCCACAGAAAAACTCCCGCCAAAATTGAAAGTAGAATTGTTAATATCAACACCGGCCAAGCTTCAAATACTGCCATCATTAGCTTCTTTGGATAATTGTCCCGCTCTCCTTTAGGAACAACAAAAGCTATGCTACCAGGGGGGACGAGACCAATCAGGTGATGGTTCTCGCTTGCCATGTCCTGCTTGTCTACTAACACTGGATATATCAGATGAGAGTCTTTCACTGTACTTAACAGCTGCTCAGGATCTGTTTCCGGGGGGTGGTGGATCATTTGCCAACAGCCTGAGGTGAGGTTACCACAACACTTGCTTAACAGGAGGTCTACAAGAGCTAATTGAGAACAAAGTGCAAGAAATGTAAAATAAATTTAATCCGAAAAATGAATGACTCGGTCAAAAGTTATTCCTAAACAAGTTTTAGTCTCGCCTCCATCATTCCATGTCAACTCCTCCCCATGATCTTACTCGAGACAGTGCAACACGCCCACCCACTTGAATCTGACAAGTGTAGTAGTTAATAGTATAATATTGTAACTTTTGTTAACTAGACCACCTCTCGGTCTACGTTACCTGGTAATATGCCTACATCGATGTTTTGTTTCTGTAAAGTATAAGGTGGTCGAATAAACCATGAAACTTTTATACAGGCCGGACAGATCTTCTCTCCAAATCGACACAGTTGGCCCTTTGATTGTGATAAACATTTTGCTTCAGTTTGACTTCTCTCGGGGAAAAAAAGAAAAAAAGTCATAGAAGCAAGACATAGAAGCACATGGCGCCTGAACATTATGTCTTTAACGGTAGTTAAAGCGTTGATCCAGAACTTGCGGCAGAAATTTATGCTGACCGCCGGTAAGTTTACTCCCTTTGCTTTCGTAATGAATGCAGGGAATGTCGCGCTCTGCGTTTAAAATTCAGAACTCTTCCTTACTTAAGCAATCTCAAGCGACATTTGGTCCTCCCTCTGTGAAAAGAAATTTTAGCAAGTATGATCTATATCAACGCTTGCTGCTATTGTGGCCTCTCGCCCAAGAGCTGTCAATGGGCAAAACAAACTTGAATGGTTTACTCACAACAGCTATCAATCGTGACTTCAGCGGTTACACGTGATTGCTATTGTCATCTTAACTGATCCTTTGCGGTTATGGTTCAGAAGGAAACACTCAAAGACGTTCATTACTTATACTTTGATCATCGTTTTGGAACCAACGTTCTAATGGCAAGCTAGAAAAAATATGGTTGAAATTTGAACGATTGAATTTTAGGATCTTATACCGAGACCCCAAAGACCCTAAAAGACTTGCTGTTTAAGTGAATCTAAACTAATACATATATGCAAATAATTATGTTTTGGTTAATTCAAAGAAACCTCCACCTCCAATATATTTCTTTGATCCCTCAGGCGTTCCGTTCACCGTATTCCTATTCAAAGTCTTTTTATTCAATTTTACCTGATGATAATCAAGAGTAAGTGTCGTGACCTCGTATTTTTTCTCACTGTATTTAAGGATTACAATATTACAAAAACCTTTGTATCTAAACTCTTAAGAAAGTAATTCTTTCTATTTCTCAACGCAAAAGACAGAGAGCTGGAAGAACTGGCCATCAACAAGATATTATATTGGGGTTGAAAAATTAAATTGACTCTGTCGTGGGCCTTGGCCAGCTCAAGTTGTGATGAGAAGAGGACTACAGGCCTACGGCCTTTTCCCGTTTGGAGGCCACTCATTACAGGAGCTGACGGACAAAGAGAGTTTAAAACTGATGACAAAAATCTGAAGGAAGGCAACGAAGTTCGAACCAAGAGTTGCGAAGGCTAGGCTTTGTTTAAGGTCAAAGAAATTCATATGGTTATGAAGAAGTTATAAAACTATCACCCCCTATTCTGAAAAGATGGGAAATTTGGGATAATCTTTCCATTAAGGGATAACTGGACAGTGCAGATAAGATGCAAGAAAATGATTTGGAAACACGACTTTTAGAAATGAATCGAAAATAAAATTAATTTTTATTCTGATGTGCAAATACAATTTTCTTTGTCAAATTAGTTTAGGCAAAGTTTGTGTGTGCCAAAAATTTTAAACTAAATATTTCCAAATTCGTCGTTTGGGATCTGCAGTAATCCTTTATCATTTTTGAGTTAGTGGGGTCAGGGTAAGAGAAGCTGTTTTAAATTGGAGAGGGAGGAGGCCAGAAATTTTTATCTTAAAAAATTGGGAAAGCCCTCCAAAATACGGCTTCAATAGATATTGCGTCCATATATAATTGCGTCTACTTATGAAAAAATAGGTGAAGTTCTCACCGAACAATAACAGCAAAAAAGACATATGTCGAGTAGATCTGGAGACCTTTGTTGTTCGCCAGCTTTCATTCCTGTTATCTGAAACGAGGACTTTTCAAATTTTATTTTGAATTTTTTTCGTTTGTTTTCCCCATCTAGTTTCATATTGTAGTTTTGTACTCATTCTTTTATGATTTCTGGGCTGATTTCTCAGAAGGTGGCCAATTTGATAGATATGGCAAATGCCTCCCTGAATAATACGAAACCGACTTATCAAAGCAGCTGTTGAATTTCCACGTTCATTGTAGTTTTTACATTGCACTGATAGTTGTTTTTTTATTATTTATATTACTCGAGATTGTGTCTTTGAAATGAAAATAAGAAAGTGGTAAATTAAAACTGCATTAAATACAGATTAATAATTAATATCTTGAGATCAGAATCCTTTAAAAAAATTGGATAAAAAAATCAGGCAGTCGCGAAGTCATCTCTTACAGTAATACGCGTTGGCATAATAATGACGTGTGAGAAAAACTCTTTGTAACGGCCGTTGATGATATGAAGTGATTAAAAAACTGTATCGATTCAAACCACATTTCCCTAAATCTAATCCTAGCCCTGTCACACTGAAAGACGTGTACTGTAAACAAAATGGCTAGGCCATGTAAACCTACTTTCATGAAGCACTTCCACAATGATACACGAAGCGAGAGGGAAGGGTGGAATGGAAAATTCCCTTTAGCACTTATTTTGATGACAAGATGTACAAAGCCGTTCACACGAATCGCGGAACAGATAATTCTGACAGCCACTAATAAAGGTTACTGTGACCGCATCAACAAAAAAAATAAAAAAACGCATAAACAGAACTCACCATAAAGAAACCCGTCAGTAGAATTGCCATCTTTGAAAACATACGGCTTTCTTGAAAAGCTTGAAAGACTTACACATCTTGGGCATGGTATTTCCGGACAATTCGAAGGAGGTTGCATGAGACTGCAGTTTGCTTCAACCGCGGCGAAAGTTTGGTCAGCATTCCACAGAAACAAACAAGCTGCGAGTGTGAATAATGCTTGCTCTTTGCAGTGACAAAAATCCGACCACATTACTGTGAACTCGTAACCTATTTCAGATGCATTCAATTCAAATACTGTTAACAATATCTTTTATCTCTGAGATTCATTTGAATAATCACTTCATTGGCTTCGTCTGCTGACTTTCAACTACTATCAGTTATCTACATATTAAACATATCATCCATTATTGTTGACGAAAGAAACGTTTAGCATCCATGAATCGCAGGGCGGAGAGAGGTTGGGAGATGAAACGGGCGGGTCCGAGCAAACAGATGTGATGCAGCAGACTGGGACCGACTTCAACAAACATTGTCTTTTTCTGAAAATGGCGGCAAGTTCGGCAGCTTTGGATGAGCTGGAAAAATTGTTTGGCCAAGATCTAAAGGACAACCATTTCATTTCGATATGTCGCTGAAGTTTGTTATTACAAGTTGGCAAATAAAGGGGTGACTGGACTAAATGACTGAAGACATTTAAAGGGCTTCCAAGCAAACTTTGAAAATTTGTTTCATAAGTTTCTGTCAAAATCTGACAGCTGTCATTTAGCGAGCGCAAAAAAGCCCATGTACTCTTGAATGAATAACCGTGAAACTCGACTTATGTTATTACCCCGACGGTTTTTTTGTTAAAACAGTCAGTGATCTTGAGGAAAGTATTAGTCACTTACATCGACGATTAATTAAGTAAGGGGATTTACCTCTGCTCACTCACTTTTGAATGGCAAGGAAAATCATTGTTCGTATGTTTGCTGCAATAACGTGTGTAACACTAGTCTTTCGCAACGAAAGGCTGAAGTCAAATGAGGCACTTTATCTTGACATAAGGGATACAATGCGGCGTTTCTTTATTGATTTCCTCCGGTTTCTTTTGCGGAATATGGTGGAAATTAAATGGACTAGCAAGGACTTACCAAAAGTGTATTTGAAGTAGCACTCACGACTTAGCTCTCTCTGCTCTGATACATTGTATTCCTATCGCTCTCTGATGGCAAACAAAATGGGGGCTGACGTTACTTTGATTTTTGTCGTCACACGCATGCGTATATATGTTGAAACAAAAGATCAAAGGCGACTCTCCTAACAGGTTATTGCCTTCCTCGTCTGATATATTTTTTTCAATAGATTGCTAATAAGATTGAGCACCACTTTGCTTCTTATCAAACATATGTGCGAACCAAATTTTGAATATCGTTCAAATGATAACCTAATTCTGAAAGCCGAACAAAATCTAAATACAGGGCGATTTACGCTAGTTTGACCTCTGAGAAGGTAGATTTTTAGTTCTTGCCTCAAACAAGCTCATAGAAAATTCCATCGATAACAGGAGCCCATTACTTAATGGGCTCCTGTCGATAACGGTTGTATCGTGGTTTGTTTCATTCTTTACATTATCTCAGTTCGTCATTTCTATCGTTCTGTACGTGCAGGAATGTATGTGTTTGTTGCACCTTGCAGACTTCCAAACTCCAAAACTCGCGTCTTTTTGTAAAAACACCTATTATGCTCATTCGTTTAGTCGTAGATTTGCCAGTAACTTTAACATGCTCTTTCAATTTCTAGAAATTAGGTTGCTTAAAGTACAATCTTTAGACAACTGGCCACTAACCCAACAAAAGGAAGAGACTGTCTACTAAGTTCCCACTCAGAATGCAAAGGATCTCCTTTAACTCGATCCTGTTTACTAATGGGTAAATCGGGATAAATACTGGAATAAGAAAACGCGGTACAATTAGGAAAAGTTGTCTCCTCTACACATGTTAACCTCGTAATCTGATTGTCAGTATCTATTTAACAAGAGAATGTCATCGAGATTTCTATCACAAGTAGTCCTCATCAACGATCACACAAAGGAATCTACCTCAAGAGCCGACGACAAAACATCTTTGCACATTCTGAGCTGGTTAGACGAAAGGCAAGAATTTTATTAACCTAAACTGTCTAAGTTTCCAAGTTTTTGTTTTCTGCGTTTAGCACATGTTTGTGACGTAGCTCGCATGCATATGTTGCGCCAGCGACGTAGGATTCGTAGTTTATGGAGAAACAATGAAATTACTTGTACCAATCAGAATCAGTTTCTTGCATTGGCTATCTTACGATATTGAACAGAAGCACGATAACACGGAATCTATCTCATATTAAATAGAAAGCGGGCAGCGTAGCTGACCAACTTGCAGCATTTTTGATAGAATGGTGGTCGATTTATATCAATTGTTGATCGATAGACAAATAAAAAGGAAGTACGAGGTAGTACGAAGTACGGAAGGGATCTTTATAAAGCTTTCATTTTACCACACTTTAATTACTGCTCCGAAACGTGGCACTTCTGTAATAAAAAGTCAGCTGACAAGTTAGAGTTGGTGAACAAACGTGCGCTCCGTTTTGTTTTTAGAGATAATTCCTCGCCTTATGAGGAACTTTGTAAGCGTATCGGTCTCTCAAGTCTTCGTGAACAGCGATTAGCGAAAATATTGTCCACTGTCTTTAAGATATTAGCCAGTGATGCAGGTCCAAAAAGCTTACGTGATCTTATAACAGTAAGGTGCTCCACTTATAACCTTACGGGCACCACAATACTGGACCTCCCAAAAGTAAAATCAACAACCTTCGGGTTAAGATCATGGAGATATGCTGCATCGAAATTATGGAACGCTTTACCGGACGAGTCTCGAAAGATACAAACATTTACTACTTTTAAAAATTACTTAAAAACATTAGATCTCACAGGACTCTAGTGCGGTGAGGATCTATCCTTGATTATATTTACTGTTTTTAATGATTACAATTTATACATTTTACTTGGTGACTACATTTTTAAATTCTTATATTTTAATATTAGCTAGTTCTTAATCTTAATTTATTTAAATTCATATACCTTCATAAGGCTTTATAATTTCCTTTTCTCTTTTTATTTCGTGGCGTACCTGTAAACTAGCTTTTAGCTAAGCGTTCTGACCACGCTAAATAAATTGATTGATTGATTGATTGATTGAGCTTGGTCAAATGTTTTGACAGTTTGGTTGTATTTGTTATTTGGATCGGTAGGAACTATTAAAGCCACAACATCGAAGCACAAGTCGGAAGGACGAGATGTTCGATAGCCTTACGCAAACAAGAACAATAAAAATTTACTGTTACCGTAAGCGCTACAGGAAACCTGTAATGAACACTTTCTGCACATGACCTTCTCAGAGACCTAAACAAATTACGAACAATAGTGGGTGATTGGAAGGTGTGAGAAATTCTTGTCAAGAAACGCGAAGAAAATGCACATGCATAACTTTGCTCCCAAAGAAAGGAAACTTAACGTTCTCTATCCCTCACCGCGTTCGTCCCAATGAAAATATTTTCCTTCTAATTTGGACAGAAAACTAGATAAATAGACAAATAAAAGAACTACAGTAAATACAAGTTGGGTAGCTTGCTTCAGGTTGAAAAAGCTCTGGGAACTTCAAAGAAAGGACTAAGGAACGCATAACCACGAAAAAGCTGGCGATTATTGCTACTGCCAGCAACATCAGCCAAAATCGTACCATCAACCTGGGGTTTCTTGGTTCTTGGTGGAGCTTACCAGCTTCCTATATCTACAGGTTTTATCCTAACTGGACAACCAGCCGCCCAACGTCACTTTTGTCGGCTAATTTGATCCGTTTTGTCGTTTGCATATCAAACTCAAGGAGGTTTTCAAAGTTTTTACGAATCTCAGCGCGCTCTCCTCTTTCGAAGGAATCGAGTGTAAAGGAATTTTATAACATAGCGCGCGTGCTTGCCCTATAGAAGTCCTATCGAGCCGCTATGAACAAAATCTTTATTTACGCACGCCCGTGCGTAAGGGCCTATTTACATGGAAGTGGGGGACCCCAGGTAGGTGAGGTAACCCGCCCGTCCATATAATTTCTTATTTTATTTTTATCACGTTTACATGATAGGTGGGGTGATCCGCCTGGGCGGGTTGCCTGGTCTGCCAGGCAGGGTAACCTTGTCAGCCGGGGTGACAATTTGCCATGTAAACGTTCAAGGTGGGGTAATCCGCTTAGCCGTGGTCGCATTCATGGCAAAAAGCTCAAAAACGAAAAATGTATGTTTTAAATCTTTGTATATTTCCTAGCCGTCTCTTGGCAGAAATCACCAGAAACCGCAACGGACACGCAAGGAGTGTAAAATGTTCACATTTCAGAATATTTAGCGTTGTAAATCGACCATATTTGGTTTCCCAAACTATTCCGTAGAACGTGTTAAGTCAATAGTTCCTTGCGAAACCAAACACCGCGTAACACAAAGCGTGGCGCTTTCATGAATAAATACATATGTGTTCGAGAATTAATCTTTCGTCTTTCTCGAGATGTGAGCTTGCGACGCCTCTGCACAAACTCCTTAAATGCAAGCGCAACAGAAACCTCAAGAAACCTTACCCCAGCACCTCAGGGTTGTAAGGTTGCATGTAAACGCGTTTTATTTTTCGACCACGGCTAGGCGGGTTACCTCACCTACCTGGGGTCCCCCACCTCCATGTAAAAAGACCCTAAATAAGACGACGTGAGCAATTGTTTGCAAGTTTCCTGCAGTCTGTCTTCTCCAATTGCACCGTGCACGGCAGCGTAAACATTATTTTGAACAATCAAAACCCTTGATAACTTCGGGTCTTTGACTTTTAAAACATTTTTTAGTGACACTTGAGTTCATTTAGCTTTGATTTCCTCCATTTTCCCCGTAAATTTTGAGCTTTTCATTAACAGTTATCGGTTAACTGGATCAAATGTTCTCGCTCAAACCAAAGTATAAAATGTGGCATGTTTTTGACCAGCCATTAGGGACGTTTGTTCCTTTTTTTGTGCGTTGTGAGAATTTTGCACTCTATCCGGCACAATAGAAAGCTTCTTCGCGCAGATCCTAGTGATATGAACTTGATATGATATGAACTTCCATTTCTATGCAGATGACTGTCGTATTTATTTTTCGCTTGACTCGGTTTCATTTATTTCATTTATGTTTCAGTTATTACTACGAGAATCGAAACCTGCCTACAAGATATTG